AGTACACGACACGAGGCAACATTACTCCGCCGGATAATATGTACGAGCATATGTACAACTTACAACGTACCACCATTCAACTGAATTTAATGATGGAGCTTAAAATAATTAACTGGCGAGACTCCGACTCGTACAGAGATAAAAGAATTTCAAAAGCGTTTAACCGGCACAACAAATATGCCTCAATATGATTTAAACAAATAGTCTGGCCAACAAGGAGTGAGAAATGCGTTAACATTAAAGCCAAAAACCGTGAACAAATATTTTTCAGTTGAACATTTCAGGTCTGGTGCATTCGAAATGTGCCCTTGTCCCCGCCAGCCAGCCGAAAAACGTAATTTATTTACCGATCATTTATTTTATATTAATTAAATATGCGGTTTTAATATATACATTTAAATCATACACATTCGCATATTTATTTTTACATATATCATTTGTCCAGGAAGCCGTGGAAAATCAGTTTTTAAGCTGAAGAGAAAACATTGAGGGATTTCCCCTCGTTGTTTCTGTATGTTCTTTATGCTTTGCGACCGCAGTGAAAACAGAAAATGCAATGAAACGCAACGAAATGAAATGCTTTGACAGGCATCTGCTGTGGGCGGATTCGGTGGTGGGGGAGTGGCCTGCTTTTGACAAATTGACTTTGGCAGCAATAATAATAACAATAATAACAGCAACAAGAACCGATTTTCAAGTACTATATTCATATTGATTTCAAACGAAACTTGAAATGCAAATGACAGATTTATTTTTCATGCTGTCGTTCTGCTGCTGTCAATCAAATTGTCGAAGGTGTTGATTGATGTCTAGCCTTCAGAAAAAGCAAAGAGAGTGCGAGTGGGTGGGAGTTATGCATTAAGAACATTTCAAATATTTTTGACAGCTTCGAATTTGAAAATTCAGCTCCTTTCTAACGCGTCTGCTTGGCACAGTGGTTTAACTACAAATTGTTTGAACTCTTCTAGATGTTTTTTTATTTATTAGTTTTTGGTTGTCTTTTCTCGACTCTCCCATTTAATCTGTTTAAAATTATATAGTAACAATTTTTCTTATTCAATAATTAATTTTAATTTTAAGTCATCGAGGATACTTATAATTCTATACATTCTATGGAAAATAATATATGCATTAAAGATGTTAGTCATCTGTTATCTATACCACAGTGAAAATGCTTGAGTGAGTTTTCCTTATTGAAGCATGCTGAATTCATGGAAGTAGCTACTGAGCCAGCCATTCAAGCGCGCATTAGACATGCTTAGAAATGCAATGGAGCATGTGCAGCTTCGATGCTGAAAGAGATTACCCCCCGTCACGTCACGAACCCTCCAATCGTCATCTAAAACCATGAATAGCGTTCGACAACTTAAAAAAATAAAATCACCACAGAAATTGTTATTAAAATCTAGCCTACATTTCATTGTTTGCTGACACTCGAGGAAAAAACACGACGGGCCCAAACAAAAACTTTGTTCACAGGTGCTAAATTTGCAAACGCGAGCTTTGCCTTTGTTTGGGTTTGTCGAGTGTAGTAATTTGTTTGCATGTTTATTCATGAAAGCGTCGCCGAGGCAGCAGACAACGTGTAGACGAAAAATAAATACCGGCTAAAACACACTCAGGCCCAAAAGCTCGCTGCCAAACACGCGCTTGAACAATGCAAAATGCTTGAAGCAGCCGAGTTTGGAGCCCCGCCACTTCCGCCCCTCGTGACACTCGCGTTTTAAATAATTCAGCACCACCCGGGGACAAACCCTGCCACCCACATAGCAGCGGCCACAAAAATAGCTCAAAAATTAGATGGTTCGGTAATATGTTGGTTATGTAGTAAACATCTCGTTTATTATAAAAGAATTATATATATTTTTGTTTTCCAAATAAAATTTTTTTTGTTTTGCTTACGTTTTGTTGTGAATCAATTTAAAACAAAACAAAAAGTGATCAAGCTATATTACTTTACCTTACTGTCGCTTACACAACTTCGCCGCAAGTCAAACACGCCATTTGATTTTCACCACACGGCGAATTAAGCATCAGCCCTTTGCACACACACATATAAAATATATTTGCTACAAGAATTGGCACAATGTTTTAACGCTCGTTATCCACTTAAAACTACGCAGATCAATACAAATATGGCATTACCGGGAGCTTTTCATTATGGTTACAAGCAATATACACTTTTTTAAATTTGTTTTTAATTATAAATACTTAGCGCAAAACACACGCGACTGTCTGCAAGAACGCGACGAGAAACTGATTAGGTGCGGCGAATTCCCTGGTGAGCAACAAATTTCTGAGGATCTAACGGCAAGGGAGACTTTCTGAAATAAAACTTTAATCTCCAAAGTTATTAAAAAGATTTTATTTGCGTAAGAATAAACAAATTTCTGAAGACATTTTAAATGAGAAAACGCTTAAATAATAAATTAAATGTTGTTAAACGAAAATAAAGAATCTGGAGGTTTTTGTCAAGAGTGAAAGTAATCTTATATGAATGTATGTGGCATGCTGCTTTGTTTGCCAACTTAATTGATTTTGAAGATTTTTATAATTGCTTTAAAATAGAAAAATAGGCGTTTTAATTTGTAGTGCTATTGTTCCTGCCGGAATTGTTTCACCCACTCACACACTTTGGACGAAAGCAGCGAAATTGAAAGCTTAAACGGCCGGGAAGCTTGACATCTCTGGCAGTGCTTAAAAGCGGGCCAAAATACAAAAAAAAGGACGAAAAGGAAGTCAGGATACGAAGTTGAACTAGAGGAACGGCAAAGTGCTTTAAATGGGTTGCAGGATTTTGGCCACCATTCACAGGACACAGGGAAGGGGCATTGGCTTTCGTCGGGGGTTATCCTCTTAGCTTAACCCCATAGGGCCACAAAAGATGCTTAGCTTTATTTATGTGTAGAAAATGGCAAAGTGGAAACGGAGGGAAATGGGTGGGTTTTTTGGAGGGCTCGAGGATTATGCATCAGGGGAATTCAGGGCAATAGAAGTCACCACCGATTTCAGGCTAACTTTCTCTATCTCTTGGGCCACGCACTCTTTGTATTTTAAATAATTGTACTATAGATGAAACTACGATGTACTATATTTTTGTTTAAAAATTGTGTTGGTGCAAAGTACACATATTAAAAATGTATGCACTTACCACCTAGAGTTTTCCATGGGGCACTCTTGATTTTATCTAGAACATAATTAAAAGCACTTTCTGTGCAAATTGTGTCACTCGTTGAATAGCTCAGCTCCAAGCCCCGTGCAACCCCATTAAAAATTTTGCCAACACATCCTTTACACTGATAATAAAGTTACTGCTCTACATATCCACGTAATTTCCTTATTAGGACGCCACTCCTTTAATCTCACCACCTCACCTGGGCTCATTCAATTTCAACTTTCTGCACTTTCGATGCAGTTACTTGGCATAAAACTTACAAAAAGCAGTAAAGCACCAAACTCCGCTCTCCACAGAGAATTCAATTAAAAACTTCAGCTGCCTGAGGGGAGTGAAAGCAGAAAAAAGAAATGGTTTGAGAGGGGAGGGATTGAAAAATCATAGAAGTATTTTGGATTTTGTTCGCATATTTCTGTTATTGGTTGAAATTCTATCCGGGGGATTAGTGCCACCCACCTGGAGTTTCAGGAGCCGGGTTTCCCTGGTATCCCTGGTATCCCTGGCCAAACTCCCACAAACGAAATAATCCAATATACATATTGTATTGTGCGATAATACAACGGCTCGAAACGAAGCCAGAGATGAAAACGGCAGTCCTGCAGATTTCTTTGCTTCTTTTTCATGCCAACCACCCACACTCCTTTTGTTTAACAATGCTTTCCGGATATCGTTCGGTTGTTTTCTCTCCATGGAGTGCGTTTCATTTAAATTTTTTGCAATTTTTAGGCTGTTTTATGCTAGGGCAAAGTCAACAACTGGCGAACAGATTCAATGGAAAATCATTTCAATATCTCTGGTAAATTTGCATACATACGGGCCAATGTCTGTCTGTTATTTTCGGTGCTTTGTGGAAAGGAATTGGCAGAAGCTAAAACCCGCCAAAGAATCCATTGAGGTGAGGCTTTAATGAAGCCTCGAATCACTTGTCTATCCCATCCAGAAAATAAAATTTCCCCTTGCCGCATAAGTAAACAGAAAATTTGCTTATTTATCCTTGAGCTGGCAATAAATTACTCAGGCAGATATAAGTAATTCGAGAAGAATAATTGAAATTGTAATTGTCGCAAACGACGGAGATTGCGATGGAGTGGCCTGCTCGACTTTAGACTCAATTTTGCCACATTGATTTCGGCCAGATGGTGTGCCGCATTTGTTTGCTTCTGGGTGGTTTCCTCTTTTTTCTGCCAACTCTGCATACGACGAAATAAAAGATAATGCTGATTGTAAGTGCTGCACAAAAAGAAAAAGGTATAACATTCTAACCATATATTTAATGAATTTATTTCAATTTTGTATGTATCAAAATATTAAAGCGAGATTTTTGATTTAAATAATAATTTTATTGTTAGCATTGTTCACTTCTTAACGTGAAAACTATGCATTCCAAAAAAAAACTAACTTGACGTAACCGCGAATTCTTTAGCACATAATGGTACGACCGTTTACATATGTTAAGCCACGAATTGCTTAAAAAAATTCCAAGTAAATTATCGGAAATTGACAACTTTATTCGGTGAAAGTATTTCAAATGATATAAAAAAAATATTTTTTCCGTGTCATTTTCTGAAGTGCGTAACTGGTCGAGGGTGACCCGGCCCTATTTGGGCAACTGGCCAGCCGGGAAATGTGGCAACTGGCCGGCGCTAATGTCACCGTCTGGGCCTTTTTGGCAACCTCGCCAATTGGCAAACGTACGTGAGCTCTGTTTATTTTTATGTGACAATGCAAAGTAAGTGCACTCGAGTTGCTTGGGAGGTACACATGAGTACCGAAAGATGTGCATAAAAATCAGTGGGCTCTAAAGTTAACGATGCATCGCGCTCAATTACGGCAGTATAAACAACTTCATCGGCCGCTCGGCTTCCGGTTCCGCTACCTGATTCCGGATTTGGACATGGATGTGGGCGAGATCGGCACGAAGTTCCGCGCGGCAGGCCTGCCATAATTGTTTGGCTAGAAAAAACAACAGCTCGCAGATGCCAATCAGCGAGAAGCCGGCTATAATGCCGCAGATGTTGCCAATTGTACCTGGCACGAGCACACACATAAATGGGGGTGAGATATGCAAAACCACGGACTCCAACTCCCTGCCAAATACTCACTGAAGGTCTCGTACCAGGCGCACTTAATAATCTGGCGAAAGTATTGAATGTGCGTTTCGGCAAAATAAATACGAACCACGGCCAGTTCGGCGGTGGGGGTGGTGGCGAATGAGGACGAGGACGAGGATGAGCTGGGGACCTTTCCGGATCCGGAACTCCAGCCGGAGCCGTAACTGTTATTGGCACGCGGTCCGGAACTGCTTCGCCTGCAAAATGAAAATCTTTTACGACGGCTAGGAGTCACGGGGAAGCCAGTGCTGCTAGAATATTAAAGGCTCACATGGCTATAGTACCAAAAGGGGAATCTCATAAACAAACTGCTAGCTGACACAAAATTACTCTCCTGTCTGAAACATATTGACCCACTGCCTAATTAAACGGTCACTAACGTAAGCCTCAATAATTAAACGGTCACTAACGTAAGCCTCAATGCTCTTTTATTCCGAAAATAAGTTTTCTTGATGATCTTTATGATGTTAATATATATATAGTCTTCTTTAACAAAGTGTTTTATTTAAGGCACTTGAAAGTCAAAAAACCCGATTTTCGCCCAAAACGTTAAGATATTTGTTGCTCTAAAAATAATACATTTAAAAAAAAAAAAAACTCTACAGCGTTAACTGAGGAGAGTACTGTGCAAAATCTCAAAACAATCTGTAACTTTTCTGGAGAGCGTTTTAAAGTTTTGGACACCCAAAAATCGAATACAAAACGAGCTAACTTACCTACGTTCAACGCCCCATAACTTCGGAAGTTTTACTCAGATCAATCTAAAATTTTAACGCAATATTCATAAAATGTTGTGCATTCAGAAAAAAAATATAAAAAAAATGCAAAAAAAAAATTAAATACTCCCTCCTTAAGGAAGTTGAAATTATTTTTAAACAAAATGAGACTCCCACTTAATTTTGAACAAATAAGCCAAAATGACAACACTGGAGCTCGCCAATTGAATCGGGCTGGGCCAGCGACTGGCTCCATATGGAAATTGAAAAGAAAGCCTGGCATGGTAAATGAATCGGGGACACAACGGAGTTGCAATTTGCACCGCAGAGAATCCGCTTTCGCCAGAGGACTTACTTGGGGCCCTTGGTCGGACTGGGCGTGGGCAGGCCCAGTGTCATGGCTCCTCGAACACTGTACCTGGTCTCCGTGCAGGAGGCCAAACAGAGCGGGCAGAAGAGGGCGTCCTGCAGCTCGTGCTCCAGACCCGTCACATTCTCGCGACTGGTGATGACGTTCAACCACTTGACTGGACGGCGGGAAAGGGAGGCGTTTATTCAATGAATTCGCGATTAACTCCACTTTAAACCCACACTCGTAGCGCTTGAGACAGGCCAGGTGCTGCAACGTGCAGTAGATGTGCTTCTCACTCCCATCGATATATCTGTGCGGCAAGCTGAAGGGAACGCACTCGCAGAGACTCACGACACTTTGCGCCCTGCAAGCCGAGATGCACTTGCTGAAGGTGTAATGTCGAGCGAAGATCCACGGCATCTCGTTCTCAAACAGGCACTTTCGCTGGTTTTTAAGAAGAACTCTTAATTATATTATAGTTACCTCCCTCCTTCTTACCACGGATTGACTCATACTGCGCGCTTCTGGAAGGGTCTCAAAGATTTTAGCCCTTACCGGCAGCAAGGTATTAAAGCCCGTTTCGGCCACGCGTTCAGCTACACCTCCAGAATAGGGATCGGGATAGCTGTGGGGCTCATAAATGGAGATCTAAGGACTGGAGATCTTAAGCCGACTAGATAATAATATTACTTCATTCAATTACACACCACAAAGCCATTGTGACCATTAATCTTGTAAAAATTGTCACTGGGATCTGTCTTTAAGGTCAAAACTAATCCCATGTCGGGCCCAAAGTAAAGCTGTCTAAAGTCCCTTTTATTGACGTATCTATGAAGATAGGCAAACGCTTTGTAAGAAAATAACAAACATACTGATCCTTCAAGGGGGATAAATTCGTTTTTATATTTTAGCTTACCTCCCATCGTAGTTGAAAGTGCAGCAGTAGCCATGACTAGTCAGAGTCTCCTCAAACTGATCCATGCAGTCGAAAAGTCGACCGGAAATTCTGCAGCTCACAAACATGTCACTACAATTCGGAGTGAGGGCCCGCATACGTTTTCTGGTATTGAAGAAGAGGTCCTCTTCTCCGGTATCAAACCTGTCCAAGAAGCTCTGAAGTCGCAGGGCATTATCAATATCCACCAGATCCGAGGGATCGTAGTACATGTACATAAAAGCCTTTAGTTGGTCATAGTAAAAGCTGGCATTTCGCAGCTTGGGGTCTTTGCCACTGCTGCAATGATAAATACTTAAAGAGATCCTTAAAGGTATCCTGCCCAAACGCACAGTTTGTGGGCATAGTCCCATGCCGCACGTTGTGAGATGCGGTTCAGACTGCAAACGGAAATGGCCGGGAACTCCACCTTCCAAATGGGATACATGGGATGGTACATGGTGGTCACCAAGGCATCCTGTTCGTTGGTGTAGGTGCCCCAGAGAAATGCAATTAGCACGCTCAAAGCGGTTATGTGGAAAATGAACCAAAAGAAACTGTGGGTGCACAGAAAATAATTTATATATGATCAATAATTTGAAGATTGTTTAACCAGATAGCAGCAAATGTCGATAAAGTACCCTAAATTATGTAAATAAAATCAAATTGATATGATGATTGTAGTTAAAACAGAAGATGTACAAATATAAAGATGCTTATCAATGTGATACCATTCACAAATCAGAACGACTAGAACCATTTTAATGTGTATTTGACCAGTGGAATCTTTTTTTTTATCTGTGTGGCTTAGAGGGTTTGGGTAATGGGTAATGCTAATTGAAAAAGGCCGCCGCCCATCCGGATGTGGCTGACCACCTACCGCTCCTGAATCCGCCGACCCTGCTCCACTAATTTGCCGTAACAATGGAACGACAGGTTCTGCAGCAAATCCTTTAAAGCGGCGGCAAATGACAATTTTCGCGTTTCCTCCGCGGAAGTTCCAGGTAAGTGGTTCGCAGGCTGACTGGTGGTGGGTGGTTCTGCTCTGCTGGGATTGGGTATCCACCAGGCAGCTCGACCCGGCGCCAGACGAATGGGCTCCTGATCCAAGGACTCCATTGCAACTGCCATTGTCCTTGCGAGTGCGGGACGATTTTAATGAAAATTTCGCAGTCATGTCGTGCGTGTTGTTGTAATTAGGCCTGGTGCTCCAACTTATTGCCAACAAATTAACTGCGACATGGCACGTGGTGTTCCGGCGTAGTAAAAAACACGAGGTCCTGCTCTCGATTCGTCTTGGCAATTTTCCTTAATTGTCAACAATTTAAAATGAAATTAGTTAAATGCGCGTTAAATGTCAGCCGGCGGAAACATCATCATCATCAGTAGCAGGAACAAGTTTTGTCCTTGTAGCCCCCGAAAAAACATGGCTTACCCCTCCTTTGGATTATGAGCTACGTAGGCAAAGGAAGGACACGTTTGGTGGTGGCCATAGAAATACAGATTTTGGTACCACCACACTCCGAAATGATTAAAAATTCTAAAGAAGAGGTTGAGATAAATTTCAGAAAAATCTTTAAGAACTCCATTTAATGTTAATTAATTCTATGTCGTTTCAAAACTGATTCTTTGACTTTTTTTAAACCATTTAAAAAATCAATTTCCCCTTCTTATTACGATATGCCCACTTTGGGAAAAAGGGGTAGAATTCATAACCACTATCTTAAGAGAAAAACTAATTAAATAAAGTTATATATTGACTAATTTATACTTTACAGCTTTCAGACAATAAATTTTAATTTTCACCTCCGAAAAGGCGTTAAAGACTTGTTTACCAATAGCTCTTAAATAATTTTTAACCAGTTTCGGAAGAATTTCGATGCCAAACAACAAACACCGGAAATATAATGCCATTAAATATTTATCGTTTAGTTTTATTGCAGGCGTAAAACCGGTACTAAATATAAAATAAATAGTAATATAATTATCAATATTAGTTGAAAAGGCAGAAAGGACTATTTGCCAAAATAAACTGCAAGTTTCGGACGTGGCGACAAGGGATTGTACGAAAAATGTTTCCTCAGGTGAGTGTGGGACCAAATTAATATGCAAATAAGTAGGCGACGGAGGAGAAACGGGGGAAAATCAGTCGGCCAAGATAAACGCACAAAGCGCAGAAAATCTGGGACGGGGGTTATTCTTCTCTCTTTTTGAGGCAGCAAACGGAAACGGAAATGAAAAATGTGAAAAATGCAATGCGCAGTGAGTCGCGAAAAAGGACAGTCAAAAGCGAAGTTGAGGATGCAGCGAAAATTGCGAATGCAAATTGTCTATGGTGCGTATGCGTGTGCGTGTCTGGTGCACACTGCGTATGAGTAACATCGATGCTGACTTGTCCTTTATCTCGGCCTCACCTGCGAAGCCTCCTCCCTCGATTCCGGTGCCAATAGTTTGCCATATTTCTCAACCGGAACATACGTATATATGGCGCAGTAAATCTGTCACATCCAGACAAAAGCTCAAGCCAAGCGAATTCTTTTTCCTCCCAGTTTTACACCGGATGTTTCGATTCGCAAAGGGGGACTCCCCCATCAAGAAAGACCTCTGCTAAATTGATTCTCAATATTTGCTTGGGACTTTCTGTATGCATATTTACGTACAATTATAAAACTCTTATTCGTTTTTCTGATTAATTAATTATGGTTTGAATACACACGTATTTAAGCAAATAATATGAAAAAAAGTGAAACATAATTTTAGGCGGAATAAAGCACTCTCTAAAAAGCTGACTAATAAGACACAACTTTGGCGTCGTTTCTTTTAAACGCCCATTCGTTTCCTGTGTTTTCTTAATGTTATAATCGCGTATAAGTTTATATAACATTATACTGACCTAAGTTAACAAATGTTTAACAAAAAAATACATTTTTTGAAAACAAAAACGATTTACCTTGCACCGGAACTCACTGAAATGGGATTGCAAAAACTGGTTTTCAAGTTAGCTGATTTTTTATTGTGATAAATATTTTTTTAATTAAACTGTCATAAGCGCAGTCATATTCTGGGTCCTGCATTGCAAACATTCTCATAGAAGTCTGTATCTACATATTTCCGATTTTATTTTATAGTTTTCTTTTAATGGTTTTAATAATCCATTTTACCATTTTTGAATTTAGTAATGCTAACTTTAAAGTGCTCTAAAATAAACATCTCTTCCATTGATTTCTTGGATTTTGCGATAGTTGTTGACGAGTGGCTTTTCTCGTGAGTCCTTGAGTTTCCAGAGCTTAGCAATCTGACGACCGGAATAGTTTATAACAGCGGAAAAAACAGTCCATGTGACAGCTTCGGCGCAATCCGGTGTGGTTAGAGATCCTGAGAAAGGAGGTCTACATTAAGTTTCTTTATAACTTTATTCAGAGCCTGTACTTACCATTATAAGTAAAGAACTGATCCGTAATGATACCTCCCAACAACTGCCCCACAGTCAGTGTTCCGGTTATCGTTGCATTCGAACTGTATTGCTCTATTTTCGGCAACTGATTAAATATCTTGTCGAGACCGTTTTGAAAAGTAAGTATATACGTTGACCTTAACATCACCCCCAAAACGGCTAAAAAATGCAGATTTAATTTAGAGAATAAACATAGTAAAGTGGCAAGGATTAATTACCCAAACCGTCAGGATGCAACGTTGCCTCGCCCATTGTGTCATACTTGACATTCTTATGAACAATATGCATTTCCACATCGTAGCGCCTATTGCCTATAGAATGTTCCGATCCTTTGCTATTTTTCGACCCCCAATGGAAGTGTACACTTTGCACCTCGAAGTCGCCAGGCAAAAGGCCACCATTTATTCCGGCGCGCTGGCCTCCTCTTGTAGGAGGTATTACCATGTTTGCTATTTGGATGTATAAATAGTAAACGATCCACTAAACAAAAGCCTAAACTAAGTACCTGTGTGTCCATTATTCGTAATCACCAAGGGAGTTTGCAGTGCTTGGTCATAGTGGTAGAAACACAGGCGGGGAATGGCCACTATTTTTGACTACATAAATAAAAATTAGCAAAGTCCCTGAAAATGAATTCGGTCTGGAGAACGTACTTCATCAAGATTCAGGTTAATCGGTGACTGTTTGCTTCCAGTTGCGCAGGTTCCAGTCCAATCATCGCCCTGTTTATCATAGTTATACTCACCTGCCGACTGGTCATCTGCCCGATCCTGCCTTATGGCGGCCAGATACTCCTCCGGTATCTCTGAAAGCCATTTTCAATATTGTATTGGTCACAACTGAGAAGCAGAAAACTTACGTATGTTGGCCAAAGTGCAGCCACACAAGGCTAGCAGCCAGCAAAAACTAAAGCAGAGCATTTTCAATGACAAACTTTTCTTGTTACCACTTTCAGATCTGTTCCCGTTGGAGTTTCCAGTCAGACTGTGAGTTTCTCGGTTCCGATCAGAACCATTTATACCTGGCAACCCGGGGGAAAACTGCAATAATTTCTAAATGGGTGTGCATAAGAGGCTGATAAGCGCAATCAGCTTAGCTCAGCCTTTGGGCGCAATTTACATTCAAATTGCAAATGGCATTACAGCTCTGCGGTTGCCAAACCAGCTTGATAATTGACTTTGGCCAAGACGCTAGGCTAGTAATTAATAAATCCTGTTCTCCTTACATTGTGAACAGATCGTAGAGTCCCTGATTTCTCTGAATCCAAATAAAATGTCAGAGAAAGGGAGGAGCGGCTTCAAACCACAAGCAAACATTGTGAATCGTGGGGTCTATTTATCAAAGCCCCGGGGTTTGCCGTGATATAGAACTATATATATATAATATGTACATGTTTCATATTTATTTCATTAGCATATTTCAATATATAAATACGGCTCATCAAATAGCTAGGGACATTACTTAGATATATTGCACTTTTCTTCCATTTCTCATTTCTAATATTCGGGTGATTTTTAAAAAAATGGAAACTAATGCAAAAGGTTAAATATGCATATCAACTGTTTAATCTAAAATAAATTAATTTTATAGATGTCAAATAAGGCTAATAAGGCTAATCAAAGTTTGTGCCAGGAATACGAAATCTTTTATGGCTACTCCCTCGTTGAATGTCAATATGTCTGGAAATCTGTCTAGATGAAATGTAAACTCATTAGGCACTTATCTTACAATTCGAGCAAATCACAGCCTTTACTGATCTCGGTTAACTAATATAATTCTAAGACTACCTTTTTTGTTGGCATTAGTAGATTTGTTTGTATTTCCCTTTAATGCATTATACAAAAATTTAAAAAAAAATATTAGGCTTGCTTATTTTCTCATTAATTGGATTAAAACATTAATATTGTACTGATCTTTTAATACAAATTTGTTTTTTCATTTATAAAGAAACGGGGCCGCCTATGACTATTAAATATTGTGAAATTTAAAACCTGTGATATCAACTTGAGCCAAATTTTAAGACTTCAAACAAAACCTTCGTCTTTGCTCTTGACCCAAGTGTTAGATAAACATCCACTTCTTAGCAACAACGTATTTAATTAAAATCCGATGACCTATAAACAAAAATTACTCTAACTCACTTTCAGATTCTGTAAAACACATGTCGCCCATTTAAACGTTGGACACTCCGGAAATTGTTGATTATTTTTTGGTTGTTATGGTCTAGCAATTTCCAAAAGTTCGATACCGATGAATAGGTTACAGGCAGGACTTCGGAGAACACAATCCAGGTTACAGCCTCCTGGCAAGAGGGCGTGGTCAACGATCCCCGATAGGTGAAAAAGTCATGCGGATTCACGTTCCCAATCATCTGACCCAAACTAAATCCGCCCCGAATAGTTGTCTTTGCATTATCTTTCCGAATCTTTGCGACTGCAGCCAAAACTCTGTTTAAGCTCGGAAATTTGCGTTTGGGTTTCTGGAATAATTATTATTAATAACTTGTTAGTTGCTTAAAAAAATAAATAAAACTATTTTGTTTATCATATCTTTAAAACGTGTTTTTTTTCTATATTTCAATAATATGAATAAAATTACCTTAACAATTTTTAACAGGACACCGACCACAGTCAGCCCATCTGTTTTGCCGACTGCCTTGATAATGTCTTTGTATTTATTATTTCGATGGACAATGTGCATTTCCAAGTCGAATCGTTCATTGTTGATTAAATGCTCGGAACCCTGGGAATTTTTGGATCCCCAATGAAAGTGTAGACCATCGGCCTCATAACGATTTTTCAAAGTGCCACCAATTATAAAGGGCTTCTTGCCGTTAGTCGTTTTGGGGATGTTCATGAAAACTACCAATATCATAATTAGCTCTTCACAATAAACTATTAGCGATTATATAAATGAAAATCAAGGCTACCTGTATGTCCATTATTAATAATGGATATCGGCCCCTTCAACTTTAATTTATAGTTTCCGAAAAAGACACGAGGCATTAGCGAAGTTTCAGCCTGCACAATGTATTAAATTATATATTTAAGGTCTCTCATTATTTCATACAATAATTCCCCATATTCTAATTTACGACTTGCATTTCTTTTAAACAAATTTATATCTTACTTTTTCAACATTCAACGAAATGGGTGATTGATTAAGTCCTGTGGCGCAGGTGCCTGTCCAGTTCATCCCGTTCGCAATGTGATCCCATTCAGAACCTGCATTTTTCAAATGGAATTTCAGTCACTAATCTTCTGAATATGATATTTGTAGAACGCAAGTGAGGTATGGCACATTGATTAATAACACCACAAACAAAATTTGTAACAAATGTCTGTATTATTTAGAATTAAAAAGCATAAAATAAATTAAGAAATTAAGAAAGAAAATAAATTATGAAATCAATACTAAAAATTGCAATTCAAAAAATTCTTGCAATTGGAAATTGTATCATGTATAAAATTATTATTTTGTTTTATTACTTTCTACACAGATCTGATATGATATATACAATATATATACAAAAAATATCTGCTTAATTGAATTTTCGTCTGCTCTGAACTCCTTAAGAGGCAACACACCAGGCTTAGATCGAATCTCCTACTCCATGATCAAAAATCTTCCCATCCCAGTTAAACATAGAATAGTTAACCGCTTTAACAACATACTCTTTTCCCACATCCCCCAATCATTTAAACTCAGTCTTGTATTACCCATAATTAAACCTCACAAACCAAAAACAGAAATAAAATTATATAGACCTATCGCTTTAAACCCATGTCTAGCCAAAGTACTAGACAAAATTATGGCTAAATGGTTGTGGTGGTTCGTTTTAAACAACGATCACATCCACAGCTCCCAATTCGGCTTTAAGCGAGGCAAATCTGTTCTAGATAGTCTGCTCTAAGTAGACCACCTAGCTTCCAGATCCATTGCCCTCAAAAAACACCTGTCAATAATATCACTTGATTTTACAAAAGCTTTCGATAGAATAGGAATCCACACAATCATTCATCAACTGCACAATTGGGAAGTAGGTCCCATAATTATCAACTATATTACAAATCAGGAAAATGCCTTTCCAATACTTTCCCCCTAAACAACGGTATCCCACAAGGCTCACCTATATCAGTTATACTATTTCTTATTGCCTATAATTCCCTCCATTGCCCTCAAAAAACACTTGTCAATATTATCACTTGATTTTACAAAAGCTTTCGATAGAATATTAATCCACACAATCATTCATCAATTGCACAATTGGAAAGTAGGTCCCATTATCAACTATATTACAAATTTTATGACAAACAGGAAAATTATAGCCAAATCAGGAAAATGCCTATATCAGTTATACTATTTCTTATTGCCTACAATTCCCTCTCCAACACCCTATCACTCTCAAATGAGATTAAATTTTACGCTTACGCCGACTTACGACGACTTCTACCTCCTCATCCACAAATTCAAACTCCCAGCTCATCTTAAAATTTCTGAACAGTTCTAAAATAACATACAAAATATGATATAAGAATACATGTAAATACAATATGTAAATATGTAAATACAATTAATCCAATACTTTAGTAAATACGAAAACTTTGTAAATATGAAAACTTTGTCAACAACTTTATATTGGATCCATAAACATACTTAAGCCTCGAGCTCAAGTTTAACACTAATTGTTAGCTTTAGATAAATAAATATATATATATACTTATCTATAAAGCCAACCGTTAAATGGATTTGAAATGCATATTAACTGTGACTGAAAAAAATATTTTATACCTCATTTTAATTTCTGTTTTATGTCATTAAAGACTATTCATTGCACTTTTCATCACTCCTCAAGTTTACATACATTATTCTGGGGCTCAAATTACCATTTGCAGAATGTTGATAAGCGAGCGTTATATACAGTAAAAAGTACTTGTGAAAACCATTTGGCTGCATTGTTGTAGAACTCAATTGTGGTCCTTTAGATTAGGATATTATAATTATAATATTATAATAATTTCCAATTAACGCGATAGTTTTCTATGATGTCGCTTTCGAATTTATAATAATAATCCGAAGTGAATATACAGCAGAAATGTTTTATTTTAACGGAGGAACTGCTGCTGTGACTGCAATATTCGCACAACTGAATCAGCTAACAAATACCCCTATGAGTTTTATACTTAAGTTGGGTTGGAATAATATCGGATCGAATGCAACTCAAACAATAGCAACTGTTGCTTTTCGAAATAAAACATAGGTTACAAATACATAAAATATTTTTTTTAATAAAAAAACTAAAATAAATACAGAACTTAAACCTAATTATAACACCATCACTTTCCCAAGTAGGCACCACTCAGGTCTTTTCCGGCTCTATAGAACACAGGTCTCCCATTTCGCTGTTGAACATGCCGGAAATTGTTGACTAGCCTGTGGCCCTCAGAGTCTCGCAATTTCCAAAACCTCGATAACGAGGAATAGGATACGGGCAGGACTTGGGAGAACACATTCCAGGTGACGGCCTCCTGGCAAACGGGCGTGGTCAGAGATCCTCGATAGGTAAAGAAGTCGCGGGGGTTCACATTGCCAAGCATCTGACCCAAACTTAAGCCACCCGGAATGGTCGTTTTCGCTTTATACTTCGTAACTCTTGGCAATGCACCCAAAACTTTGTTTAAGCCCGGAAAGATGATATTGGGATTCTGTAGAACATAAAAAATAATATTAATAAATTGTTTATTTTATAGGCTATAAAGCTCTCCAATTTTGTTTTACCTTCACCAGCTATTTATATATATTGAACCGAAAGACGGTATTTTTTTATTAAAGTGATTTATAAAATGCAAACAACGACGAGTAAAAAAAATTATCCAAATTTTGACAATGGCACGTATTATTTTATTCGGGAAATTTAGGTTTGAGGTGTAGATTTTCATTTCACTTGACTTTTCTTGACTGTTTTATCACGTCATGTTAGATTGTAGAAGTGATAAAAGAAATTATGGTACATGAATGTACATTTCATACATATACTAATGCACATTGACCTTCAATATGCATTAAAGTTAAAAATTAATTAGACTTATAAAGTATCTTGACATTACCTTTACAATTTTTAACATGACAGCAATGACAGCCAAACCATCTTTGCTTTTGGCCGCCTCGTTAATATCTTTGTATTTAGCATTTCGATGGACAATGTGCATTTCCACGTCGAAGCGCTGTTTGTTGATCGAGTGTTCAGATCCCCGGGAATCGGGGGATCCCCAATGAAAGTGCAAGCCCTCGGCCACATAACGACCTTTCAATAGGCCCCCGGTTATGAAGGGCTTCTTCCCGTTAGTCGTTTCCGGTACGTCCATGTGAACTGCCAAATAATAGGGGCTCTTAAACTATTAGCGATTTCATAAAAGACAACCTACCTGTGTGTCCATTATTGAGCAGGGTGAGCGGCCCCCTGAGCTTTATGTCATAGTTTCCGAAAACGATGCGAGGCAATGGCACGATGAGCGACTGGCAGAAAGCATGACATTACATATTAGTTATTGAAATAAATTAGCCTTCAATTTTCCACCAATTTACTTGTAATGCGAAAAGTGACGATAAAAGAGTTTTCGACAGTAAATGGGAGTGTTACATTTGTCAATTTCGGGTATCTCTTTAGGCAAATATGAATGTTGTAACCCAATTATCTATTCATGATGGGAAATTACTTATAATGGACCCTATCATCGTAAAATTGTTATTTTTGGTAGCCTTTTTAAAACAACCGTATTACCTAATTTAAATTTACATTTCCTATGGAAAAGTTCTATAAGAAAAAATGTGTTGCCATTAAAAAAAAGTATATTGACTAATTCCTAACCGATTACGTTAAGCAAAAACAAATTTTTAATAGATGCGCATATAAAATGGAGCCGCATATTTGGTTCGCATAATTAATACACATTTGGTGATACAAATTTTTAATTTAATTGTTTTCTTTTTTATTTACAAGAACACGATTGTGATTCAAGCTTGTTTGCCCGGTTGGATAATCATTAACTATCATCCCCACTTTTGATATTAATAGGCGGAAAAATGAAAAACTTTGTTTTTAAATATGTCTTCGATAATATACAAATTATAACTTACTTTTTGAACATTTAACGAAATTGGTGATTGCCTCACGCCCGAAGAACAAATGTCTTCCCAATTATGTCCATTTGTCTCATAATTCCAATGTAATTCATCTTTGGCATCTGTAAGTTTGGAATTAAATTGAAGAAAACAAGGTCTGAGTTGTTTTCACTTTCTTTCAGCTACCTAGCATGGTAATCCTATTAGCCAAGACTGAATAAATTCACTTCTGTTTTGATTCGATGGAATTAGTCGACTCTTTCATTTCTCAGACCCAAACAAGGTATGACGGAATGATTAATTACCCTACCTTACAAAAACAAATGGAGTGCACACCAAATCTTTAAATCTGGTATGGTTTTCTGGTTCAGTTTAAATACACACCAGAGCGTTTTCTAAACAGTAAATTGAAAATGGTTTTTAATAATTTATTTTTATTCTTAGATCTTTTTAAACATGTAATATAACCACTAAAACTGGCTTAAGATGCATAGCCTAGAACCTATGTCATAAACTGCCTGAAGATAATTATACAAAAATATCTTAAAATATATTTCGTATTTTCAAGAAAAAAAGATATTTAAACAAAATTAAAATTAACCAGTAGATGGATTGTAACAAAATTAATGATTTCAGCTCAAATAAAACTTCGTTATATTTTTCCTGCCATTGAAGGCTAGTTATTTCACTTTTTTATCACCCCTCGAAGTTCTCATACAGTATGTTCTGGGATTTAAATTACCATTTGATGTATGTTGATAGGCGAGCGGAAGCAATAGTAAAAGCTTGTGAAATGCATTCGACTGCATTGTTGCAGAACCCAGATGTGATTGTTCTGATAACGATATAGTATTATAATTAACTCCAACTAACGCGTGTGTCTTTGTATTTGATCTCACGTCGAATTCGATTTTACATAAATTATCCGATGCGAAAGTGCGGGAGATATGTTAACTTTTATGGTGCTGCTGCGACTGCGAACCTCGAACAACTGAAACGGCTCACAGATGCCCAGATAACTTTTATAGTTTTGAGGGGTCTATGTGAAGCCCACGCCGACTCAAAGTCTGGGGAGTTGGAATGGAATCCGATCGGATCTGAATTCGAAACCTAAGTGGGGCGTGATTAGCGCCAAACGGTAGCAACAAGTGCCAGTCTAATTGCAACTGTTGTTTTCGAAATGATAAATGATCTGATTTGTTGGCGTCTGCGCAATATAGACCATAATAGCCAAGGAAAACCATATGATAATTGTTGGAAATGCGGAAAAGGTCTTGCCAAAGTTGGTTGAACTCTTACAATTTCTTTCGGCCATAATTGGTGAATGGGTTGATTAATAATTCTACAATTCATCTTTTTGAAAAATTTGTAACTTTACCACTAATTCTTTTTTATTTTTACAAGCTAATACATATTTTTGATTAATTAAATAGCAGTAAAAAAATAAGATCACCGGCATTTGGCACGTGTCAAAGTGTTTGATATACTTAATTCAATAAGCACATTTGCATAAGTTAAATCAAATTCATTTCTCCAAATGCATTGAAAGAAAGTAGCTTTGACCATTTGCATTTGAATTGTTATTAATAGAAAATCTGATGCCCAAAAATTTGGCAAATATTCGAATTGAATCACTGGATCAGCCAGATTAGGCAGAAGTTGCTGGACGAGTTTCGACTACGTCATACCCAAAAGAGCAGGGAAATCCTCTGACCAGTTACAAAATAATTTTGTTAGCCACAACTTCTTTATCGAATGTTCCATAATTCCCTTAAAGTGGGTGACTCACAAAAGAGCTCCAAATTACACCTTGGCAACATCATTTGTCAGCAATGATAATAGATATAATAATGAATATGTTGGCCTGGTCGGTTTCACTTTTCCCAGCGAAGAAAGGGGCTTAACATTTTTTCAGGCTTTACATTAAACTGTATTTCGTATTCTGTCACTAACAACTAAGTATTCATGCACACTCACGGTAGATATTATATATAATTTAGATATAATGTAACCAAATTGTGATATATGTACGCTTAAAGGCCTAATCAATAAAAACGTAACAAGCACGCGGTTTCTGGACAGTCAAACTGCATTCTAAACTTGGGATTTTACCCTGTATCAAAGCTCGGTGGCGAAATAGATGCGCTTGCTGGGTCAGAAGTCGCCCACCGCATGGGATATGAACTCGAATTGCCGATCCACGCTGTTCTCCGCCTCTAAATCAAGGCCTTCATCGATGAAATGCATCTCTACGTGCTCTCGGAAGGCGTTAAAGGACACCTGACTGGAATACTGTTTACCGCACATGGGACAAGTCTTCTCCATGGCATCGGCTGCATCGGCCTTGATTTTCTCTTGTATGATATTAATCCTTTGGCTGGGCGGCGTTCCATTGTGTCCATTGTGCTGGCTTTCACAGTTCTTCAGTTCGCTGGTGAGGCTGTCATCCGTTTCCAGGCTTTTGTCGGCCATCTCCGGCTTTTTAGCAACTTTCTGGGCGCACTCCGGACAGGGATGCAGTGCTTTTGGGTTGGAAAACAGTGGTAACAATGGCACTTTCTATTAATATTAAATAATATCCCTTACCTATGCGACTTTCTAATAAAGTCAGAGCCGAACTGAGCTCCTGCTGCTGCTTCATGGCCTCCCGCCTCATCTCCTGCAATCCGTCCATGCATTTTTTGGCATCCACATTGGCATCTAGTTCGCTAGTGGTTTCCTCCACTTTTTGCAGATTGTAGGGGTAACCTAGTTCTTCATTACTGGCACCAAAGTCATCTAGGGCAATCTCCTCCAGACTAAGGTCCTTTAGGCCATCGGAGAGCATTTTTTGGCGCAGATGAGGATTGGGAGAGTGCTGTGTGAATGTCTTGGAGCGCACAAGGTTTTGGTTTTGCTGCGCACGGGAGTCTGGAGAGCTAGGCACTTGGTTTAGTTGCTGATCCTTGGAGATCTGCGACAGGCGAGACCATAAACGCCGGTTTTCGTTGGACACCATTCCAATGTGTTCCTCTAGCTGCTCCTTTTGGCGCTGCAATTCGGATACTTGTGCGCGTAGGGAGAGGACATCTCCGGAGACCCCGCTTACAGACGGAGCACCTTCTGACCTCGACGAGACCTCTCTCAATCGCTGGTTCTCCTCTTCCATGTTGGCCACGCGGCGTTGCAACTGGATGCATCTTTCTTTGATTGTTTGTAGGGCAACTTGCAGTGCGTAGTTCATTTTGTCGCTGGCATTGGAGTTTGTGCATCCGGAAGTGGACGTGGAAGTGGCCAGAGGTGTGATTTTAGCAGACGTTGCCTCCATTGCAAGTTCTTGGGTTCGCAGGCACTTTACATCAAAATATCAGCTCAATTGCACCTAGAACTATATGTTTTCTGGGCGATTTCGTTTTTTTCGGTCTATTGTTGCGTTCTCATTAGTAAGACCGTGCTAACAAACTTTACTGAACGTCATACCGATAGTTTTCTAAATTTGTTAGCACACTTATCGAAAGGGATTTTAAAAAAGTTATTTTAGAACTTATATTAAACGGTGCTTAAACTTTAGCTCGTTCTGAATTAAAAACATATTTAAAATAAATACTACTTTCAAACTATAGTCCCTATCGAATAGGTTTCCTGGGTTTTAGTATTTTCGTTACGTATTACGTAGAGTGAACAAGACTTATCGCGAACAGCTGTTTTTGTTTACGCGGCATATTATCCAACACATTTTACAATGTTTTGCGGGCAGAGTTTAGTTAATAATTTTTACAAGTATAAGAGAAAAGTATGGCAAAATGTAAACCCAATAATAAAGTGCTGCATTACCACCTACAACCCACCCAAAATTCTGTTTTTTGGAACCGACAACTTTTCATTGCCCAGTTTGCAGGCGCTACACAAAAATAGCAGGTAAGTGAAAGGTAATATAAACAATTTTATTATCGGTAATAACTTAAATACACCCTTAGCAATCGTTTGGGAGTGGTTACATCCTTTAAGAGTCCTGCCAATTGTGTGAGGAGCTATGCGGAGAAGGAGAAACTCCCGTTGCAAAAGTGGCCCATAGAACCATCAGAATGTTCCCAATTCGATCTGGGTGTAGTGGTTTCTTTTGGCCACCTGATACCAGCTAATATAATCAACGGATTCCCCAAAGGAATGATCAATGTTCACGCTAGCTTGCTGCCTAAATGGCGAGGTGCTGCTCCAATTATTTATGCCATTATGAAAAGAGATGCCAGCACTGGGGTTTCCATTATGAAAATCGAACCACATAGATTTGATATAGGAGCTGTAAGCTCATGGTTATTTAATTATTCTTTTAAGAGACTTTTATAAATTGCATTTTAGATATTAGCTCAACGGGAAGTGCCCATTGAGCCCGATGTCTTCATGCCGGAATTGCATGCTTCTTTGGCTAAGTTAGGAGCTGAATTACTGGTGGATACGGTAAACAACTTATCAGAGAGACTAAAAGAAGACATACCCCAAGATAATACAAATGCCAGCTATGGTAAAATACATACTAAAAATCAAACGTACCTATTTTAACCATATATTCCTTTAGCTCCCAAGATTACAAACAAGATCACGGAAATTAACTGGTCAAAGCTTAGTGCTGTCGATATATACGCTCGATATAGAGCTTTGTATAGTTATAGAAATCTAACCACCAGTTTTTTAGACAAACAAGTGCAGCTCCTTGAGCTAAGGTTACCAGAAAAGCAACTTTTAATTCAAAAACCAGGGCATTTCAGCTATCAAAAGAGGAGGAAATCCCTGCTAATCGGATGTGCTCAGGAAAGTCAGTTGGAAGTTCTTCAATTGCGGATAGAAGGTAAAAAACCAATGAGTGCCCAGGATTTTAATAATGGTTTCATGAAGCAAGCTAAATCCCTTAACTTTACAGATAATAAACTAGTTTCAAATTGATAACAAAGATAGTATTTTTAATGCAAAATGGATGCTTTTTATCTAGGCTAAGTCGGAGGGCTTAACCTCCTTGGTTTCGGAAAGCTGCTGTGTGGACTTTTGGAGCAGATTCTTGGTGAACCACATGGGACGCGGCTTTTTCATCTCCACGATGCGTTTGCCTTTAAGCTCTTCTGAGGTTTGCTCTGCTTTTTCTCCTTCATAGAGAACGATTACTTCCTTGTCCACTGGATCTAGACCAAGTGTCTCCTGTATTTTCGACTGCATGAGCTCCGTTTCTTTCAGAACTTTCTGGTAGCAGAAAGCTGGAGGAGGAATTTGATGAGATGTTTATGGTTATAAGGTTTAAGGGACAACTTACGACATAGAACCCCCATTTCGTGGTCATGTCCACATTGCAAGCACGAACGGATATTTCTCTTTTCCCTCAGAGGCTTCCAGTTGTATTCCGGGAAACCAAACTTCCGTTTTAGGCGCTTTTCCACAGATCTCCGGTGTTTCGGTACTGCCCACAACATTCCATCGCCAATTAAGTTCTTTAAACTGAATTCCAGGGAACTTTTTTGGCTGTGCTCATGCTGAAAACCGGCCAAAGCCAATACTGTTTAAGTAAGTGATTATTAAGAGCAATTACAAAGGCAAATGGTACTGCTCACCTGGCGGATGTCCTCCATGTGGCAGGAACAGGCGCTCCACGTTCCTTAGAAAGTTTGTAATTGATAAAAACAAATTTTTAGACATTTTACGACTCTAATATTGCTGGATTTACGTAAACGTGATTAGAGATGAGCTATAGTAAGCAGCCCAGCTATCGATATATTTAAATATATACAAGAAAAAAACGTAAGCAAGAAAATATCACGTATTAAATTTATTAAGGTGTAATGGAGTATTAAAACGGATTTCATTATTTCACGACTTACATACAAGAAAACACGTAATCGCTGTAAAAATAAATACAACTTGTAAGATTAATTAAATAATTGTTTTAAGCTAACTTAACAATCTCCATTTCAATAGAACAATCTTTATGGTGATACGTTACCCACCTCTAGCGTTACGTGCAAGCCGGCTGCCTTGCGTCACCGCGCACGTTGCAACCCTAAACAGCTGTTCGAACCAGCTGTTCCGCACTGTTACGTCAAAATAAAGTAGTGAAAAGCTGCAAATTGCGTGCAAGTTAAATAAAAACTATTTCCTGGGGCGGAAAACGTGTTGCAAGTGGCTTTATTGACTGGCCCTGTGATTGTGGAACATGAGAGCACCGGCGGTGGGCGAAAGGTAGTGGCTGCCAAGCGGAGCAGCCCTTATCAGAGGAGCTAGGTTCCGAAGCGAACCCAGAAATAACGTGCCCCACAGGTAAACAGGGGTCATTCAAAATAGCCCCCGACCCCTGAAGTCCAGTGGCTCCCAAACTGTGTGGTCTATTCACCAAGATCCCCGTTCAAGTTCAAGCCGATCTTAACTTCGTATGCGATCGTTTTCACCACAGCCGAATACCCACCACACCTGACGGCGCGCACGCGCATCGATTCAAAAACCCACAAAAAGCGAAAACACTTCGCTGGAGCTGCTGAAGCCAAACGCAAGCAAACCGCGCTTCGCTGTCGCCTCGAAAATCGCCTGTAAATCGCGCGTTTCAAAATCCTGCGATCCTGCCAAAATATAAACAAAAAACCCATAATAATGCTGTTGACCTCTTAAATTCTGTGCCTGTGTCTCTATCGAAGCTTACAATTCTTACAAAAAAACCCAAGGAATTAAAACCCTTCCCCTCTAAAAACAACCTTTATTAGTAAAACTTCAAATATGGCCTGCTTGAGCACTTCCGGTCGCGTCGTTTGCGGTTCGCGTCGCCAGCAGACGCACAAGTTGCTATATCAACTGTTTGGATCCCGGCCAGGACTTACAAACCCTTCCCCATCGACAGGATTTAATCCACCCAAAGTTCAACAGCAGGCCATGCGACTCTTCCACGGATTAAGCTTCAGCATGGGCAAGGATTATCCCGATTTGCTGGTGAGTTCAATGTGACAAGCAGATTACACAGAAAACATATATGAAACGGATTCAAAACAATTCACTGAAAGACTTTTTTATTTATGTTGAGTTTTTGAGAATTTTCTTAATTTTATTTAAAGAATCGCTATTTTGTATAGCTCAAAATTTTTAAATTGGGTGTAAGCCCATTAAATACTATTAGTTTTGTGTTAGGTAAAATTTAAAAATATATTTTTTCTTTATTATTCAGAATGTCAACAATCTGTCTTCAAAATGGATTGTTCGGAATGGTATTAGCATACTTTTAGAAACCTCTAGGGTTTCAAATACTAGCACTATTTAGAATATAAAAATATTTATATAGGTCGTGCCAATATCCCATTTGTGATAAACAAAAGTAGAATTTATCAGAATCTTTACTTTCTCAAAAAGATATTGTTTCAATTCAATATTGAAATGGGCTTTTCTTCCAGTGCAGAGTGCATTGGCTGCGATTGTAGCAAAACCAAACCAACTCCTTGCCGCTAATGCGTCTGCGTGACTTTGGCTTTTGGCTATCCGCTTTTCTTTTCTTCGCCGTTCGCTGCAAAGCCAAAAAGAAAATGAAAGTGAAATTGGTCGCTGGTTGTTGGCCATTGCTTTTGTGCAAGTAGCGTGAAAAACAACTTGTTGCGCCCACAGTCGCTTCAATGTTGTTGTTGGCGGAAGCTGGCGCATTTATTTATTATTGTGCCTTGGCTTTTTTTTTACGATTTTGCCAAACGCCTCTGTTTTTCTTCGTTTCCATGTGTTTTTCCCTGCATTTTTGCAAGGTGAAGTTTTTCGTCTGCCTCTCTTTCTGGCCCGATAATTATGTCTCTTTCTGGTCTGTCTGCAGTTTGTCATTATTTTTATATCGTTGACAAGTCTTAGTGTTTTCCTTCCCTTCTTTTTGTTTTGAGTTATGCAATTTCGCCAGTTGCATATTGGGCTCTAGTTTATTGCTCGTATTTATGAATATTTATTGAGCTATTTGCAGCGCCAATAAACAGCTGATTCGGGAACAGTGCCCTTAAAACTGTGCTCTATTTTGCTCTAAAACTTTGACCTGCACCGTATACGTAATATTTTAAGTGGATTCAAACAAGCGAATCGATGTTTTCTTATCAGCTCGCGAAACACTATCAGCACTTTGTATTTCATTTGCTTTACTGCTTATTGGTAATACAGTCATTTTTTTGTATTTGCAGTTTTATAGCTTTGCAGAACTTTCGAACAAACTATATTACATTAATAAATAGCAAAATAAAATAAACTGTTTAAAACTAAAAAGCGTGCACTCTATTAAATTAGGCGATGGAAATCAAAACCTCTGCCATCTACTTTTTAATTTGTATGAATGACGCACTGAGAGCAACAAAAGGTCGTAAATAACCAAGCTCATTATATTTTTATGTAGATATTTGCTAGGCCATATTTCTTGGGTAGAACATCTCTAGGTTATGCTTCGAGAGCCTTTGTTGTCTGGCTAAAAACCCAGAAGGAAATGCAGGCAATTGTCTTATAATTCAATTTGCTAGTTAAGCACTTGCCTTCGGTTTAATTGCTTACTTACTTACGCCTTGACTAGGCATGTGTAGGCCACAATTAGTGCATCGGTTTCTCACATTTGCTATTTAGTTTATTGTTTTATGGCACGCCATTTAAGCCAACCCATTTAGTGAGCGGGTGGTTTTCAGGAGTACGACTTTGATTTAATTGCTTTAGCATTGCGAGTGCAATAAATTGAATGCAGTTTTGCATTGCCAATTTTGGCGGACATCCTAAACTAAAAAAACAATGTATATGTATTTATTTTATACAAAGTTTGGTCTGTTTTGGGTAAAATATAAAAAAGGTTAAGTGCTCGTTAATTCACTTTATTGCACACTTTTGACTCTTGTTAAAGCGCCCCTGATCCAAAAGGTTAGGCGTCTGTTTGTCTCCCGAAAAAATTTAATAACATAATTTGCTTAAGAGTTACCTTTTACTTCACGTTATCTGCAATGATTTTTAATTAGATAAATATGTTAAATATTAATCTTTTGCTCTTAATAAATAAATTTAATTGAAATAGCATTCAGAAATTCATTCAATAAATCCAATTCCATAAAATAGACTCAAATCTAAATAAATACACTTCGCCTAACCAAAGTGACCCAATCATTTTGGAAAAGTTAAAAATTGTGCATGCAGTTGTCGCTAGCACATTATTTATGCATTTTAGTTGTTTAAGACCTTTTTGTTGTTTCATTTCAAAGCCGAATAAAAATTCATTCAACGCCAAATTGGTTTTATGCCCAACTCACATCCACAAAGCGACGAAAACAAGCACCTGGAAACTGATACGTTCATCTATCATAGGTAAACAATAAACAAAACGCAAATAGAAAGCGCACGTCGCAGCCAAAACCAAAAACCAAAAAAAAAAACGCCAACTAATAATAGTCGGCAATAGCAGTCGTAGAAGAAATTCACTTTTAACGGTTTCTTTGACTTTCTTCTTCATTTCATTTGCCAAGCTGCCGAGCTCTCCATTGTTTTGGCCAAAAGAAACCAGCCAAAAAAAAGAGGTCCGCATCTCTATCTATATGCGCCACACGAATTTGGCAAGAAGCCGATTGGCCAGCTTTTAGTATTCGTTATCGTTGTCTCGAACTATTTTCCAAATCATTTTCGTATTTTCCTCTTGTTCCATGTTAAAGCCTTCCTTCATTTTTGTGTATTTATAAACTTTTCACTTTCATTGCAAATGCGTGAAATAAAAAGTCAAGAGCTTGCGTTTGGGCCAAGAGTTTTAACGCCAGCGTGTGAATTCGATGGGTTAATACTCTCAAGGTGGCGATTTTTCAATTAGATTAGAGAGTCCGTGAACAGTTAGATGGGATGATTCCCCGAAGTTGGATTGATTTCTGTCGATTCTCCGCTTTTGATCTGAGTTTGTGCTTAATTGAAATGAGAGGGTTTGGTCTCGTGAAAGTGAAACCGAATCTCGACCTGTTTTCATTGAAATTTTAGAAATTTCGGGCACGAACTTAATACTCGATAAGCTATGCCTTAGGCTATTTTAATAAACGTTGTTTTTAGGTATTGAATTTTTAATGGGAATAAATCAATTTTTTAAAAATTCCGTATACTAGGAAAATTGTTTCAATAATAGGAAATTGGTATTTTAAGTATTTTTGAGAATAATAAAAAAGACATTTAAAGAATTAAATTGTAAAGTATTGTTCCAATTCAGATATCTTAACAAGCATTCCTTTAAATCTTGTTTCACAATCAGTCATATTTTCTTCGTTAATCTCTTGTGAGAAAGCCATCAGTTGGACCATAAATATAATAAAGAAAGAGCAAAGCAAAAAGTAGCAAATATGCTGAGAGATACATCTGCCTTATGCACGAGATGGTCATATCGTAAATCTCCGTCTTTGTGGCTGTATCTTTATTTCTGCAAAACACTTTCACTGACCCAAGGTCCGAATTGGCCAGCCCTGCAAGAAGAAACCCAAAGACGCTCTCCGAATAATTCTCTATCAGCCCTAATATTATTTATGTTTAATGTGCACTTGATGGTGGCTTAATTGGCTTTTCGGAAATTGGATGTGGGCATGCCTAAGCGGATTGGGCTGACTTTCATTCAACCTGTCCCATACACCTGCAATGGTCTCTTTGATCGCTGGAGTTTGGCTTTGGTATTTTTCGGCCCGTACTTGCTGACCCAATTCCAGAAAGACGCATGCGTTTTGGTGTGTTGTCCTAAACTGGTTTCAGTTTCGGTGGTTTTCGGCCTTTCAGCATTTCCCTCTCTTTCGCGCCAAGACTTTTAACTGTTAACTGTTAATGATTTCGGCGTTGTTTTTCTTAACAACAAATTTTCGGATTTCGATTTGAAAGCCGAAAAAGAAGCGCCGCCGCTTGCACGGAAAAAAATATTTGAAAATATTGTCAGGAACAATAGAAAACATAACTTCACGAGGATCAACCACAGATTAATGCTCTAGACATTCGACTATTACAGCTTCCTACTATTTTTATTTAATTTCAAGGAGTTTTTACTTAAAACAAAAAAAAGATAATTAATTAATAAGTATTTGAATGCTTGTAACCACTTCGAGTTAAATGAGACTATAAATAACAGGAACAGAAGTGTTAATTTTGATCATTTTGATATTACTAACTCATCAAAATTATATAAGAAATTAAAATACCTTTCAGACCTGCCAATATCAATTGATATCGCATTTTTTTTCTGTGTACGAAGGGAACGGTGTTGGGCGGTGGAGCAAGTTTGGTTCGGATAGTTTTGACCACGTTGCATAACCCGGCCAAACCCATCGAGTCTGGCCAGTTGTCAGCCCCGCATTTCATCAATGTCGTTCAATGGTTTACTTGCCTGCCTCTTGGGCGTTCGCTTTACATTTTTGATGTTTTATCAGTGATTATCATAAATTTGACTATCTTCGGGCGCCGCGCATATATTTCCCACACTGATTGCCTCACTTGTCCAAAATGTTTGCTTACCATTCTGACTTCCAGTCTGGGCTCCATTATTTGGCCAAGGGTTTCACCTAATTAACATTGGAATTTGGTTAAATGTTTTCCACATTTAACGGCTGCGTATTTCGAAACCCCGTGTCCAGAAAATTAGATTTGCATTTATTGGCGGCACGCGTCGCATTTGCAGTTTACATTTCGGAATTTGTTTTTTTCCTGTCTGCGCTTTTTATGTAATTTTTTGGGCTGATTTACACCCAAACCCGCCAATGCAGGATAAACTTGAATTTTCAGGTTTTCCACTACTAACTGGTTTCCATTTTGTCTGCAAAAACATTTTGCTTTTCCTCGGCGAACCTTAATTTTGGTTGCATTTTAGAGCTTTTGCCTTTGACAGATTGTTATAATTACCAACTGCACACTGACACCTACGAAAATTATGGTAGGCAACCCATATTTTTCGCCTATGTAAAGATTTTACCGACTTTTCGGTATTTTACATTCGCTTGGATCTTGAGGCGTTTAAAAGCGCATTCGCCATTGCTTTGGCAGCGTTTAGAAACGCGCATGCGTTTTAGTCTTAAGTCGCCTTCGTAGTAAAATATCACGCAGCCGCCGCATTGGACAAGCACGCAATAATTTCAATTGTAAATCGCAGTTGCGCAATACCCAAAGTGACTGGGGAATTCCGTGTGATTCGATTGCTGATATATGACTGCGGAAAATGGGCAGCTAAACTGGATCGGAAATCAAGTTTATGCCAATTAATAAATGAAAAATCATTTTCAGTGCCTCCACTTTTGGGATGACAACTCAAGCCTATTAGCTCGGCAATGCAATAATGAGGCTATCATCCTGGATAATGTAATGTAATTACTTTTTTCTTTAATGTTCATTGACCGTTGATTTTTAGTTTGAGATTTGCAGGACTCTAAATTAGATGTCAATAAACTCAAAGGAAAACGAATGGCTTTAGCTTAATGGAAAATTATAGTTTAAGTATTATTTTCATCAACTCAAACGTATTTAACCTGTTGAAGTACTTTTTGGGATTCCCCCTTGTTGGTCCAATTGCTTTGTAGGCATTTACCAATTGTGTGGATGATTTGCAGACCTCAATTGGTCAATCGATTGCAGATGTCACAGTTTCTGATGAGCCTAGTTGCGATCGCAATGAAACCGTGACGCATTAAGGCATTTGCAATTGAGACATTAGCAAATAACGCAGGTCGATTATGATTATGCTTGTTTGGGGGTCCTCAGAAGCGTTCTCAATGCCGCAATGAGCACTTAGTCAAATACAAATTGCCCAGTTTAGAGGCAAACACTCGGGCACTTCGGCATTCATACTCACTTGAGTTTGGATGCCTGCGGTGCGGCTGAGTTGTTAACACGCATGTTAACCACTCGCCAGCGAACTCGGCTAATGAAGAAGCTCCCGCGGTTAAAATCGAACGGAGAAATTACCAAGCCAATCACTATTCCCCCTTTGAAACACCCCCCGACTCACCGATCAGGCCAACAAAGTGTTTGGTTATGTCAGCCATGGCAATACAACCGCACCGATGACAAAAAGGGAAAGTAAGTCCAAAGCCTCGTCTTCGCGGCCCTCAGTTGTTCACTTTCTTGGCCGTGTCTCTGTGTCCGCTTTTGGCCAATACCTTGCTTTTGGCCGCTTCCGCTACCAAAGGCCTGTCATGTTCGATCAAGGCAGCATTTCTTTTCGGCCCGCAAGAAAGAAGCAATTAAAATTTTTGGGAAGTGAATTGATTGGAGCAGCGGGTTTAGCTGCGAGAAGACGTTTCACACGAAAAAGAACGTAGTCTGCTATATTTTCTTAATTTGTTTAATGTAATAATTATAAGAATGGAATTTTTTTTAAAAGAAAATCATGAGCATACCTGCTGAATTTGATTATCTGATTGTGAAATTAAAAGTCAAGTTGAGTTTTTATAAATGGAATAAAAGTAAAATAATTTCTTAATAAACATACTCGATTAACTATTTAAATTCTTAAAAAGCTTCTGTTCTTACAGCGGAATAATTGGAAAGTAAATGTAAGTAATGTTCTCTTCGCTTCGTGGCGTAAGCATTAATTTGATAGCTTGATGATGATGACTATAATTGAATAATGTTTAGCATGTTTGGTTTTTAAATCACCGCTTCAGACACAGGTGCTAACAGTTTTTGTACTTACAACCGACCTCCATAAAAATAGCAACATGCAAAGGCAATTGTCGAGTTTCGCGTACTGTCATATTGAATAAAAATGGCTTATGATATACCAACTATGCCGCATACGAATTACCGTAAAAAAAACAGAGCGAATTTCGGGCCAAACAAGAGCAGAAATCACAACAATTGAGGAGGCTCAACACAATAAGTGAGTCGTAAAGCAATCAATAACCAATGCAAAATGTTGCAATTCCCCGTTTTGTTGGGCTTTCAATCAAAACTGACATCAATCAGTGTGAGTTTTGCCCGGCACTCAGAAATGTTTAAATACTTTCATCCGTCCATTGTCTTCATCTTCAGTTCCATCGATGGACTACGAGTGGGATGGGTGTTGGACTGAATTGGATGATGTCTGGAGAGGATTATGTCGTGGGAGCGCCCTGCGGCTAAAATTCCAGTTTTATTTGATTCGCTTTTGGCACTTGTCTTGTCGATATGTGCACACACTCCTCTAAATGCTGCAATTGCTTTGATCACTGCGCCCATTTCGAGTAATTTTTTCACAATTAAATTAATGACTCCGAAAACGCGCGTATTTAAATGAAAATTGGCAGAGGCGCCGCAGGCCACTAAGCAAATAAAAGTAAATTATATGCCACATTGTTGCCGAAGAGTTCATTATTATTATTTCCTTTTGAATCGATGTGAAAGTTGGCTTGCCAATTGTTGCGGCTCCTCTTTTGTGGCATTGCATGTGGGCCAAAAGGAGGTTGAACTGGCTAACTGCGAGTGTTGGATTGCGCCAGGCTAATTGCGGCTTAGCCTTATCAACTGATGCACGATAATCATGAAACCTGAACTTGAATAGCTTATTTTTTAGCAATGTTACATTTACATTTTATTTTAAATTCAAATCAGACATTTAACCAATTTCATTCAATAGATTGAACTGCGGATAGTATTGTGTTTCTTAGTTTATTAATCTACCTATTTATTCGTATTCAGCCTTTAATTACTTTCGATTTATTACAAATATAATCCATTGTTTAATTAAGATCTATCTATTTCTAGATATTTAATCATTTACTTCCATGATTACACAATAAACCGAGTTGTAAAAACTAAGTCAAAGTCCTCGGTTCATCTTCAGCAGCCAAGTGCAACGAAAGAGGCTACTTCCTATATATTTATTCGAGTGCTTCTGTTTTTGGTTTTGTGCACGCAATAAGCTTGCAAAACTCAAATGTTAATTCGCACAGGGAAATTTACCGAAAACCGAGATCCAATAGAGCCCCAGAATGAAACGTAGAGCATTGACCTGGCCTTTTATTGAGCATTTGATCCATGGCAAAGGCTAGTGGCCAACGGCAGGCAGTTCATTGGGTTGAGAGACACTAAAAATCCGTTCGGCTTTCGTGGGCACCTGTAAAAACCATTTAACAGTGCTTAAAAGTCATTCAACGTATGCGGCCAAGTCGAAATAGCCACAATTAAATGCATTTCTGCACGTTCCACTGAAGAAATGGAAATGTGGCTTTTGTCTCTTTCATTTTCATTTTTTGGCCTTTGCAAATATTATCAACTAATTTTAATTTGGCGCACATATTGAAAATGAAAGTTACCGCGACTCGAATTTAATTGGATTTCTTCCGGCTGCTGTTGTAAAATGTGTGATGCGTCGAATGTCGATTTTGTAATAAGCTCCCGAACGGTTCGCTTTCTACTCGCCAAAAGCTAAGTCCATACCGATGTTTATGACACATATTAAATATGAAACTGGGTCATTACAAGCTCTTTTCAATGGTCAACAATTTGTTTGGGTATTTTACGATGCTCTGGGCTCCCCCAAAAGCCAAAACCGAACCAGTTTGGCATCCAAAGCCCACACCTGTAGTCCCCAAAGATGATGATTGTGATGACGATCGTTTGCCAAGGGCGGTTAATGATGGTCACTGGCCCAAGTCAGGATCCCATGGTTACAAGTGGGTCAACGCTTGGTCCGCAATCACACACATTCAAAAGCCAAATATTTATGCGTGAAAATGTGTTGCCTCCGTTCGGTGACAGCTGGCAACATCGAATTTACATGTTATCATGCCAACATGTGTGGCGGCTTCTATTGACAGACTGAGTGGCTGACTGGTTGATTGGTTGATTGGTTGACTAGCGGACAGGCTGCACAATCAGCAAACAAATGCAAACATTGCATAATGGCCGAAAATGCTCGTAAAAAACAAATCAAAAAGCCGCGCACAGAAAAAAAATTGGTATATTTGATTAGTTTTATCTTCTATTTTCAGCATCCAATCTAAATCAGATATTCAAAAAAGTTGTATTAATATTTTGAGCATCTTAGTTTAAAATATAAAAACCTGTTAAACATATCGAACATGAGCTCGAAACTATCTGCATTAAAAAATTCCAATTTAACCATTGATATTTATCCGTTTTTCTGTGTGGAAAATGGGACTACATTTGCGGTGGCAACTTGTTTTGCCCGACAATTTAGCGGCGCGTGTTGCTCGCTTTTGTCTCCACAACAAAAGGATTTGTGGCTTTAACAATTCAAATTTGGCGACAAGGTCAAGAGTCGCGCGAGGGCTTCAACAATCGACTTCAATTAGTTGGCCATTTACGGCGGTTATAGCCCAAAGCTTCTACTGAGCCGCCTGCAATTTTCCAGTTATTAACTTTTCGGCAAAACAGAAATTCCGGCGGCGGGCAAGGCGAAACTTGTTAGTTGTAATTGAAAGTTGTTAAGTGACTTGTTCGCTCCTTCATTATTCACACTTTGTTAGTAATTGCTGCATTTATCCGAAATCGCTAACCGTTCTACCTTAATTTTCCAACCCCCAGCAAAGCAGCCACAAATGCAGCCACAATCTGGAGTACTCCCAATGCTCCACGACGAATAAAAGACAACACAGCTCGGTCCACACACAACAGCCAGCTGGTCCAGTGAGGGAGTTCCAGATCGATCCCTACATCATACTCGACGATGACCTCAAGTACTTCTACGACGATGTGAGATATGTAAGTTGGCAGTCATAGAATAATGCACTTAAGCTCAAAATATTAAACAGAAATCACTTTATTATTTCAATTTTTATACTTTCTTTTTAATAAAGTAAAGAAATAAATAAATAAATCCCTTAATCATTTTAACGACGTTTAAATTTATATTTATAAACCAATTTCAAATCTGTTAAAAGGGAAATAAAGAATAAATGGTCGTATTAAACTGAGTATCCCTTGTAAAACTTTATTTAAACTTTTATTGCTTAAGAGCCTGAACGGAAATAAACAAATCATGTCAAACCACAAAAACTAATAACACGAATAAATGTTTGTGAGAAATTTTAACCAACATGTTAGGGGACGTCATTCAGATGGTTTTTTCCTCCAATGGGGGTTTTTTTTTCTCGCGTCCCAGAACACAAATATTTGCTAATTTAGAGCAAAGTCTAACCAAAACGACAACAATAAGCCTGTCTAATTTTGTTACCCCTTTCTTAACAATGTTTTAGCTGCTGAAATCCGGAACATCCCAGCCAGAGTTGGACACCATTGCCAGCTATTATTTCGATGGCCAGGGAAAGGCGCTGCGACCCATGGTCACTATGCTGATGGCCAAGGCGATAAACTATCACCTGAACAACGAGTCACAGTGAGTTTTTAGGGGATAATTGCACGAAAAACGGGATAATGAGAGCATTTAATAGTATTTAATAGTATTTATTGTATTATATAACAAAGTGAGACTCTTAAAACTTAATTGAATCCCATAACGCATATAAGCGTCATTAATAAAAGCCACTTAAACTCAAATCAAAAGCAGTTTCAGGAGCAATTGAGTTTAAGAGATGTTTTAAATAAAACACTTTGGAAAGCCATTATATAGCAGAGATATAAAAATGGGTATCAATTGCCAATAAGTATATTTTTCTCTGTGCAGCCTAGTGCAAATGATTAGCACGGCTTTGCGAAATGTGCGCATTTCGGGCAAATTAAAACAACATACTCGTACACCTGCACATATGTAGGTGTAGTGTTTTGCCTGGATCCTAAATCATATTTTTCTATCGCCTTGACAGCCAATTAGTACACAAACAACGACAGATCGCCCTCTTTTCGGAGATGGTACACTCGGCCAGTTTGGTTCACGACGATGTCATCGATCAGTCGGACTTCCGACGCGGCAAGCCCAGCGTGAATGCTCTATGGAACCATAAAAAGGTAAAGATCGGATCCGCGATGATATGTTTATGTGGCATCATCGGTGCCACCGACGTTTGCCAAAGCCAAACAAACCAAGCCAAACACGCGCCCCGAGTCGCTCGGCAACCAAAACAGCAATCATTCAGCTCCCAAAGTCTGACTTTGACATCAATTTGTTGCGTATTTCGATTCGAAGTGTTTATTGACTTTGTCAACATCTATCTTGCATCATTTGAAAGGCCTCAAAATCGGATGGCGATGCCTCTACATTCAATTCAATAATACATATCTCAATATACAAATCTCGAAATTGCAGTTTCCCTTTGGGCATGTCTTCAATGCATAAATTAATCCAAACTCATAGGCTTGAAGCTGCTTTATTTCTCATCAATTTAATAAAACATATCCCAAAGTTGCAGTTTCCCTTTCGTCATGCCTTCAAATTGAAATGCATAATTAATCCAATCAAATTTTCACAAGTCAAAGAAGCGGTAATCTCTTGTCTTTGATTGTATCGCCACTCGTCTTAGTCATATGTCGGCTAAATCTTTTTGTCTTTATACCATCTTGCTGTTGGCTTTTAGCTGTTAACTGTTGCAACACATAACTGTCTTCCAGTGAATGTGTTGCTCGATCTTTTGTACGACGGCTTGTTTCTGACCATGTCTCATCGCTTTTACAGGTCACAATGGCTGGTGATTATATCTTATCGATTGCCTCGATTATGATAGCTCGTCTGCGCAGCGATGATGTTACGATCGTGCTGAGTCAGGTAAGAAAACTTGGTCATCGCAAGAATATGACAAAGAAAATACATACAAATATATTTACACAACATTATTAACTTTCAAGAAATTTACTAAGTTGGTGGCAATTCAATTCGAGCTTAACCTTTAAGGTTTTACTACCAAATCAAAACCTATTTGATCACCTTACTAAAATAACTTGTTCTGTTTAAAACTATCAAAAAACCTCAGAGTTTTTTGCACCCACCACCGAAAACAAACAATTGTACAACTTACCAAGTTCCTTGCACATTTTATGTTGCTAGTTAATTGCCAAGGCAAACAAATAAAAACTGCGACCACAAAAAATCCCGGATTCAGAAGAAATATCTTTGTACATAGGAACAGAACTATAGATGTTTGTTTGTTTGAGAAAGTACGTAATCGAATCGGGTGCCAAATCTCACACCATTGCTGGGCAAACAGCAGGGAACCTTTGTCTTTTAGTTATGAAAGTTGCTCATTCCGTTGGTGAGAAACAACTTCCTGGCCTGAAAACCAGTCCCCAATTTTAATGGGGCACAAATCATTGGGAATGCAACTTCCTGCGTCCCTGGAAGTTGAGTTCCCCAAGGTTTGCCCTTCGCCAGAGTTCGTGAAACTCTAAAGCGGCATTCACTTTTCATGCGTCGGATATTTTTGCATCCGTGTCCTTGTAGTTTGCCCAGGTGTAAAGCGACATTCCGCAGAAATATTTCATAGCTTTTTGCCATGCCTCACGTAGTTTCTTTCAATTTCGAATTAGTCACACCTGCCAATTTCACTTTCGGTGGTGATGGAGAGTGAAACTAGATCTGTTGGCCTGGAAACCAAAACCAAGGTGGCTCGGAATCTAAATCTCCCAAATCCACAGCTTCTCTGCATATTTACACAATCGAGCGGCGGGCCAAGTTAATAGCCAAAGCAAACACAATAAACTTGCCTACGTTTTTGGGTTACACACTTGCCTTTTTCCCAATTCGCAAAAAACATGCGTAACACCTGAAGATGGACCCCAAAAGGTGCGGCCCAGACACTTATCGTGTATCTATCGCATAATGTTGGTCATTAGCATTCCAGGCATTTTGGCCCCAGCTAAATGAAACTTTCTTTGCGATCATGAGGTCATTCGTCTTAAAACTAGTTCTTAGACCATTTCCAACTGGTATCCAATATTTATTTAAGTTTCTCTGACCCGCGAGATATATAGGAAAAAGAACTTGTTTAAGCAGAAGCATTTTTTTTTCAAAATAGGTGTATGAATGTAGTTTGGTATTGGAAGGAATGCTACTTTACTCGGGAACTAAAGATAAAAAGGGATTTGTGCACCCCCTTTTTGTAGTACCTTCCTTTTTACAGACTAAAGCTTTCTAACTCAAAGTTCTAAAACGTTAGTGAGTTAATTAATCAAACAAAACGGATACCAAAAACCACATCTTCGTGTTTTTCCCGATATTAGCTTGTTTCGTTCTCCTACTACAATCTACAATCTTCTGCATATATTTTGTTAGATTTATCATATTAAATATGCTGTGCACGTGCCTGAATAAATTCAACGGCTTCTAAGACGTTGGATGGCATCAATAAAATGGGTAGAATGTCCGCCCGGCTTTTTGATCAAGTAAATTTATGACATTCTCTGAGTTTTGGCCTCAACTAGACAGCTAAGGCTTTTTACGCCCTTGGAAAGACCAGACATTATTATACAATTGAAATTGTACTTTTAGTTATTTTTATAAACAAACTCTGTGATCAAAAGTCGGAAGTTTGGAATTTAAAAAGAAAATTCCCATATAAGTGTCTAGCAAAGTTGTTTCGAGGCTAAATCATACAATTTTTCCACAAATTGCACTTTATTCCGCGGCCTACTGCATTTGCTCTCATTTAGCTGCTTAAAAGGCAGCATTGTGTTAATTTATATGGCTCCAAATGCTGTTGTTAGCTTGGCCAAGATGTTGGAGCTCACGCACTTGTAGTTTGGTTTTTTTTTCAGTGTTAATTAACATTGAAAGTCCACCAGTGGTCAGTGGAATTCGGTGTGGCTTTTTGGCCAGAAACTATTGGCCAGTTATGGCCGACTCACCTTGAGCTCCTTGGACACAACCGCCATTTTTACGCGCCCACGACTGTTTGCCCAAGATTTTGACAACTGCCTGTGAGTTTTTTGGCCAAGTCAATGAAAATGCCTATTTGAAGGCGAATCGAAGGGCGTGCCCAACAATGGGTGAGCAAACAGAAAAGCCGATAGCCAAAGTATTCGGCTTATAGAGATCTGAATGAAATTTTGTTTGCTAGATTTATTTGGCACAATTGTGTTTGCCATTTGCATTTGAGGTTTCAGCCAAGCGGAAGTTACATACACACGAGCGAATCAATGTTTTTATACACAGACTTTGACCGAAATTTATAATTTTTAAAAATGCAATATTGATATTCTTCGAGTGGGAAACGCAAGCCGAGAACAATTGAACCCATTACCATAACCTTAACCGCCTGCAGTGACATATTTATGACCCATTGTCCGTAATCTCTTGCAGATCTTGACCGATTTGGTCCAAGGCGAGTTCATGCAGCTGGGCTCAAGGGAAACGGAGAACGAGCGATTCGCCCATTACCTGACCAAGACATACAGGAAGACCGCTTCGCTGATCGCCAATGCACTGAAAGCGGTGAGTGTTCATTATCATCATGCAACAGTCGTGCAGATGACACTTATTGAGCGGACTTAATTCGGCAATTAGTTTGCACGCAGTCTCGCGTCATTGTTCTCAATCCCCGCCTGACTTTGAACCCCCTATTAATCCTCTGTCCTCCTGCTGCAGACCGCCGTGATCGCCCAGGCCGATGACAACGTGGCCGAAGTGGCCTTCCAGTACGGACGTAATATCGGTTTGGCCTTTCAGCTGGTCGACGACATGCTGGACTTTGTCTCCTCCACCGAGCAGATGGGCAAGCCGACGGCGGCGGATCTGAAACTGGGATTGGCCACCGCCCCCGTTCTCTTTGCATGCGAAAAGGTAAGTTAGAGTCTGGGAATTCCCGTGACACTTCCTCATTGGCTTGCCAATGGATGAAAGCAGTGTTGATGCATATATAAACGCAAAGCTAGCATTTACTAATAAGAACCCGCACTTACTAAATCTAATTCGAACTAGAATTTGTATAAAACTTTGACTTTTTAATCAATGGTATGTTGAAATCATTTTAAATCTCCAACGGATGGGAGTAAAAATATATCGTAGCATACTTTTAGAAAGCAACTTTAAACCTCTTGAAATACCTGCCATGGAATACGAAAAAAAAAGTATATTTTTCTGATTTGGAGACCATATTTTCTTGCATTTTTTTACTGTGTATAAATATGCTAGATTGTGATGTTTCTTTGTCCAGACATCTGTTTGCATTGCATCCAAAGTACCCTGCAATAATGATGAATTGATGGTGTCGGCGGTGAAGGTGTGATGATGTCATGTGGGTGGGTGGTTGGCTAGCTAGATGCACGGATGATCCAAAGCGTCTGTTACTTAGTTGCCAGCGATTACCAATGCCCATTTGCTATGCATTCCGCGAGCTGCGCACGCGTGCAGTGCGTTCAAAGCTGTTCCATAGCTGCAAAACTTGCATAACTTAAATACTTTTCTTTCTCTTCACTTTTGCAGTACCCCGAGCTGAATCCCATGGTGATGCGGCGCTTCAGCGAGCCCGGCGACGTGGAGCGTGCCTTCGAGCTGGTGCACAAGTCACACGGTCTGGAGCAGACGCGCTTCCTGGCCAAGAAGCACTGCAACGAGGCGATACGGCTGGCTCAGGAGCTCACGGAGTCGCCCTACCAGAAGGGCCTCCAGGTGGTCGCCGACTTAGTCATCAACCGCATGAAGTAGAGCCATGCACCCTAACATAAATCATACACGTAATGCAATAATAATAGTGTTATGTAGGCCACACTTGATGTTTCGGTTAAGTTCTGTTCAGCCAGCGGGCTAAATTTGTAAACAAGATTTATTATTTAGTTTTTAGGCATTTGTTGTTGACACTGTAAATAATTGCATAAACAAACCTAATCAACTCACTTAATCGGCAACGTTCGCTGTACATAATAACGAGATGTTCCATGAACTTTTAACAATTTTTATATGCAATGTTTTTCGAAAAATGTATTTTTACATAGAGAGCGAAATATGAGCGAAAGGCCAACACTAAGTAAACAAAACAAACTGTACAAATGTTTCTTCAAAATAAAAGAAATTGGAAAGGAACTCAGAAATAGGCAAAAAGATAATAAGAAAAATTCTGAATAAAAGGGAAAATGTTTATTAGTCAATGCAACAAGAACAACCAGTGTGGAAAACGATATTTATAATACGAAGCATGAATAACAAAAAAGATTTATTTTATATTAATTTCTTATTTAGGGCATTTCATGCCTAAATGGTTCAATGGTAATTGATTTGCACACTTCGAAACCCCTTCCGACCGCACAAATATGTAATTTAAAATGGAAAGCCTATAATTTAGTTGGATTAAATAAAATATTTTGAACCATTCGCGCATGAAATGCATAATATATAATATGTTCTATAAGAAATTTTATGAGGATTGTACATGAAACAATGCTGCCCAGTCTTAATTTTAAATCATTTCTTCTCCGCCTCTAATGCAATAGTAATTTATAAAACATTTAACACAAAATCGAAAAGCAAACCCCCATTTCGGAATGCCTTAAAAAATCTGTTTAATTTAAGTTCTTATTTTAATTTATAAGCACAACCTCAATTAAGTCAGTCATCGAACTTTTTTTTGTGTATAGTGTGGACGAAACACTATTGGGCTCCTTTACAGCCTGCTCTACACTGAGAAATAAACAACATATTCTGACCACTTAATCAATTCAAATGGGTGCTGATTGCGATTCACCCACAGGTTATAGAGTGCGAACGATAAAATGATGATAATGTTGATATTGATACTTGTAATTACGATATTTGTATACTTAAAGAGATGAATAAAAATTCGATTTTGTAAAACAAAAATAACATGCGATTAATATTTTTTGAGTGAAGGAACAATTAAATGCTAAATAAATAATATAAAAGTGGAAAATTCTGACATTCTGAATTCCACACATTCCTTAAAGCGGATAACTGCCTGTAACTATGCAACATATTAACCAACAACAAGGACAACAAAGACCATGACGACCTAGTGAAATAGATTTGGACATGGCTAAAGTGCTTTATATTGCGACGGGCATGGCTGATATCGAAACTGGAGCAAACAAATAAATTTGGTAGTGTGTTTTGGCCGTAACAAGCGAAATGGCTGGCTGCCACATGGGGCGTATGAGCAACTTAGACTTTCAAGAGCTTTTCATTTTAAAACATCAACAAGTTTCGGATTAAATTGCACGCAATGCTGCAGCAGACTTAACTTTTCGTTTTAATAAAACAAAACATCACGAATCGGGTTAAGTTAAGGCAGCCATGGCACAATTCTGGGCAACACAAAGTAAATATATTTTATGTCCAGGCAGACGTTTAGCTAAGTGGAGCAGCCAAACAGCGTGTCTAACAGGCAAAATATTTAAATGGCCAAAGCAAATTAGCCGAGGTTCCAATATCCTTCGACTTGTCTTCAAGGACAGACGGTGGCCCAAGTGTGCCCTAACCTAGGCTATAAATAGTCGGGCGTGCTGCCTAGACAACCGACCCATCATCCGCGGCCCTTTAGTGCCTGGCACGGATCCTGGCAGCCAATTCGGCGGTTTATCGGTTTAAGGGTTTGCCCGGGACACGAGACCGATTCAGTAACGTGGCGTCTGCTGAACGCAGCGCTACTTCCGTTCTCCCAGTTCACCCGACTTCCAGCAGATATAAGAAAACAAAACCATGACCACCAGCGATGAGATGGGAATGGGTGGCAACTTCTGCCACGACCACATCCAGCATCCATTGATGTGGTGCGACGAGAAGAAGCGGCTTGTGGAACGCAAAAATGCAGAAGAGAGTCTTCGGATGTGGCGGCGCAGAAAAGCGGAGGAGTGTGCTCGCAAGGAAAAGGATAAACAGGAGGTGGGTAACAGTGCGTATGTGTGATATTTCAAATGCGTTAATGGATTCAAGTGGGTATGGGTAATGTGTACAGACAAAACTTATTGTGGGTAACGGAATATTATAGTCAATGCTATATACTTATGCTAAAAGGCCTTAGATACATTTAAAAAGCTTGCTCTAGTATCTCAACCTATATTCGCAAGTGTGAAAATAAATTAGAACTAATCTTACAAAAATTAAATTTGAGCTTAGAGACTTTTTTAAAGCGTTTTACTATATCTAAAACCATCTTAACCTTTTTGAAAATATAACATTGTGTTTTGTTTAGAACTATCCATCTAAAGTAATTTAAATTGGAAATAAAACATTGTAAATCGATTCCGCAAGTCGAAATTTTTTGTACAATCCTGACAAGACTAGACTTACAGAAAACAAACTAAACTAATCAAAAAAACATCTCGAACCTTCACCCACGCGATAGTCAAAACTTTTGTTAAGTTCAAAGACCTTTTCCAAGCAACATGTAACACATCCGCTTTCAGGGATTTGGTTCAACAAACCCTTTGACAATTTCGACTTCCCTAATCAATTCACCTCTCTCAGCAAAATGCAGAACTATAAGCAAGTTGGGCAGTCCTGCGAGTCCTTGCGTGACTAGAGTCCTGATTATTTGGCTACCTATCACTGTTTGCAGCTGTGTGAAAGCACCAACCGAAATGTGGGTGAAAAAAATCAGTGAAATGCAAATCGCAATTCGCTGCAACTATAACAACAACCTACAAACAAAGGTGGTAGGCGAGGGGAAGGGATACGAGGAGCCTTGCCAATTTCCGTAAACAAACAACGCCACACTTCGCGGAGAGTGACACGGCGAGGTGGGTTGAGGCAGTCTGGGACCCATAAATAGGCTGCCTCGAAATCGATAGGACATAACTCGGTGTTGTAATCATCCTGCCGCTGTGACTGAGACTAGTTTCATTACTGAATTCATTGTGGGAAAATCAATTTTGAAAGGCAAATAAAAAATTTAATTAAGAAAAAGTATGTGTCCTCTTTAAATAAATGTTCACTTGTATTGCACATATTCTAACGTAAATTCATGAAAATATAAAATAACAGATTACGCCCACTGATAAAAAAGTCTTGCAAAGGCGTAAAATCTCATTTTAAGGTTGTTTTAATAAAAGATGAAAATTAAAGATTACTTCTTACATTGGGAATGATTTCCCGATACTTCTGCAGCCGTCCTATTTATAGAAAAATTGCCATTCTTTATTATTACTATTTCAACTAGTACTACGACCTGTTTCACCAACATTGTCCTTGGGGACGACCAGGTGGTGGTGCTCCCAACGTGGAGGTGCGTCGCAAGGACATCACAGCCGTGGGTCTTCACTCCACACCAACTGTGGTAAGGATCCCCAAGTCCCCAAATAACATCACGCTGTATTATAACTCCCAAAAACCAAATCACAGACCACCGCCCACCGGATGAATCTTCTACAGCCGTGTCGCTACAACGACTTCTTCTCGATGCAGAAGAAGTGCCACAACAATCCGCTGGCCGCCTACCATCACCACCACCACCATGCCCCGCCTCCCCCGCCCCCGGGAGGCCGTTTGGGCCACGCCCACTCTGTACACCACCTGCAGGAGAGTGGCCCCAGGAGCAGCACGGTGACGATTTGCGAGCGGGAGATTCCCCACAAGCCGGGAGCCGGAGTTGGTGTGAACCTGGCCAAAAACGCCAACGGTGAGAGTCTTCACATCCAGCTGAAAGAGCACCCCTCAATGTCGTTTCGCAATAAAGGCCATGTGGATATAGAGCTGAGGTACAAGCCCTCGCCTCCTTGCAAGGGCAAGCCACTTCTCGAGAAGATCGTGGTCAGCGAAAGCGAACAGCGATGTCCCTTGCAGGAAAAGCTGGCCTCGCAGAAGAAGCGACTGCAGGCCAAGCTGGAAAAGCCGGTGAGCGGCACTTATTACGCCCCCTGCAGCATGTCCTCATTAATCCTTCTCCATGTGTCCTCCTTTTAGCCCAGCAAGGAGCCCTGGGGCAAGGCGGGTCCGGGCGGCAAACCTTGGCGGAGTCCCAAGGAAGTGGGCAACACATTCATGAAGTCACTGGTATGTTATCTATATACGTAAATGTGTAAAACAATTACCAGATAAACAAAAAGTTATTCTGATTTTGTACCAATTGAGATTTTTGGTTCCATCCACCAAAAACCAAAAAAGCTACCTTTTTTTATGCAATCCTAGAATTTATAATTACAAATGTCTTTGCAGATCAGGGTTCGACTCCCAAATCAAGTAAAGTTTTTATCTGCGCTTTAACATTAATTAACACTTTTTCATAAATAAATAAATACAAAATTAAATATTTTGTAATTAAAAACCCCATTATGACTTACTATACTCCCAGGGCTGGACCAACAAAGAGATGCTGAAGGAGTTGGATCAGGACAACCCGGTGACTCCGGCGGAGAAGAACACATTCCGTAAATCCCGTCCAGGAAAGCCTCCAAAACCACAGCGCTGCTGTGAGATGTGCACCTGCAACTGTCCCTCCATGAGCAATAGTCCTCCAAAGCCCTCGCCGCTCTCGCTGCCCATTCCGCCCGGAAAGAAGTGTCCGGGTCCGCCAGGCCCGCCGCCCGGGAAGATCCTGCACCACCTGAAGCCGCAGGACTGCGGTGGCAAGCCCATCAAGCTGTGCCCCCGAATGGCAGCTCGAGGTCCTTGTCCGGGGAGCACCAGTACCGCCACTCCGGATGCCAGCACTGCCGGAGGAAATGGGGGACCTTATGGCGAGGGCGGTGGCGTGGAGCTGGTGCCCCTCCTCGCCAGAAGGCGTGGCATGCACCGACCCATCAGCCTGTCCAGCACGGATGTGACCAAGAGGACGCCCTCGCATGATAGGTACGCATCCAAGCACAAGCATCCACCAAAGAACTGCCAGCTGACCACCAGCAAGCTCAAGTGCATCAACAGCATCATCAAGAACATCAGCCACATGAAGCGGCTGCCCAAGAATCTGAACTGCAAGCTGCAGTGTTGCAGTTGCGACTGCCCCACGGCATTGGCCACGGGCTGCTGCCTCAAGCGGCTCACCCTGCACATTCGCCAGGCTTAAGAACCCAAGTCCGATTAGTCCCGATCCCGATCCCATATCTCCCTGCATTCATAGCTATTCCCCTGCTCCTCGTCCTCCTCCGTCCCCTTCCGTTTCTCATTTGCTTGCTCTGCGCCAAATATTAAAAAATTAAAATCCACTTTGCCCCTCTGTTTCGTGCCTTATAATCGTGCCCTGTTTAATGGTTTCTCTATACCCCCACTTCATCCAGCAAGAAAATATCCATTGTAATCCAAGTGAGAGTATAGCAACCAAAAGAGCAAACCAAAACCAATCTCACCAAAACAAAAACAAAAAAACAAACTGCAACAGCAAAAATCCAAAATCATAATACCAATCTTCTATGTATCCCCGTGAAAATCGCAAAAATCCAAAAACCGAAAAAACTGAAATGAAAAACGATGATAAATTGAAACAAAAATATTAACCACATTGCTGCCCACCAATCGACCGACAACCAGGATTCAAACGGCCGCCGACATGCGCTATCTGCACGACTTGAACGTCCAAATATCGCAGAACCGGCGATCCGTCTCCGTTTCCAAGCAAATGGACCGGGATCTGTGCAACCAGCACTTCGACACATTCGAAACCTTTTGGGGACGGCCAGGACATGGAGCCCGGGGCGACAAGACCAACAAATTGAAACTGGACAATCTGCTGTACGGCGCCAGCGAGTCGGCCTAAGACCTGGATGTTCAGGGATGCCTGGATGCCCGGATGGTTTAGGATAGCCCTATGTTATTTACCCATCAGATCACCACTTCTTCCGGCAGCGGCTCGTAGTTTGTGTGCTCCCAATCATCTGCTCAGAAATCAATCGATGCCAATGGCCCCGCAGAGTGAACTTATGTACCAGTTTCGAGGATCCAAAAAAGAGTTTTTTAAATATTACGAGGGCTTGCTATTTATATTTCTGGTTTACAAATTTAAATGGTTTTTTATAATCTTCTCCGCTATGATTCAAATTTTCTTGTTCTAATATAAACGCGACTTTTTTACCACTAAATGTTGCCATTTTCAGATATATAAATAGCAGCCTGGGTAACCGGTTTTTTGACACTGTAAAAATTTTGCCAACTTGCCGCGTCTAGTAAGTTGACCAAAGTTTTAAACAGGTCATCAGGGTTACCTATAAAATCACTTTGCTATTCAGTTAGATAGTTTTATAAATCTTAGTAAAAAATAAGTAGATATATGGATCAAATACTATACATATACCCCCTAAAATTTAATTTTGAAATCTGAGTTTTAATATTATCTGGAAATTGTTCGGTAGTCTTGTCATTTATTGATTGGTTATTAAACTTTGTAGGTATACGTAAATGAATACCTTGTAAATACAAAACAATCAATTCTGCAATAAATATACGTAATAAATAAGAAAAACTGTCTTTGTAAAAATCCCAAAAAAATAATCTGCATTTTAATTTTCGTATTTAGCTTTGATTTATATTTTTGTCCAAAAACTAGGATAAAAGTTTTTTTTCCAAATTACTCATGGAGGGTGACCCAAAACTTCGATTTTAGAGCTTGACCTTTAATTATAATATTCCGTATTAATGTGTTAATAAAAATTACTTTTTTTACTTGAGTTTGTTTTTGAAGGACATTTTTATTATACATATGTATATGTAGTATGTAATAGATCACATAAAGCAAAAAGAGAATATTTTACTACATTTTGTTGTTTTTGTGGATGATAATGTTTTTTTGTGGCGCATGTGAATGTGTCAATAAGCCCTTTTGTCAGGACTATCTTGCGGCCGTGTTGATGTGGATGTCGATGGTTTATGTTTAGACTTTAGTTAATTCTCTACGTAATATTACGATATTAGTAAATTACAATTACAATACATTATATAGTACATAGTATGTAGGTAGAGTACGAATACGTTAACTATTCATTAGGTTTTTATTCATTTTCTGGATTTTGTGATTTTTTTTATTTAAATGTTATTTTTGTTTTATTACTTTTTTTGTGTGTGTTTTGTTTTTCGTTAATTTTACATACATATATTAAATATATTTACGAACATAACAGCAGTCTTATATAAGATGACATACTCAATTTATTGTTTTCATTAGAGGGTTTTGAGTTCATTATCCATTTTGAAAGTTTGAAAGCGAGTGATAAGGCAGGGATGGTATTCATATACCTCCTGCCTGAAAACTCGATGGGGCTCCGGTGGACCGAAGATAGTTCCTTCTATATAAAAGTTGTTTGGCTAAACTAGGGCGATCCGTTGGGAGTCGCTTAAGCGTGAGGACTTAAAGATATTTTATCTAGATGTAAGTATGCATCGATAGCTAGGTGTTATATCTCTTTAGGGATTCTGAACTATTTATTTTAGTTGTGATTACTTTTTAAGACGCTGGGCGTCTGCGAAATGCGCTCTGAAAAGGTTTTGTTTGTTTTGTTTTGGCGGCTGACTAAATTGATGTAGGTATACTTGACATAAATATCGTATATTAAAAATTTCATTGTTTTTGTTCTGGTTGAATGTTTAAGGAACCCGATTCTGCTAGGATAGGAAGTTCGATCAAATTTAGAGGCATGCAATGAAATACAATCGTCGAGAGTATCCACAAATATATGTTTGTTTTCGTATCGTATATTTTGTATATGTTTTTTGGGGGACTTTACACTTAGGGACTTTCGAACACTATAAATAAACAATTACAATACATGCACGGACACACACTCACACAGCTACATATGTATGCTCTGTTGTATAAATAATAGCGTGCTTTATAAGTATAATACTATAACTACTGTAGAGTTATTGTGGCTCCTAAGTGGAAACGCCTCCTGGCTTCCCCTAAATTTGTAGCTAACTATTTTTCTTTTTTCTTGAAATATTCGACATTTATCAATTTTTGCATCGGATCTGCAGTTTTTTGGCTCGCTTGAAGTTGCCTTGGCAAGTTTGCGACCTTAAATTTTCCTAATTCAAATGGTCTGCTCGAAAGCGTTTTCCATTTTCCTGCGCCATTCTCTCCTTCCTTACTTCTTGTGTATTTTTTTGCCAATTTATGACTTTTGAATTAAAAATGATTTCATCAACTGATTGGCGGAACCCCTGAATAAGATTTCATTGAAGTTGTACAGGGGAAAGTTTCTAAAGGTATAAATAGAGGGTTTGGGGATTCCACCAACCAGTCAGTTAGAAAGTTTTGGTTTTTATGAGTGTATAAAATCAAAAATTTAATTTAACTACAATAATGACTAGTTGAAGAAAGATCTCCAAATATATTTACTAAAATTTTGTGGTGTGTATAATTAATTCTTTTTTCGATTTTTTGTTTTGTTTCGATTTTTTTTCATTTTAATTTTAAAATTATCTAAAGCTGTTTTAGAGAAGCTTTTCTAAGCAGGCCAAATTTATGTACAGTTTATGTATTTTAAGAATTTCCTGCTTATTATGTTTGAGATTAGTTTTAATGTTTTTTGTTATGTGCTTGTGTGTGATATTTTCATAATTGCGAAATGCATGGAATTTGTTTTTGCATTTTGTAGTATTTTGTTTGGAAGCCAATGGAAATTCTTGCTTCTTGTTGCCTTGTCTTGGAAAACTTCTCTAAGGATCTTAGGGCGACACCCAGCTCCTCCACTGCTTTAATCACTCTCCTCTTATCGATGCATCCTTTTCCCATCTCTGCCATATTGACGAATCCTCTTGCTCCGCCTCTCGTCCGGTTTTGTTAGTCAGTTAGTTACTACATCATCACAGCCAACTCTCTTGCTTTTCAACGGCGCCCAGCGTCTCCGCATCTCCGGTTGCCACATTTCATCCGATCTGATGATCAGTTAATCGTTTTCTTGTAGAGATTTTGGTGAATGTGCTCGTTTTGAAGCGCGCACATTTGGCCCACAGCAACTGCCCGCAAGCCGCCGCCTCCTCCTGACCCTCCAGAAATGCCCACATCCGATTGGTGTCCCAAAGTAGCAGTCACTCCGTCGCCTCCGGAAGAATTGGACACCGCTTTGCCGGCCCTTAGATTCAAGAAGAACTTTTCCTTCATGACCAGCGCCGAATACTTATGCTCAATGAAGTTGGGCGAGATCTGCATGGGCAGGGAGTTTCCCGTGGTGGGCGGTTTTGCAGGAGCAATTGCTGTGGACCTCTTATGCACGGCGGATAGCACAGTCATCGGAGGCTTGCTGGAATCGCTGCTGCTGTGGTTGCTGTTCGGATTGCTGAGGTTGCTGTTGTTTGAGCAGGAGTAAGAGGTTTCTGCAATAGGTAGAGAGAAAAGGAAAAGAAGTAACGAAAAACATAAAATAAAATCAAAACAAAACAAACGAAACGGAAATAAACATTACCCAAAATTCGACAGAGTTGAAATTGGTAAAAACTTAGGAGTAAATTAAAAATATTGCACAACGTCGAGGGTCGTCTTAAACTAATGAGCAGACTTTAAAATATCCGAGTAGATGTGTGGGTGTGCTTTTATATATATCGTATAATTCAATTTGCTAGAGCTTAGAACATAAATAATACTTGGTTTTAGTCGAATACGAATAGTCACTAAAGCTAAAGTGGTAGTGATAATATTAATTAAATGGATCAGTTGGAAATTAATTTGCAATTTGAATTTTTTTTTATTACAATTGTTGCTCGTGCTTCGTCTGTGTGGTGGTGTTTTTTTTTTAGCCTAATTAAATTAAGAGGAGATCAGCCGTTGTAAATAGTTTAATACAAGCATGATGATAGTCATACATACATATAAAAGTTATTAAAATTCTTTCTTTCAAATAATACAAAATTGAATATTGCACACTCAATGCCATTTGTGGGGTTGTTTTCATTAGTTTTATGTTACAATTGGTATTAACAGATTGGGTCCAGGGGTTTCAACTTAAAACACAACTTATGTTTCTGGTCTCTAAGCATGTATGTATGTAAGCAGTCTATGAAATGTTTCCAAATGGGTGTTTTGGTGAGTGAGTGGTGAGTCTGCCCCCTGAGACTGGCATTCTGGCGAGTCTAGAATGTCTTTCGTATACGGAGGAGCTGGTCAATGTAGTGCCTTGGGTGGTTCCAGCGTCAATTTTCGGTGCATCAGTAGCTGCTTGAGTATAGGCTACGTCTCTTCGTTGACGGCGCCAGCGCCTACAACTTCAATGCCCGCCACTGTTGCTCCTCCTATGTCGTCCTTGCAATCCGTGATGCTGGCAATTGCTGCAGCCACGCTCTCCGAAATACCATCGCTCTGGCCCTCATCCGTGTCCATGGACTCCATTAGATCAAGTTTCCCCTTCTTGACCAGCTGCTGTTGTTGCTGCGGCGTGGGTGAGCTGCTCTTGCTGCTATTCCCGCTGATGCTGCTCGTGGGACTTATGGGCAATACATGATGTTGCTGTTGCACTTGGTGCTGTTGATGTTGCTGCTGTTGGTGGTGCTGAACCTGTTGCAGCAACTGATTAGGTTCCTGGAGGAGCAATATGTTGGTCTTCTTGGCCAACGAGGCCACCAACGCCTGCTGCTGTTGGCTACTACCATTCGTGGTGGTGAAGGTCAGCGTCTGTGTGTTTTTGGTGGGTGAAGTGGCCGGCGTTAGTATGCCCAAGTTGACCAAATTGGGCAGTGGCTTGCTGCCATTAAGCACGGTTTGGCCATTGGTTGTTGACTTGTTGAGCTGCTGCTGTTGCTGCTGCACAATGTCCATGGCGGACCCACCTCCGTTGGCCACATTGGTGGCCAGCTTGAGTATCTTGCTGGCGGTGGCATTGGCAGCCATTAGGTTGCTAACCGACTTGGCTGTCGGCGTATTGTTGGCTTTAATGGATACTAAACCGAGTGTGCTGCGCATTAAATTGTTGTTGCTGTTACCTGTTGCAGTGTTCTGATGGAGTTGCTGCTGCTGTTGCTGCTGCTGCTGGGTGGGAAGATTGGTCAGGGTGACCACATTCCCGGCGCTGAGCTGCTGCAGGACATTCGCATTGCCGGTGAGAATGGCAGTGTTGCTGGGTGTGCTACCATTGTTGCCATTATTATTTCCATTCCCAGACAGGCTGCTGCTGCCTCCGTGACAACTGCTGGCGCTGCTCGACATGTTGCTGATGCTCGACGGACTCAGAGAGCCCAGCGACTGCGACGGCGAGTTGCTGCGCTGAATGACGGGCGGCGGGTTCGGGTTGGAGGTGTTGCTGCTGCCCACTGGCGTAGTGGATGCGCCATCGCCTATGGCCAAGGCATTGGCCAACTGGGCATTCAGCACACTGTCCGGCTGCGAGTTGTGAGTGTGCAGAGCGTGGTTCTTCAGGCCCTGGGCCGTCTTGTAGCTCTTGCCGCAGTGACACTTGTAGCCCTTGCGAACTCTGTGGAACATAGAATTATCAGCTTCCAGTTTACCAAGCAGTTTAGTCGGCTCTATCGTTACCTTCCATCCTTTTTGTGGCCATTCTTTGAATGGTACTTGATGCCGTTGACGTTCTTGTAACGCTTTTTGCATCCCGGAACAGGGCAGGCGAAGGGTTTTTCATTGCCAGGCGTGCCATTGTTTCCGCCACCGGAATGCCTATAATAATAATTCAGAGTTGTTAAATATATAGATTAGATTGATTTAATATTGTATAATCTTTAAATCTTAACTTTATTGTACTAATGTACTTTTCTTTAACGATCTGACAATATTTTTAAGATAATAATTGCAAGAACTCAAATTTATATGTTTGGAAATTATGAATCTTTTAAAAAGTGGATATGAATCATGCTAAAAAAAAACCAGAAACCAGTCATGTTGTGATAAATACGCCATTATCACTAAAAGACTTATGCGTTGCCGGGCACTTCATCACATCTACATCTAATGGAATGTTTTAAAAACTAGAAATTATCACCATTCATGTTAGACACTATTTATTTATATGAGAACTTGAAATGTAAATATAGCTAATTATTTCCCCTAGATGTGGCACTAAAAGGTGTAAATATTCCAGTCGTAATAAAAAGTAAATCCTCATAATATTTTACCTAGTAATTTTAGTAACTAGAGGTATAATTAGTGATAGTAAACGAACCTGCTGCCATAGCGCATGATAAATTCGGAGCTAAACTCCTCGGTGGTCCACGAGTCGTTGCTATCCTCCGACTCCGTGACCACCATTTCGTCCTCGTCCATTTCGCTGCCTAAATGAGTAGAAAATCAAAAATTAGGTAAATCATATTACATAGTTTACAATCTCACTTACCTGTAGGCGTAGTGCTGCGGTTGGACGAGGACATACTGTAGCTGTGGTGTTTAATAGCCAGCTTTCGCTTGAGCTCCGCATTGCCATTTCCATGGCCAGCGGAGTTGGATCCGCTGTTGGTGGTCGGTGGGGCGGTAGTGTTGCTGGCCAGGAACGAGCCCGCCTCCTTGCGGTTATCCTCGGTGATGAAGCGCAGGACGTAGCTCAAGGGCAGGCAGGCAGGCTGGGCCTGCTCCTTCTGTTCGACCACCTTCGGGTCATAGTCTGCAAGATGGAATGGAAAGATTGTTGCACTATAGTAGCAATCATAAAATTGTCGCAATTTAATATATTTACGAAAGAACTCCATTGTAATGTTCTACATAAAACTGGAAATAATTGCGGACCCTGCTAGAACGTTTTCAAAACGGGATTAGCTAATTAAAATTCCCTTTCAAGTCGGGATCAAAGTCCGAACCGGAATGCGGGCAGCCAGAACAGAAACCTGCATCCGAAATTCGTCGTCAACGGCTGTGTTTGCACTGGAACAAGTTCACAGACATTCAGAAGACCCACAGCCCGGGCAATTTATTATTAAAATGTCGAAATAAGTAAATAGCGAGAGTGCACGTACGGGGTATGGCGACGAATTTAGTGCGCCTGTTGACGCATTTTCCGAGGGTCTTCGAAGAGAAGCGCGGAGTGCCAGGAGGCGCACATGGCCAGCTCTATAGCGTGGGTACATTATCTTATCGCCAGAACAAGCATAAGCCCAAAGCTTGCTTAATCAGCGAGTGCATAATAACAGGTGCCTCCCCTTTTGCGTCTTTATTTACTTTTCGATCCATGTGTGCGAGCAACCTAACCTCCATAAGCAGACCGCGCACGCTTTATTTCCCAATTAAATCATTTTGGTGCGTAACTGTGTCAGACGGCCCATTCATCATATGAGCACCCTGTGTATTCGTCACTTGATTGCAGTACAACTTAGCGGGCTGCTAAACGATAAATTAACATCCATCGATCAGTTGCGGATCTTACAAAGTGATAGCCTCACTTCAATTTTTAGAAAACTACCTAATCAGACGTACTCCGCATTCGGATGATAGAGTTTGTTTGGTCTAGATTTTGTCCCCCGAATTAATCAGATTACATGGTCTCATAATTTTAGCTTTTTTATTTCGAAAATTATTAGTATATTCGCTTCCACAAGGTTATTATATTAATCTCATTTATAAAGGTAAAACTAAAAAATATTAGTTTCGCGAATTCTTAAAGATCTAACGCCCTATTTGCGTGACACGGAAACCATGAGAAGCTAGTTACAATTGGAATGTTTAAAGAATCAAAAAATTTAAAAAAGGGGGAACCCCATAAATTGCTTTGACATAGCCACTGAATAGATTAAACAGCAGATAATAAATAAACAAACTGAGTGAAGGTTTATAAGTTTAAATCTTGTTCTGCATTTCCATTTCATTAGACGATCTTGTAGAAATTTGTGGAAACACTTACAAGATTACGAATCGGTGGGCACACTATGCATTTCCGCACTCTACGACTCACGCGATAACACTTTGATAACGATGCACTTTAATTGCTTCGATTCGTACTTTCGTTCGAACAGAAAACATATGCCGCAAATTGGCTTTTATGCGAAACATATGCCTTCATTTAGTAACACCCCCGCCTCGATTTTTAGACTGCTTATCAGAGCGAAATGCGATTAAAAACATTTGCGGTGATGTCTACGTGCCGGGCAATCGATCGATGACACATACGGACACTCCATATGTGCGTAATAATTCCACGTACTTTAGGTAACATTTCATCAAGTATTTATGTGCCTTTAACATTCGCAACTTGAAACTGCAATTATATATTTTTTAGCTGACGAAATCGTTGTGCCACGCCCCTCATCCTCTCAAGAACACGGCGTCATTTGTCAACGGTCAAATCAGTTCACCCGGTTCGATTTTTTTATTTCTGCTCCGCCTTCATTATTGTTATTATTATTTCGCTGTTGATAACCCCAGACATTCACGACTTCTCTGTAGGTGACACTTTACTGCTGCCTTGGTGTTCGGGTGTTTATCAAATCGAGTATTTTACAAACAACTTTTAACTAATAGTAAATACATATATACATATATACAAACAAACCCACATCAGCAGTCGCCGTATATCATACGTTATTCGTATTTCAGAAACAAAATAAACGCAGATCCCTCTCTCTTTTGCACTTGTGAATGACTCATGCACTTGTTGCAGAATTAAAAAAAGATAACAAATGTTTTTCGCTTGAACATGCGGTTTCGGTTTGTTTTCATTTTGGCAGCTGCCTCAAAAACTTTCCAATAGCTGCAAAGACCATTTTGTTTGAAATTTGATAAACACAAGTCGTTGACTGCAGCGAAATTATGTTGACATTGCAAGTGCAGGGACACTTTAAACGGGGTGATTGATTTAACCCCAGTAAATAACCTTCAAAAGACATTAGGAATAACTGTACTCATTTCATAAATTGGTTTGGTACACCTGGTTAACCTGCGATTGTCCTGTGATTTAAGTGACAAGTGCTGTTAGGAAAGAAGATTTTTGAAATATGACTGGTCTATTTATTTTTTCATGAAGAGTGTGGATTCTTTTATTCGCTATTTATAATTATGATCTACTTGATAAAGTCTCCTGTTTAAATCCCTGAGTAAGGTAAACTACTTGCTATGCTATTATAACACATCCATTTTTGACAGGTGCACATTTTTTGGGCAGTTACTCAGTGGGTTAACTGCGGCAGATGGTTATCGAAGCGCAGTGGAGACAAGCGTGCCGCAAACACACACATAAATAATCCCGGGCATTTTTTGAGACACAACAGGTGCCAGGCAACTGTGAAAAGGACAAACCTGAAGGTCTCGCCCGCTTTTTCAGTTGCCCATGACAACCAAACCGAAACGAAGCGACAACGCCCAAGGAATCCTGATAACAGGCATAAATCCATCCATCCACAGAACCCACGCATCGAATGTCCTTCGAGATAATGAAATGATGGGCATTTATAAGCCCCAGAACAGCTCGCACACGAAATGGATACGCAATGGCGATGGGGGATGCGGGTTTTCGGGGCGTTTTTGGGAGGTATTTGTATCTGGGCCTGGGCTTTTTTGGGGTGGCAGTTGCCAAGTGGGCGTATGCTCAAAGTCTGGGCTTTATGTAATGCCCCGGGACACAAAAGGGGGTGGTGGTGAGGTAGAAAGCCTGCCCGGGCAGCCATTTTATACATACATGTGTGTGTGTGTTGACCGTTATCACGCAGAAGTGGCAACAACAAAACAGCTGCCAACGTAACCGAAAGCAAGTCAGCTGAGCAACCCCTCTGCTTTCTCTCTCTATTTAACCCCTCTCGCTTTGCCAGTGTATGTGTAAGCAAAAGAGCCTGGATAGGCACCGAAAGAAAATTATATAGCTTATGATAATTCACATATTAACTTGAATGAAGCACAAGCCTTTTAATAAATTTAAGAAATCAAAAAATTATTTTTTGCGACTTGTGAATGAGTACATTAATCGTAGTTTGGCTTCAACTCGAGGTCATGTTTAGCGTTGGTTATGATATTATTCCTATAACAAAAAAAATATTTGAAGGGGTGATAATCCAACTTTTTACTTAAAGTATAATTACATTTAAACTGACTTGAAATTTTAATTTCTATAAGTCGTATTCATGAAACCGTTGAAAAGCTATAACTAGAACAGCTCTGAAAACTCTATAAAAACGCAACATTACTTTCAGTTCACGCACGGCATGTTGGGAATAAAGCCCGTTAACGGTTAACCCACCCCCAACCCCTGTTTTCGTAATACAACACTGTGCCTAACTCTATTGATTTTCCCTCCTCGAAATCCCCGCCCCGCCCAACACTAAAATTAGAAATTGTTTATTTCAGCCGGTAAAAGTCGGCACACAATGAATATGATTAATTGGAAGCCCTCGGGAGTCACGTGGACGGGAAAGTATCGATTGTGCGTGTGGGTGGAGTGGAAGTGGGGGAAATATAGAGCGCAACTCCGATTACCGGATGCGGATACACCTGCTTTGCAAAGAAATACCAGAAAAACCGAAGCCAAGCCATGCGGACAGGTCAAAAAAAGGGCGCTCAACTCGCCGGTTTCCACTACAAAAACAACAACAACTAGATGCTGTGCTGGCCTTCCAAACACACACACAAATACACCCAAACAGGGGTATTGAATGGATCACCGGCTTTTTTGCTTTTGTTTTGCTTGTACAGCCCTCTCGCTCGCACCCGCACTTTCCAGGCAAACGCCGATCACCGAATGCTGTACGCGCCTGGAAAACTGGGCGTGTGTGTACGGTGTAGAGTGCATTGGTGTGCGTGAGGCAAGCACAGGTAGCGACTTCCAGCATCGATTTTGCCATTATAAATGCAATATATGCTAAATGAAAACTGCAATTCACGTTAAAAACAGCATTCAGTTCACCACGAAGCCATTTACATACACACTCACACGCACTCGCACACCTTTGCCCTGTTATATATTTTTATTTATGCCGCCGTCGGCGAGTAAATAAATAGAATAAACAAAACACACCGAGAACATCACGCGACGGTCAAATGATAGCGATATTCGCGATTTACGATCCCAATCTCACCTATGTGGGTGTCCTCGATGTGGGAAATCAGATCGCTCAAGCTCGGAAATGTGATGCCGCAGCCATTGTACTTGCAGACGTTGATCAGGAAAACGGCCATAATATATTATATTATCATGTATATTATATATCACGGATTCCGAGGCGAACGAATGTGGCGAGTTATGTAAAAAAAACAGCAACTAAAATCGGGGCTGTTTAGTGTGGCCAGGTCAGCAATCCACTGAAATTGCCATCTTCTAGGGCTGCAGTGTCTATTTAGCGGCGACTCCCACCCACCTCCAATGCGCAGTGGTGACTTTTGCTGGGCGAGTACTGAATGTTGGTGTTGCGATAGTTAATCGCTATCGATAGTCAGCATCCGGACATGACGACAGTTTTTAACAAAAAACTCTGTTTTTACTGTTTAAATGCAGCACAACTCAGGTGTTTGCCGTTTTTCCGCTCTCTCTCTCGCTTCGGTGTGGTGTGTTTCGGTCCTCTGGCGTTTCCCCACACACACACACTTATGCGCAAGTGCTGTTATGCAATTGAGGGCTGCAACATTTTTGGGGGCGTAACTGGGTTTAACTAATCTCTGAATCAAATCAATGCTAAGTATACTTACAGCATTATGTGCTTCGATAGAGTTGCCTTTGCAGTAGCTGGTAATTAAAACATAATTTAAACCGACGTGACGTAGACACAAACACCGACGTCGAACGACGCGTTATGCTGCGTTTGTGGTGGTGTGGGTGACTGTGGTGAGTAGCGAGGAACCAGGGCTTGAGGCACGGGTTAATTAGACAATCGATATAGGCGGTTATATTCAATTTGCATTAAATAATAAAAACAAAAACAGTTTAATTTGTATGTACTTTCTTTAAAAGTTTTTCTAAAAGATCCACGACCTTCAACATTTTGAATTCCCGCCCAACTATCGTTTATCCCAAGAATTCCACAAAGTCGTTTTCTTATCGATTAATTATTAGACTCTTTTAAGAACTTATCGGAACGAACTTAGTTACTAAAATATATATGTTTAATGAATTCTCATTCATAATTCTTTTCATTACAAGTATTTTTTGATGTCATAATTACTCTCCACACTGGATCGTGTTAGTTATCGATGGCTTAACTCAATTATCCTGTCCACATTGGACTAACTTCATAACTTGAGTTAAGGACAGATGTTCTTTGTTTTGATTTTTCTGTGGTAAAGATTTGTAGTTGTCATGTTTTGCGAGCTGTTTTGAATTTCGTTTAAAGCCGTTTTGCATTTCAATCTTTAACGTTTTATGTAATACCTTGCTAAAAGTTTGGTGATGCCCACTCGGACCAATTACTTGACCACTCATTTGAAAAATACAAAATACAAGCCAAATAAAAAACGCCGATTTTTAGAGAATTAAGCCACAATCATTTAGAAGTACGCATCTTTGGAATCGGATGTCTGTATGAAAAGTTATGGGCTTAGAAGTGCAGGTTTTAGGTAACTTTACTGCAAAGCCATTTTTCGCAAATTTGGAAAAATGACAAAAAATCGGCCCCAAAATACAAATTAAGCTGAAAACCCAGTTTTTTTGAGGATTAAACCACAATCATTTTGAAGTATGCCACTTTGGAATCGGATGTCTGTAAGAAAAGTTATGAGCTTAGAAGTACAGGTTTTAGGTCACTTTTCCGCAAAGCCATTTTTCGCAAATTTGGTAAGGGGTAACACTGTCAAAATGACTAAAAATCGACCCCAAAATACAAACGAATTTGAGAACGCAGTTTTTTAGAGAATTAAACCACAATCATTTTAAAGTATGCCACTTTGGAATAGGATATCTGTAAGAAAAGTTATGGGCTTAGAAGTGCAGGTTTTAGGTCACTTTTCTACAAAGCCATTTTTCGCAAATTTGGTAAGGGGTAACACTGTCAAAATGACTAAAAATAGACCCCAAAATACAAACGAAGTTGAGAATGCAGTTTTTTAGAGAATTAAACCACAATCATTTAGAGGTATGCCACTTTGAAATCGGATGTCTGTAAGAAAAGTTATGGGGTTAGAAATGCAGGATTTAGGTCACTTTTCTGCAAAGCCATTTTTCGCAAATTTGGAAAGACATCCGATTCCAAAGTGGAATTCTTCTAAATGATTGTGGTTCAATTCTCCAAAAAAAGAATTCCACTTTGGAATCGGATGTCTGTAAGAAAAGTTATGGACTTAGAAGTGCGGGTTTTACACATCATTTACACAAATAAATATTTCTTCTATAAAGTAGATAATGATATTTTAAGTTGTATATTAATATTTAATTTAATTAATTAAAATAATTCCAAAGCTAAGAGTCTAGTATGCATAAAATTGGAGGGACGGACGAACTCGGATAGATCGACTCTACATCTATTTGCTAATCAAGAAACGACAGAAATTAGCAATTAGTTGGGAAAAATATACTTCCAAATGTAACTCAGTGAGAAAGGAGCATTACAGGTGAAAACATCGATGTTGAACTAGTAAACAGCAATATTACCCAACATCAATCAGATTTCAGAACCAAGGATTGTGACATTGCTAAAAATCGTTAAAAATACCAAAGTTTTTCTCTTTAAAAATACCTAAGTTGGTATTATTTCTACCACCCACCAACGGGCACACTGTGCACCCCCCAAAAGTCACCGAATTGGTCAAATTCGTTTTACTGTTGTGAAGGGTTTGTTCGAAGTGAGTTGCTTTCTCCGGGATTTCTTCTCCCCGCTCGGCGGAGCACCCCCTTATCAGCACCCCTTTGTTGGGTAACAGCCGTGAAAACGCCTCAGATGCCAGAAACCGCGGAAAAGCGCTGCTATCAGTGAAGAATCGAGTGAATTTTCGCCAAGAAAATGCGAAACGTGTTTGATAATCCGTCGCCATCTTGCGGCACACTCACACACACACATGTGCCAGTCAGGTTTTCAGTACTGTGCGTGTGTCTCGAGTCGTTGCGTCACTGGAAAAGTCGGAAAAACTGCAGAATTTTTTAAAGAAAAGGCAGTAAATCGTTTTCAATTGAGAAATAAGCGAATATCGAGCAGCAAATCGAGTGGAAATACGGTGCGAAGGCAGCTTTTCGCTCGTTACGTAACTTTTTCTGAGGCGGCATGGGATTATGTTCTTCAGATCTTCAGCCCCAACTAACCGATATATTCCGTCTATATCTTTGCAGAGCCGTGCGCTAGCTTCAATTTTGTCGTAAGCAAAACAAAAAAAAAGAAAATCAACCGAAAATGTTCGTGTCGACAGTCTCTCGCATTGCCCCCGTTGCCAGGAGCGCTGTAAGTACACCATTATTTTGATTATTGTGCGAGATAAAGTTAAAACCCTCGAGATATTACATAATTATCGGAAAAGTGCATTGATTTACCCCCGATTTAACAATTTACATGCCGCCTTGGCGTGGTGAACTTCCAATGGCCGCGGTGAGAAAACACAGACGGCATACAGTTGCATAACTTTGAGGTTATGTGTGCTCACAGTGGAAGCGAACAATTAAGTGTTATTAAATGGAAATTATAGAACTATATCTGTGACATTTGATTTAGGGATCTGTTTCGTGGTTTCCAAAACTTGCCCCTATGGCGTTGTATAACAAGTAGAAAATCCATTAGGTGTGTTTTGTTGGTTGAGGTTAGAACCGGCGAAAGCTTTCCAGATGAGGGGTGAAAAAAGACAGAAGAGTGGGGAAAATGGCAATAATTGACATTGTTTATAATATTATATACGGTTAAACCTCAAATTAGGCGAATGACAACTATATAAAAACAACGAATGTATCTCAATAAAACAAATTATACGGCCAACTTGCCATCCCATAGAAATTACTTAACGATTGCATAACTTGGCATTAGCCCATTACAGCAGAGCAATGAACTTGTGCGGATACATAGGGTTAAGATGTAGTGTATTTGGCATGATCCGTCTATATATGGCTTTAAATGACCCAGCAACTAAACTACTAAGAATCCAAATCACCCATAAATAGAATTTACTTATAGTTCAAACTAAATAAAAACGACTTTAGAGCCTAAAAACAATAGAACAAATATATATGAAACTGTTTGTTGATAAATGAATGCATATTAAAAAAACTTAATTATTGGGCGACATTAATGATTGTTTACTATTGATGTTTAAAAATTACTACTTGAAACTTAACGAAAATAAAAAGTAATACTATACCCCCTATATTAACTGAAATCTTTATCTCAAGCAATGCGATAAACACGACTTACTGATTCTTATATAACTGACCATTATTTTGTTTTTTCAGCTCCTCGCCAACTCCAAGCAGTACTTGCGACCATTGAGCAGCGCCGTCATTAGCCAGAGCCAGACTTTGGCCGCTCAGAACACAACCCCAGTTGCATTGCTGCCACAGATCAGGTCATTCCAGACCTCGCCAGTCACGCGTGACATTGATTCGGCTGCCAAATTCATTGGCGCTGGTGCCGCAACAGTCGGTGTCGCTGGATCCGGTTCGTATTGGTTTCGCTGTGCACTCATGTCAAACTCATCTTTATACTCATTGTCAAACGTAGGGAAATTCCCAGCTCCCTTTTCTTCCTTATCTTCCAGTCAGTTACAATCTAGCATCTGGGGCTCACACTACGAGTATCTAATTACTCTCTATACCAATGCCCCGGGAAGGTCTGAGAATTGGCCAAGCTTTTTGTTGTTGCTTCATTTCCCAGCAGGAAACCTGTGTGATTGCAGGGCGAAAGTACCAGAAATCCTGCCACCAAGCGTTGCCATCCCCGTGACCGCCGCTTGGTTGGCATTGAAATCTTTCGTGGCCAGCATTTTTAGTGCGATGTGCTTGCTGTCTTTTAAGGCAGAACTCAATTCAGACTAATCTGTGACTGACTACTTCGAGAAGGAGACAAAAAAGGAGCGGGGGAAGACCCTAAAAAACGATATCTGTCCTAAAGTTAACATACATTTTGACAAAAGCTTCGGTTTTTACTTGCCTCATTCTGTGTTAAATATCATTAATCATTCACATTCAGTATGGACACTTTACTAATGCTTTGTTTCTTTTTCTTTTTATCCCCTTCTGCGACAACGAACCAATACAACAGGTGCTGGTATCGGAACAGTATTCGGTTCCCTTATCATCGGCTACGCCAGGAACCCATCGCTGAAACAGCAGCTGTTCTCCTACGCCATTCTGGGCTTCGCCCTGTCCGAGGCCATGGGTCTGTTCTGTTTGATGATGGCCTTCCTGCTGCTGTTCGCCTTCTAAGCGATCCCTGTGCACATCGATTGCTCGTCCTTGTTTCCTGCAATCGGGCGTGTGTGCAAGTCGCATGCGAACGAGAATAGCAACCAAACAACACTTCAAACAAACAACAACAACCAGAACAAGCAACACCAACGTTCGTTTTCGATTATTAATGATAAAATGATTGATTGATTGATAGCAAACAAGAACATCCTGTACCACTATCTAATTATAAATACCAACAACCACATAATATATGTAATTTTGTTTTTAAAAAACATGCGAGCGAGGAGAAGACCACACACCTACTTTAAGTTGAACAACCGAAATATCAGGAGGAAGGATTTGGATTGGATTCGATTAGCCCCCAGACGACAAAGATTAAAATTAGATTTTAATTGAAGTAAGCTTCCGGCTCACTGAAAAACCCGAACCGCATCCTCGGATGAAGTCCAGTCCAGCTCAACACTTTGCAAATCCCGCAAGGGACCTTCATGTCCGCTGACCAAGGCTCTCTCTCTCCCCCGAAGTTCTTGGACATCGAAACGACTAAAATCTCCAGCGGCAGGCAATGCGTGGAGGTCCTTTCTGCAAAGACCACCCCGGATTTGCGAGTGTGTGGGCGTGGCTGGTCGGAAGTCTGGAGGAGCGTTGGGCTCAGCAACTTTTTCGATTTTATTGTGGCGCGTACTGAAAATCCCCATTGTTTTCAAGTATTTTGTATTCGAAGAAAATCAGTTTCCTTAACGTAAACACTGTTTTTTTTTTATTGCCACTTAATATTTATTATGGAACATGTTATAAAAGTGGTTGCGAACGATTTGAGCCGAAGAGCGCATCTGAAACGTGAAATAAAGTAGAAATGAATGTGTAAAGGAGGCAACAAGGTTGTTTTTATTAAATAATTGTTGGTGAAATAGTTATTTGGTTTAACTGATTAAATAGTCGATTTGGTAATTTTAAATTTCAGCGCCCAAATGCCACAACCAAACCCCCCTTCTCATTAGCATAAGTTATCGACCGGAATCACCTTGTGAATTCTCTGTTATTCTACTGTTAAGAGTTATTGAACTCATGTCATCTCTGGGGTCGTTTTTTAATACTTCTTGAGGTAAATTACTTGCGAGCAAAGTCTGGTGGAACATTTATTTGACGTTGCTGTGTTGAATTAATAATAAATCGCATAATTTATACTTATGAAAAATCTTTTCTGTTAAAGAGCTGTTAGCGCGATAACGATAATTCGTGTGGGCTGGCGACTGTCATCTCTAATGCACCACACGTGTGTTTTGTTTTGATGATCTTCTAGTTTTTGGTTTGTTTGGCAATTCTCATGGACTTCGCCAAGAAAATACTCGGAAAATATGGCTGGAAAGAGGGCGATGGCCTGGGCAAGAACAACACCGGAATTGCAGCTCCCTTAAAAGCCAGTTTGAAGTTCGATAATGCAGGATTGGGAGTGGACCGAGCCAAGGAGTTTAATGATCACTGGTGGGAACGGTGCTTTAATGATGCCGCCAACAATGTAGAGGTACAAATTCAGCAGGATGGGCAGGTCTCAACCTCCCGGAAATGTGGAAAGGATGCGGTGGAGATCTCCACCAGCGGATTCTCCGCCCGGAAGCTGAAAAAAGCCAAGGAACAGCACGCCCGCGATGGGAAATCCACCTACGACAACTTCTTGCAAACCTCTTTGCTCACCCAGAACGGCGGCGAGGTGGAGACTCTTGAACGCATTAAGGTAGAGGACATAGAGGTAACCAAGTTGGCAGTGCTCACGGATGAGGAACTTTTTAAAGCCTGTGGAGGAAGGACGGCGCACAAGGGAGCCCGTCATGGCCTCAAATTAAGCGGGAAAATTGCCCGACTCGAGCAGCAGGAGCGCGAGATGCTGGAGAAGCTGCAGGCAAAACTAAATAGCGTTCCTGACCAAAAAACCAAGAAAAAAAGGGATTCAGCTGAAGAGTTACTTGTGGAGGATCAAAAACCAGTGGAAGAAACTGTGAACGATAGTCTCGAGCCGCTTGTGAAACCAGAAAAGAGGAAAAAGGCCGCGAAAGATGAGTCTTTAGAAGAGGTAACAGTGGACCAACTGGAGAAACCCAAGAAGAAAAAGAAGAAGAAAGCAGATAAGTCGGAAGAGAAAGTACCAGAGGAGCCCCTAAAGATTAAAAAGAGAAAAAATAATATAGCTGAGAATTCTCCAAAGGAATGTGAAGAGCCAACTCAAGATAAAGAAGACAAAGAACCTTTAAAGAACAAGAAGCGAAAAACAGAGGATGATACCGAAGTATCCGAAGCACCAATTAAAAGTAAAAAAAAGAAGAAAAAGAATAAAGAGGTGGATCAATAGTTAAATGTATAGAAATATGTAAATAAAAAAGATTTAAAAAAAGATCCATTGTTAGTTTCTTTCTGGAAATGAATTCTATTGACTTTCTATATAGTTAATGAATAGTATTAGGGAGATATATAATTATCTGAAATAAAAGCAATTAAAAAGGTCTCGATTCCGGAACGAATCCCGTTTAGTAAAATCACATTGGTGCACATAAAGTTGAATGTATTTAAAAAATCTATACAGCATTTTAAAACTAAAGTTTGGTCACCTAATGATAGTCGGCAATCCTAGTGGATTACTTTTTGCCCTTGGCCTTAATGCGCCGCGACTTGCCCATTCGCTTATTGACCGAGGCGCCTGCCTTGACGCCCCTTTGTCGTCGCGAGGACTTTTCGCCATCTAATCCTGCGGAGGAGGACTTGGTGTTCCGTTTCAGGCCCTTTTTCTTGCCGCCAAAGCCGAACTTCTTGTTGCGCTTCTTGCGGTTCTCGGCGGACTGCTTCTGCTTGGACTCCAAAGCTTTGGCGTCCTCCAAAAAGTCCAGGTTTTTCAGTTTGCCCTTGCGGAACTTCTTGAGCTTGTCCAGCATGTCCTTCTTCTCGGCCTCGCGCTGAACCTTCGTTTGCTTGGCCAGCATCTTGCCCATTTTGCGCTGCTCGCGGATCTGCTTGATGCGCTCGGATTTGGCCTGTCCCTGCTGTTTGGCCATCAAATTGGCGCGCACCTTTTGCATATGCTCGTCGGACTTGGCCATCTCTGCGAAATAGTCATCTGGACGACGGGTCTTGATGCCCAGCTCGTGCAGGCGGGGAATTGCCTCCAGGACGGCACTCTGCGCCTGCCGATGGAAGAGCATCTCCCTCTTGAAATCATTAAGGACGGGATCCTCCTCGGGGCGAATGTAGGGCAGCTTGGCGTTGCCCTTGAAGAGATTGGCGCGTTTCTGCTCGTGCTTCTCCAGCTGGACAGCGAGTTCCGGGGCCAAAGGAGCCAGCGTGTTGATCATGTCCAGGCGCTCCAGCCACGGGAGTTGCAGCTTGATAGCCTCTGTTTTGGCCAAAAGTTTGGTCTAGTAAGGGTAGCGATTAGTGGCTTAAAAAAACAGGTATCCAGCTGGTTACTTACGACATCATTTACTCTATCTCTCTGCCCATTGAACTCCACATTTAGACCTGGTTTCAGGTCGCCTCGCTCAAAAGCCGCTTGCAGCTGCATTATAATGTGTGAGTATCGGTTTTAAGAGGGTTTTTTTATTAAGATTATTACATACCTCTGCGTCTGAATTATCCCCAGAGTCGTACCCTGAAGCACTGTCCTCCATTTCGAAGTCTGACATGCTAAATATGCTAAATTAAATGGGAACTATGAAAAGAAAACAATTTCAACACGTGCGGGGCATAGAGATGAACTGTAAGCTAGAGATGGACCGTTTTTGGTATCCACTTTTTGGAATATATCGAAACACATGTTAAGATTCCTCTGGTATATTTTGGTATAATGTTTAAAAGGTGCCCGGTCACACTGCACTGGCTTTGCTTTTCAAACCCGCCGCTTTTTTTTTTTGTGATTTTTAAAATGTTGGCTTCTGCTAATTTGGCAAATGTCTACGCGGAGCTGATGCGCCGATGTGGCGAGTCCTTCACGATCACCTACGGTGCACCACCCACCTATTTGGTCAGCGCAGTGGGATCCGCAGAGGCTGGAAAAAAGATTGTGCTGGTCTTCAAGGAGGATCGCAGTGGCCCAGTGGCTGGAATACGAACCACGCCTACTAGGGCGAGGCCCAAAGAGGATGGTTCGTCGAATCTGGATCTCACGGGCAGTCCTCTAAAGGACGATTGCCTGGTGGACGCCATAGGAGACCTGTCCATAGATCTGCAGCTGGAACACTCAAATCCCTGGAAACTGGAGGAGGAGTACCATCGAGGAATACCCGTGGACAAGGCGAGGTCTATCATATGCTCTGAGTTTCTTCAGATGTCCGAAGGACTCGGTTCTGTGTGGATCCTGTGCGATGGCGCAGACTCCGGCCAAACACAGTTATTGCAGTTCGAGTTTAACCCCACCCACTTCTCCAGGGGGATCCTGAGCTACCAGGGAGTGCTGCCTGCCTATATGGTAAGCTCTCAATCCCTGGTCCGGCAACATGGCAAAGCTCCCGAGGAAACATTGATCGAAAACAGCTACCAGGTGAATCCCCAGATGAGGTTGCGATGCTTCTGGTCCTCCAATGCTGCTCTGCCCTCCCTGATAAACCTAAACGATTGCGAAGTGGCTCTGAATCACACATTTCGGGTAGGGGAATGCAGTCCATTGACCCAGGACTTTTTGAACCAGCTGCGCATCTTGGTCTACATTCGCGAAGACATCGTCTCGTACCACAAGGATGTCAAACGGGGTGTCGCCAGGGACCCCACATACCGTTGTGGCAGTGGCGTTGATATGGATGAGTTGAGAGAGTCCATCAACCAAACTATGACGGATGTGTCAGGCTTTATAAATCGATATAGCATTGGCAACGCAGAATTTGACATCGAGGATGTGGTGCAAAGAGCCAAGGTGCGCCGGCTTACCGATCTCACCGACAAACTCTGGGAGCTGCTCAAGTGCTGCGATTCCTACAAGGACCTCAAAATGGCTTTCAATATGCTCTTCCAGTGCGCCACTCGATGTAACATAGTAGTAAGTATATATACTTGATCATAAAGCACAACCACCCTTCATAATCTAACTCTAGAACACTCCAACCAACAAAAATCGCCTGGCCAAGATTATCACGGAGTTGGCCAATCGACGTTTGGCCATGCCCTGCTTAAGCGGCGCCGAGCCTTTGGAACTCCTGCTAGAGATTGGCCTGGAGAAGCTGTACAAGGATTATGAGTTCATCTACACGGAGAGCAAGATGTGCAGCACCAATCTGCTGAAGGAGGACTGCAGCGAAGCAGCGAATGACGATGGCTCACCGCAGAATCTGCCCCAGCTACGAAAATCCCTGCACAATGCGGTTAGGGGAGATCCGACGCCAGGAGCAGGAATGCGAAAGACGCTGCTTCACCACAACGGCGCCGTCAAGTCGGGGAATGCGAAATATGCTGGCGACGACGATGATGCAGGCTTCAAAAACAGCCATTTCGACGAGCAGGAGAGCTCGGAACGCGTTTCCAAGTTGTTTCAAATTCACTGCACTTTGGAGCACCTGCTGATGATGCACATTCACTTGAATCTGGCGAATGGTGAGTGACTTTTGACTTATATTTTTACATTTATCTGGATTGTCCTGTGCTTAAATGTAATTTGTTTTTTCAGTTTACAATGATGTCTGCTGTGAGCTGCTAAAGAAACCTCCTAAATTGGTAGAGGCAATTGATGATCAGCTGAGCGATGTGATGGACATCCGCCTATCCGCACACTATGTCAGAGATCACTTGGATGGCAAAGAACCATACTCACGGCACATTACCATGCGTTCGCATAACAAGTTTCGTGAGCTGAAGACCACCTTCTATTTCAATTCGGAGAACATTTGTCCCCCCAATTTGGCTCAATGTTTTCAGTGCGATGGTGTGTTGACTTTATTAATTTAAGTAAACATTAAAGACTAAATAAAATATTTGTATTTGCAGACAAGGAGATGGTGCAGGAGCGCACATATCACTCTTGGCTGTACCGCAAGATTCTTTCACTTAAGTGAGGCAGGCCTGCTTAGAGAAATTAAATTGGCAATGTATTATTAATACACTTTTAAGCATAATTAAGCGTATTGAATATATTTAACAAAGCCTATTTTAATTTTGTAATCCATTCCATGGCGCTCGAATTTGTTATCCTTCTTAGAGCTAAAAGCAACTCTTTGAAATAACTATATCATGTTAAATTATTAAAAACCATGCTCGTTTTGGCCATAATTCTTGTAAACTAAACTGTAAGCTTATACACATTATATTCTATATAACTATTCATACCCCTTTTGTTCCCCAATTCCATTCAATTGTTTGAGCTTGTTTACACGCTTTTCAACGCGTTTTCACGAGCCCCCAAAAAAGCCAGTGGTGCACTCAGAAATCATGTTAAACGAACTCGTACAAGTTTTAAGCCGAGCCAGAGGCTGTCGTCGTGCATTGGAAATCTTGAAAACCTGGCCGAAATCCGCTTCCGCCCTGCTCACACTTTTATCGCCGTATTTTGGCTGGCCATATTCTAAACAAAGGCCAGAATGCACCAACATTTGGCCATTCCAAAGTAATGCTGCAAATGAGGCGAGAAGAGCGTGGGCTCAATGGCAAAGAAGGCGCCATCGAGCATTCCCGTTATGTTACAATCCAATTAGCCCGGTGCGCCAGTTGGCCAACTTGAATACTTGGCCCGTTGCAGATTGATTTGCATTTTGTCAGACGTGCGTGGAACGCGCAGCGGTTCGGACGTGTTTTTCCCCAGCTCTGCTCCCCTAATAAACGAGCGGAAACAAGGATTTTACGCAAGTGTCCTGCCCTGGAAATATAGACACTTGGAGCTGGAAATCAAGTGTTTCGGAAAATTGCATTAGTGAACAGTGATTTTGTGTGTCTGTAGCAGTTAAATTTAATTAAGTTCATTAAAACGCCAATTATCGCGGGTGCCTAATCCAATTAACAACAAAATGGTGTGTATTAGCCAAACCAAATGGTCTGATATCCTGCTAAAACAAATCAGGAATTTAAATAGCTAAAAGGACATTCGATAATCTGTGCCAGTAGCCCTTGAAGTGCATAACTCTTGCGGCTCAAAAGAAATTTTAGACGACTGACGGGTTCAAATCCTGTGAAACGAAGATACCCTTTGCTCTAGTCGCCCCTGAACTTATTCTCAGAAACTTTTGCAGACAAGGCCGTTAATCCCTTGCCAAGAAATCGTTGATGGGTTTTTCAACTCACTTCGAGAAAGCAGAAACTCTTGAAGCACTTGTGAAGCCAAATTAAAACTACAAAGTTTCGTTTCCTGAGATGCAGTGAAGATGACATTAAGATAATCTATTTAAGGAGTTGGTTTGAGTCACCCATTTGACTATATGATCACTTGTTAACTGACATTTTGTTGTTCGCCATTTAATTTTGAAAGAAAATTGACTCACCTAATTGAATTTAAAATTTAAACTTTAAAATAATGCAATAGTCAAAACGAGGATTTTTTTAAAGCATTGAAATCGAAATATAAAACTAATTTGAAAGGATCCTGAAGATGTTCCAATGTTCAACAGATAAACCATCATTTTTTAAGTCAAAATCCTACATTTAGCCAAAACTGTTACTGCCGGTTTAGTTATTTATCCTTCTTATCTCTAGGGCCTAGAATTCTTCTTTAAGTTTGGCTATGCCTTCCTGACAATAACCCTTATGATCATGATATGGATGTCGCTGGCCCGCGCCTCGATGTTTGCTCGTGAAATGGACGAGACGAACTACCCGCCCTGCACCTACAACGTGATGTGCACCTGTTCGAAGTCCTCCACGGATCTGGGGATTGTGCACTGCAAAAACGTTCCGTTTCCGGCACTGCCACGCATGGTAAATCAGTCAAAGGTAAGTCAATAAATAATTATTTATGAACTTAATATACTTTTTATTCTACTGGAACTAAAAGTAGCGAAAATGTATTTTTCTGAAAATTTGATTACTCTCGAAAAAGAGTTTGCTCAGCTATTCTAAAGCGTTACATATTAACTGGATATATCAATACTTACGAACACTATTATTTTAAATTATTTTTAACGAATTTCAACGTTGTTATTATTTTATATGCTCCTCTTTCTGGGTTCAGGTTTTCATGTTGCACATGGAGAACACGGGTCTGCGGGAGATTGAGCCTTACTTTCTGCAGTCCACTGGCATGTACCGCCTGAAGATTTCGGGAAACCATCTCACCGAGATCCCAGATGACGCCTTTACCGGACTGGAGCGATCGCTGTGGGAGCTGATCCTTCCCCAAAACGACCTGGTGGAGATCCCTTCCAGGGCCTTGAGGCACCTGCAGAAGCTGCGCCACTTGGACCTGGGGTACAACCACATTACGCACATTCCGCACGACGCGTTGCGCGGACTGGAGGACTCGCTGCAGACGCTGATCCTGCGGGAGAACTGCATTTCACAGCTGCAGTCGCACAGCTTCACTGGCCTCCTGATCCTGGAGACCCTCGACCTGAGTGGGAATAACCTCTTTGAGATTGATCCGAATGTGTTCGTCGACGGAATGCCCCGACTGACTCGTCTATTGCTTACTGATAATATCCTCTCGGAGATCCCGTATGATGCCCTGGGTCCGCTAAAAAGCCTTCGCACCTTGGACATCTCCCACAATGTGATCTGGTCGCTCAGTGGCAACGAAACCTATGAGATTAAGGCCAGCACCAAGCTGAATCTGGACAATCTGCACTTGGAGTACAACCACATCGAGGTGCTGCCCCCGAATTCATTTAAATATTTTGATACCGTCAATCGCACCTTCTTCGATGGGAATCCCATACACACTTTGAGGGTAGGTGTTCTAATCCTAAGACACAAATTATAAGACACAGTATATAAGCCCCCAAACACTATTTAATTTAACCCTTTTATTTGCCTTTCTTTGATTTTCAGGAAGATGCCTTCAAGCCAGCTCGGATTAGGGAGATCTACATGCGGTATTGCGGCCTGACGAACATTTCCCCGGTGGCCTTTGATAGCCTGGTCAACAGCCTGCAGATTCTAGACTTGTCTGGGAACAATCTCACCAAGCTGCATCACAAGCTCTTCAACAATTTCGATGTCTTGAGGTGAGTCGAGTACTTTCAGTTCACATTTTCTACCCCTTTTCCATTGGCACATTAGGGGAACTAATCGGATTGCCAGCAGCCTCTAGGGCTTCTCCAGTCCCTTTGTTCGTAAGTGGGCTAAGTGGGTGACCCTATTGAAAAGAATTCGAGGAAGAGAGAAAAGCCGCGCAAACAGGCAATCATGCAAAAACAAAAGACACTGGGGGAAAAGGTTGAATAACGAATATCGGCACTGCAAATCGATTTGGTTTGGTTTCGCTATCTCGTATAATCTAGGAAGTTCGAAAGGGGTTTCGAAAATAACTACATATTTGCTTACTATGTTGGTTCCTTTTTGGTTTAATTTAAATGTTTGTACTTCCATCCTAATTACAGGGTCATTAGCATGCGGGATAACAAGATTAAGATCCAGAAGCCCACGGAAACCTTCAACGCCGTGCACTATACCCTCCTGAAACTGGATCTCAGCGGGGATCGGAATGACCCCACCAATCTGCAGACGCTGCGCAAGTAAGTGACCCCAGTGCACTAAGAACACGTCCTTCTCCCCACACACCCTTTACCCCAGAACCATTCTTGTATTTATTTACAAAAAGTATGACCAGAATGCGGAACATGCGATCGTTGTCAATATCGCGGCTGGGCTCCTCCTCCGTGGGACCCGAGGACTTTAAGGACTTTGGTGTGGAGCTAGAGGATCTGCAGATCACGCGGGCCAGTCTCTCCGGAATTCAATCGCATGCCTTCAAACATGTTCGGGGACTCAAAAGGCTGGACTTTAGCGAGAATGGTATATCCAGCATTGAGAATGATGCTTTTCATGAGGTATTTAATTTTTGATATTTTTGGGACCAAATTATTAATAATAGTTCCTTTGCTTTATAGATTGGACACTCTCTGATCTCGCTGAAGATGTCCCATGGTTATTCAGGCAGTGCTTTGCCAGCGGAGCCTCTCAGGCATTTGACTTCCCTGCAGGAGCTGGACTTTAGTAACAATCACATTAGCAGCATGAGTGATACCAGTTTTCATTTCCTGAAGAACCTTAGACTTCTCGAACTTCATGACAATCGAATCGAACAGGTCCTAAAGGGCACTTTCCAGGGGGATATTCACTCAAAGCTAGAGGAGATCTCATTGCGCTTCAACCACCTGACCTCCGTTTCCCAACACACCTTCTTTGATTTAGAAGCTTTGCGAAAACTGCAACTGGATGACAATAAGATCGACAAGATCGAGCGTAGAGCCTTCATGAACCTAGATGAACTGGAGTATCTGAGCTTGAGGGGCAACAAGATGAACAACCTGGCGGATGAGTCCTTCCAGAACCTGCCGAAATTGGAAATCCTGGACATGGCCTTCAACCAGTTGCCCAACTTCAACTTTGATTACTTTGATCAAGTGGGAACGCTGTCCAATCTTAATGTGAATGTGAGCCACAATCAAATCAGACAGTTAATGTATAATTCGTCGTGGAGTGGGCGCAATGAGCATGGTGAGAAAAACTATCACTATTTTCTATTAGGAGCTGTTACACATTTTCATTATTTTTAGGCACCATGTACCATTCGAATATAAAGATATTGGATCTTTCCCACAACAATATTTCCATTATTCATCCCGGCTACTTCCGACCGGCTGAGATTTCACTGACTCACTTGCATCTGGGTTACAATTCGTTAATGGTGAGCATTGAAAAAAATATATCCGATTTTATTATGAAGTTTTGTATATTTGGTCTTTTTAGAACACAACTCGTGATGTTTTTGGAAACATGCCTCATTTGCAATGGCTGGATCTCAGCTACAACTGGATCCATGAGCTAGACTTTGATGCTTTTAAGAACACTAGACAGCTGCAGCTGGTCTACTTTCGACACAACTATCTGAGTGATGTTCCACAGGATATATTCAAGCCTGTCCAGGGTTTGCGCATCGTTGACTTTTCGCACAATCATCTGAGGGGCCTGCCCGATAATCTCTTCTATAACGGAGGAATGGAGAAGTAAGACAAGGATTACACCCATTTTGATTAAGAAATGATTGTTATTACGACTCTTAAAGATTGGATGTTTCGCACAACATGATGTTGAAGATCCCCTCCTCATCGATGTCTAGTTTGGCGGCTTTGACGCTATGTGAGTTGCACTTGTCCAACAACTTTATCTCAACCATTCACAGCATGGATTTGTCCAACAAGTTCAGAGTAAGTCTCCAAATAAAAAAAGATTGGATGTTAACAATAAAAATCTATACCTTCTTTAGTCACTTCGCTTTTTGGACATCTCTTACAATTACTTGCTACGAATTGATGATGCGGTCTTTTCCACCATGAACAGACTGGCTGTTTTGGATCTCTCCCACAATCGGGATCTGAAAGTCATGGATAAGTCTTTTATGGGTCTGGAAAATTCACTGATCAAACTGGGTCTGGAGAACGTTTCACTAAGCACTGTACCCGAAATTCGGCTGAAGTATCTGCGTGAGTTCCGCTTGGGTTACAACGAACTGCCATCGATTCCACAGGAATTGGCCCACAACATGAGTAACCTGAGGATGCTGGATCTATCCAACAACGATCTGACCAATGTTCCGCTGATGACCCAATCACTGCCACATTTGAGGTGCTTTAAATCAAGATTTAATTTAGTTGTAACTATATAAATATTGTTTTGTATTTTAACAGACGACTGATGCTCTCTGGCAATCCTATAACCTCGCTGAATAACAACAGTTTCGATGGCGTGAACGAGGATCTTGAGATGCTGGACATATCCAACTTCCGGCTGCACTATTTCGAGTACGGCTGCCTGGATTCCTTGCCCCATCTGCGATCCCTGAAGCTTACTGCCTACTCCCACCTGGAGCACTTCAACATTCCACATTTGCTCCGCCATCACTATAATATCCGTCAGTTGTGGATTGAAGCCCCACAGCCTTTCACCCGGATCGTCAAGAAAGGATCTGGACTCACCCAGGAGATGCAGACCCTGCAGTTGGGCAATCCCACCGATTTGCTGCGTGAGATGGAGGGCCATCTGCCCTCCAAGCTGACCAACATTACCTTTAGTGGTCCACAATTCAGTAATCTGAACGAACGTATCTTAAGGGTGAGTAATATTTTCGTTATTCGGTAAAATTAATTTATATCACTCTTTAATTCTTTGGTTTCAGGGAATGCGTTCTCCATACCTGTACATGCAATTGTTTAATACCTCAATGCAAGCATTGCCACCGAACTTTTTTAAATATATGGGTCGAGTACGGAATATTTCTCTGGACATTCGTTACAATAACCGCAACCTGAAGAAGATTCCTAATCCGAATACGGGAGCTGTCCCATATCTGCCCAACAGCGTGTTTCTCACCGATCTGAAGATGTCGCACACAGATCTTAATTGTGATTGCGACTTGGGGTAAGGTTTTAACATGATCAAAAATCTGTATTTTTATTTAATTTTATTTATACTTCTAGGTGGGTGGAGTTCTGGCAGCGCAAGAGGCGCCAGTACATTTGCTCTTCCCAAACCTGGACCGACACTGTCTTCCGTACTTTTATGAACTCCCCTTGTCAGGTGTACGGAAGACATAACTGCGACGATCACGATGATGACCTACGGGAGACACGTTGTGAAAACAAAGGAGGCCAACAGCTGATGGAGGTTGGCATATACTGAAATAATACCGACGGAAACATCTAAGCCTCATTCTCTTTGTAGGCCCTTAAATTCGATCTGGAGTGCGGCTGGGATAATGCGAATTGCCGGGAGGCCGCCTTTGTGGTAGTGATGGTGTGTGTTGCCATGGTCTTCTGGATGTGACTTTTGCACTTTGCATATAAGACGTCCACCGACTTTTATAGCATTCTAGAGCAAGTGTACGGCAGGCAGGTCATATAAGTCCTGCCGTCTAGAGTTTAAGCGTGATGATGAGACTTTGGCCAATTTGACTCCTTCTCACAGTTAGTTTTTTCTCTTCCGAAAACCTTCTCTCACCGATCCGCTGGTCCTTGGTAACGCCTTATATGTAGTAATCCTCACCAATACACTCCATCCTTCGGCACACTTCACCTCAGCTCACCTCACTATCTATCTCCATGTATGTATATTTTTGTAGGCCTTAATTTAAACCCTATCTAATCCAGTTATCTAATAACCCCGCCTCACCTAACCCACGAATATTTTCTGTACTTCTTTTATAAGTTAAGTCACTGCGCTGCTTGAACGATTCCAAAATGAAAGTCTGTAAAATGTTTCATAAACATATAATAAATATTTACGGTAGGTTATGTTCGCATTACCGTATCCTTCTTTATTTGGTCATCTGGACCCTGGAGTTTGGACATTATGATTTTTACGAGTCTGCGAGCATAAGTACGTGCTACAACAAATTAAGTTCACAATTGTCGGACCAGGCTGGTCCAGTAACAAACAATTAAAAACTTTTCGCTTAAAGTTTCCCTCTCTTCGGACAGGCTTTTCCATACGATAAATTATCGTGTAAAGCGGAGGGCTGTTTTTTCGTTTCTTTTATTATGGTTTCTGTTTTAAGGCTCTTTTACAGGCATATCTGGGTAATAATTTCGAGAATTTTGCAGTACACAAAGGAAAGTGTTTCAGAATATTTAATATATTAAATCTTTGACCAAACTATCAGACTGATTTGTTATCCAACAAATAATAATCTCAAAAATAATATTAATGTTCTGTAGTCTTTTAAAGCTTGAATGATATAAACGAGGTAGTATAAAGTCAAACAACTTACTTTCCACCAAAAATTAAATTGAAACTTTTTGTGTTGTAAGAACAAATACAAAATATTTGAAACAAGGGTATCCTAAATGCGTCTTTCCCTCGATAGACTTGTTTTCTTGCTTGTTATACATATATTTTTTGGCAGTTTTATTGAGCTACAGTACTTTGTGATATATGAAAGGCTAAGGAGGCGGCGGCTCACTAAAGTTCAAATGGGGCAGCAACAATCTCATCAACTTCCCGTTTATGCACTTTTCCGATTCCGGTGGCGGGGGTGGGTGCCTCGCAGCGACCGCAGTAGTGGAGCTGTGGAAAATCGGAAAAAGGCGGAAAAGCGGTCAGTTGTGGAAAGTGTCTAGAGCTCATTCTGTGGCTGCCTGTGGCTGGCAGACTTTTTACCTGTTGGCCAATTAAATTTTCAAAACGTGGCCGCACAAAAGTCCATGCGCCCATATTGCGATGTTCTTCCTGGCTCCAAACGAAAGCTGCACAGAGAAAATTATTACATAAAATATGAGTTTAAAGTTTTGTGAATTAAATTTAGGTATGCGGACGATTTTTTTTCCTCATAAGTAATTATTTTTAAAAAGGTTGAAGAACTTAACGAAATTAAAATTAAGAAAATAGAGTAAGCATCTTGGATTAAAGCAATTATTTTAAACTTAAAAAAACCTACCGATCATGATAATATTAGGACAGTTGAAACCAAAAAATTAATTTTTATTTCAAATTTTACAAAATTGTTTTCTGTACACGAAAAAGAAGGAAAATTCAGTACTCTACAACTTTGTGGGCAAAGTTTACGAGATGTGGACTTACATTGCACGTTGCCATATTGGGCCAACTGGGCCTGGAGCTCCTGGCTGGGGAAAGGACAAAGGGACTCCAGGCGCACGATGGCCGTGTCATAGGCTTGCCGATTGTCTCGCTCCGCCGCCAGATTGTAGTAGTGCTTCCCACTGCACAGGATGACCTTGCGCACCTGCTCCGGCTTCGCTGTGGTGTCACCTATCGTTGGTGGTGGTTGGTGGGGAGAGAGCATTAATAAGGTACGTTAACAAAAACACGAAGAAAAGAAATTGGACAAGCCGAAGTTAAAATAACCTCTCAGCTCTTATGAACATTAGAATTTCTGGTTTAAAAATTTGATTACCGTTAAATTGAAAATTTTGAATGCAGATTTTTAGAGAATGGAATCACAAGTCATTAGAGGTATGCCACTTTGGAACCGGTTTAAATTTGGTAAAGTTGTGGACTCTCGAAGTCAAATATTAAGTCACTCTTTTACAAGACATCGGAAAATTAGAAATAACTAACATGAAAATGGGTCAAATTTTTGATCAGCGTTAAATTGAAAATTTTGAATGCAGATTTTCAGAGAATGGAATCACAAGTCTTTAGAGGTATGCCACTTTGGAATCGGATTAAATTTGGTAAAGTTATAGACTCCCGAAGTCCAACTTTAAGTCACTCTTTCACAAGACATCGGAAAATTAGAAATAACTAACATGAAAATGGGTCAAATTTTTGACCAACGTTAAATTGAAAACTTTGAATGCAGATTTTTAGAGAATGGAATCACAAGTCTTTAGAGGTATGCCACTTTGGAATCGGATTAAATTTGGTAAAGTTATAGACTCTCGAAGTCAAGTATTAAGTCACTCTTTTACAAGACATCGGAAAATTAGAAATAACTAACATGAAAATGGGTCAAATTTTTGACCAACGTTAAATTGAAAACTTTGAATGCAGATTTTTAGAGAATGGAATCACAAGTCTTTAGAAATATGCCACTTTGGAATCGGATTAAATTTGGTAAAGTTATAGACTCTCGAAGTCAAGTATTAAGTCACTCTTTTACAAGACATCGGAAAATTAGAAATAACTAACATGAAAATGGGTCAAATTTTTGATCAGCGTTAAATTGAAAATTTTGAATGCAGATTTTCAGAGAATGGAATCACAAGTCTTTAGAGGTATGCCACTTTGGAATCGGATTAAATTTGATAAAGTTATAGACTCTCGAAGTCAAGTATTAAGTCACTCTTTTACAAGACATCGGAAAATTAGAAATAACTAACATGAAAATGGGTCAAATTTTTGATCAGCGTTAAATTGAAAATTTTGAATGCAGATTTTCAGAGAATGGAATCACAAGTCTTTAGAGGTATGCCACTTTGGAATCGGATTAAATTTGGTAAAGTTATAGACTCCCGAAGTCCAACTTTAAGTCACTCTTTCACAAGACATCGGAAAATTAGAAATAACTAACATGAAAATGGGTCAAATTTTTGACCAACGTTAAATTGAAAACTTTGAATGCAGATTTTTAGAGAATGGAATCACAAGTCTTTAGAGGTATGCCACTTTGGAATCGGATTAAATTTGGTAAAGTTATGGACTCTCGAAGTCAAGTATTAAGTCACTCTTTTACAAGACATCGGAAAATTAGAAATAACTAACATGAAAATGGGTCAAATTTTTGATCAGCGTTAAATTGAAAATTTTGAATGCAGATTTTCAGAGAATGGAATCACAAGTCTTTAGAGGTATGCCACTTTGGGATCGGATTAAATTTGGTAAAGTTATGGACTCTCGAAGTCAAGTATTAAGTCACTTTTTTACAAGACATCGGAAAATTAGAAATAACTAACATGAAAATGGGTCAAATTTTTGATCAGCCTTAAATTGAAAATTTTGAATGCAGATTTTCGGAGAATGGAATCACAAGTCTTTAGAGGTATGCCACTTTGGAATCGGATTAAATTTGGTAAAGTTATAGACTCTCGAAGTCAAGTATTAAGTCACTCTTTTACAAGACATCGGAAAATTAGAAATAACAAACATGAAAATGGGTCAAATTTTTGATCAACGTTAAATTGAAAATTTTGAATGCAGATTTTCAGAGAATGGAATCACAAGTCTTTAGAGATATGCCACTTCGGAATCGGATTAAATTTGGTAAAGTTATGGACTTTCGAAGTCAAGTATTAAGTCACTCTTTTACAGGACATCGGAAAATTAGAAATAACAAACATGAAAATGGGTCAAAAATTTGATCAACTTTAAATTGAAAATTTTGAATGCAGATTTTCAGAGAATGGAATCACAAGTCGTTAGAGGTATGCCACTTTGGAATCGATTTAAATTTGGTTAAGTTATGACTCTTGAAGTCCAATTTTAGGTCAAACGAAATTAAATGCTTTGCGGGTTTCACAAAGTTCTGCAGAGTTTTTGTTGGTTAAAAGTTTATATTGCTAATTTTACTTAAATGATATAAAAACTAACATTTGCTCTTAATACAGCTTCAACGTGTGTATATCTTCGTATATTTAAAACTGACCATATCACCCGTGCCCATTAAGATAAGCAAAGTCTATTACTCACCCAGGACATTGTGAAAGAGCGTGCCCGGCTGGAAGTCCTCGTGCGAGGATGTGGCTGCAGGAAGACGGAGCAGTGTTTTGGGGGCCACCACCACCAGCGGCTTGCGGAAGTTCCTTGCCAGCTGGCGACGCAGGACGTGATAGTATTGGGCAGGAGTGGTGGGGTTGACAATGTGCACGTTGACGGAATCGCCATCGGCGGATGTTTCCTTCGAGTCGCAGAGTTGCAGGAAACGCTCGATGCGACAGGAACTGTGCTCCGATGCGGCACCGTCGTATCCGTGGGGCAGAAGCATTACGAGGGCATTGGACTCCATCCATTTGGCTGATCAAGAGGCTCTTTAAAATCGGGATAATGAAGGTAAGCTACTCTGAACTTACTCTCTCCCGAAACAATAAAGGCATCGATGATAATCTGTGCTCCATTGGCGAAGTCTCCAAACTGCGCCTCCCAAATGATCAGATTGTTGGGATTGTCAATGGCCATGCCGTACTCAAATCCCAGAACCGCCTCCTCCGACAAAATGCTGTGAGCCAGCTCCAGTTTTCCCCCGTTTCCGCCCTCCATGCTGTTTAGAGGAATGAACATCTCGTTGCTCTGCTGATCCACCAACATGGCATGGCGATGGGAGAAGGTTCCCCGACCCACATCCTCGCCACTAATCCTCACATTGTGGCCCTGGTACATCAGGCTGCCGATGGCCAAGGCCTCCGCCGTGGACCAATCGATCTTGACTCCGTTTTCCAGCTTCTTCCGGCGAGCGTTGACATGGGTTTTTAGCAGGTGAGGATGTATGTTCTACAAATAAGAAAATAATTTTTTTAAAACTATAAACTAGATAAGCAGGTCTCTAACTTAAATTTTTTGAAGACGTTAATTGTTCTTCCAGTTTTGTTGAAGTATTTATTTTAGTTTAGGCCAACCAATATATTATTTTTGGTTCTTGTACTAAATTTGTTTGACTTGGTTGATAAAAATAAAATACTTAGTAACAGATAATCGAAGCGGTTGTAATGTTTTTACGACTGCAATTCTTAATTTATCAAAAATCAGTCCACTTACAAAGTCTTCTGGGACAGTTACACTCTGCTGGCCAATGTAATGCAGAAGAGAGTAATCCAATCCAGTATCCCAATAGGTTAGTTGCGCAGAAGGCGCCAACTGAAGGTCCTTCCACTGCTTTTCAAAGTACGAAAGTGGCGGCTGGTAACTGGGGGCTAGGGCTAACTCCTCGCCCAGATACTTCATGTACTCATCCCTCATTTCCTTGGCCCTTGACTCCGAAAGAACCTGCTTTTTGGCTAACTGCTGGGCATACAAGTCCGGCACCGACTCCCGCTGATGGACAATCTTGTAAACCAAGGGGTTGGTAAAGGTGGGATCATCCAACTCATTGTGGCCCCATCTTCTGAAGCAATTCAGATCGATGAAGATGTCCTTGCGGAACTCCCTCTGATATCTGAAGGCCAGATTTGTAATCCTAGCCAAGGCTTCGGGGTCATCCCCGTTGACATGGAACACGGGCGCCTGAATGGTCTTGGCCAGATCGGAGGTGTAGGCGGTGGATCGTCCTCGATCTCCGGGAGTGGTGAAGCCCACCTGATTGTTGACAATCAAGTGGAGACTTCCGCCAACCTCAAAGTGCGGGACGTAGGCCATATTTAGGCACTCCTGGTTAATTCCCTGGCCGGCAAATGCAGCATCTCCATGAAGGATTACATTGAGCACGTGTTGACCAAAGGGCTGGCCACCATTTCCAAAGGCCGCCTCGCCTCGAGCTTGCTGCTTAGAACGTGTTTTGCCCATGGCCACAGGATTAGCAGCCTAAAAATGAGATGGAGTCACACAGTGGCTAAATCGGGAATCATCAAATTTCAAAGTTTGACGTGTGTCAGCTTACCTCCAGATGCGAGGGATTGCGCACCATGCTGAAGTTCAGTTTCTTGCCCAGTATTTCCAGCTGCTCGGAAACATCTGTGTGCGATTTGGTTCAGGTTTGATTAAATTAAGCTTACGGCATGTGTGCTGAGGCTAGCTAGTCTGTGTTACACCCACAAAGGGTGGTGTGTAATGAATTCAAGGTATACTTCGACTAGGAAATACCTAGCATATATCAATTATATAAATCGTAACCACAGATACTTGAAGATATTACATTTTAAACTGAGATTTATAAAAAGAAAGATAGGGCTCAGTAATCTGAAAATTATTATATTAAATTAGCTTAGTTAAAACTATTATATTTGACAAATAAATTTTGAGCTCGAATATTTCAATAAACTAGAAAAGATCCAACGTGCTCCCAAATACCCCTTAATGCCGAAAACCCACCGAATTCTTCGACAAAGTTTCACTTACGGAAATGACTTATGACGTCGGACATGGCCTCGATGTCTTCCGTGAATTCGGATGCGCCGCTGAGTTTGCGGAAAACTTTCGCCGGCCGCATGTTGAGCAGCGCCGCCTGCAGCGGAGTCCTTCCTCGATGGGGCATCGCCAGGACCACGTGCTCGATGTTCGCTGTCATTCCATTGTATAATTTTTATCGTCGTCGTCGTCGTTTCCGTTGTTTTTGGGGTTGCATGCGAAGGGGAAAAGTTTTGGGAAAAGCAGATTAGGGTTAAGTAAGCGTGCCGTGATATGTGAGCCTGCGGAATGGGTATTTTGGGTGGGTGGCAATATTTCAGGTGGGTTGGGTTTATTTCCTGCAATAGATTCGCCATCTCTGTGGACTGTCAGGAGACAAAGTTTGGCGCCTTGAAATGGGTGTGCGATTTCTCGTTGCTCTAATCGCGTTTGAGAAGCAAGGAACACGCACGGATTTGGATAAATCTTATCATCCGCGCACTTGGATAAATTATATTATTCAAGTATAACGAAAAAATTGGGATTAGGATCTATCTTCAAAATTTTGGCTGTACTTTTGTTGTTTGATTTTTTAGAAAAGGCTTTTAATTTAATTAATGTTAATTGAAAAAGCTTTAAAATATTCTTAGATGAATATAAATATTTTTAAGGACTCTTGACCGGTAGACTCACCTTGGACGCTGTCACGGAGCAGTTGCCAGAAGAAGGCCAGCATGGACTCGGCTCCCTCGCCTCCGTATCTTTTTACTGTGGGAAACTTGAGTGCCATGAAATTGTCCCAGGCCTGCGACTTAATTAACAGCTCGGCGATTTCGCAACGCTCGCTGTTTTCCAGCTGCTGCTGGTCCAGCGTCTCAAAGTTCCTGGCCAGCCACTCGCGCTCCTCGATGTCCTGCGAAAATGAGGTAGCGGGATCAGCACACAATATTTATGGGAGGAGATACACTCAGAAAATAGGTAACACAACTTGGAAAAAACTATTATTTTTGAATACTTAAGGTTCTTAAAATCTTCAAATTATTATGACACAAAGGTTTGATACTTTCCAATTCTAAAATATATTTGGTTCTTGTATCAGAAATTTCATTTGGTTTACATATATTAGAATATATATATAACATACTTTCTTTGGTGGAAATATATTTATATTGAACAGTTCTGCTTAGTAAGAATTCTTATTTAATTGTAATAATAAGAATATTTTCGTAGTGCTTTAATGGTGACCTGGCCACTTACCTCGACATAGGAGAACTCAGCGCTGGCCGAGCCGCCGCAGTAAATGTCCTTGAGCAGCTGCTCCAGCTGGGCGACGTTCTGGGCCACCTGCGGACCACTTAAGAGGCCAGCGGTGCGCACCGTCTCCTGTGTCTGCAGTCCATAAAATGCGGGACTTAATTCCTGCAGCTCCTCCTTGCTATCCAGCAGCCACGAAAATTCACAGGACAAATACAGGACATTGGGTGGCATTACGAGGGAGTCAAAAAGGGAGAATAAAATATGACATTTGCCAGGACTATGGGATGGGTGAGACCTCATACCTTGTCCTGATGCTGATGGGATTTACGGCTGCCAATTTGTGTCCGTGCTGGCGAAAAGCCTCCACAAAACGATAGACGTTGGCCTGCGAATTTCTCGAAGCCCGCACATCCTCGGCCACTGGAAAACACATGCGTAAACAATATAAATTTCGCCCCACGTTATAAATTATTTAAAAAAGGATTCACGTGCAACTCCCAGTGCCGTTGCCACTGCCACATTGTGCAGCCTTTTGAATTTATTGGCCTTTTACTTTTATGATATTTATTCTTTGCTTTTTACGCTCCGCTTCATTTTGATGGACTTGCTGCCAGGTATGTGCACTTTCGAATCATATTTGCTCGCAAATATTTGGCATTCGATATGAAGTCGAATGGAAAAGGCAAAAGAATTAAGCATGATTACAAATTTCCAATGGCAAAATGGTGCTTTATTGAGATTGCGTATAATCTGATAATAAATAATTAATTATATATTTGGCTTGTGGAAAAGTACCCAAAAATTAAGAGTAATATTATTATAGAAGACAATGCAATCATAGATTTGCCCTGATCTTTTATATTTATAATTATTTTTATTCTTTGCATGTCCCGAAACGCTTTAAAATCAATATGTTAAGAAACAACCATGTATTGAATAATTCACCAAAGAGTATTTAATGTTTGTTCTTTACGAAAAATTCACCATTCGTGTTACATATCACGAATAACGATGGTGGTTTTATTGGCCTTTTTTGGCCATTTTATTCTCTGGTTGAGCCATTGACAACTCGTTGGCTGCTTAGGTGTTTATGTGCTAAAGTGTTATCCTGCTTAGAGGACTTATATGCGATGACGCATTTCACTCGATTACAGGGCGCCCTGAGGAATCCTGAGAACAGGACACGGGTCATCGACAGCTGGCATCCAGTTGGACCCGCATTGAAACTGAGTTTTCTTCAAAAATTTATGCAATTCCTCGACAGCATTTCGGTGATAAATCAGTTTAGTGTTAAAGAGTGGGACGCCTGGACAGGAAAACAGGGCGTATGATGAATTGTATTTGCGGCGACAACATTTCAACTTGAGCGTGTAAATATTATTGGAGCACAGCGGCGCGTCCTTTGCCAAAGGATAATGGTTGGCCTGACAGAGATGCAACCAAAGGACGAAGAGCAAACAAGTTGGTGAGTCAAGCGGGGATCTCGCCCAATGCGAATCAAGGGAATTTAATCGTACTTACATTGAAAAAAGTGATGTTAAAAATATCTCACATCTTTATTTAATTGATCGAAAATGATTTAAATGAAGCAAGATCTAAAATCTTATTTCTTAAGCAGCTTAGTTCAATTTCAGTGAAAACTGACAGTGTAAAAAAACTTACAGAAATTACTGATAGGAAAAAAAACTTTAAGAAATATAGGTAGCAAATTTGTTAATGATTATTAATACAGAATTAAAGCACAAACTTTAAAAGCAATGTTCAAGAACTTTAGAAAAAATAAACAACCATTAATGTTAAGCCTGTTTGGTTTTATATACCTATCCTATTTGCTGGATATCTTATTTTTTGTATTTTTAATTCAAATTGTAATATATTTTTTGTCCAGTGCGGCTTCTCATGGAGCTGATGTCATATGGTCAAGCGCTGAAGCTTTTCTCTGCTGGCCAGTCAAAGGCCCCCGGCAGACTTCTGATTACCAACTACGGACGACCAACTGGTGACTGCCGACTGGTGTCTGCTGGCCATGGTGTCGATAAGCCCCAATTGTGTACGCAACGGATGCAGGACAAGCACAAAGGAGCTCCCGTTTTCGGGTCCTTTGTTTGCCGGGCTTTGGAATTTTGCCGGGCTACGAGCAGGCTCCCTGTTGTGCGATTTAGGAATAGATATAGTATCTCAGCTCTGGACACCCGCCTCTCTTCGCTTAATTAGTGCAGTTCATGGGGGGTCTGCCACAATCTCTTAGTTCTAAATATAAGCTCCGGGCACTTGCTACATCATATATTTTAAGTTTATCAGATTTCAGGGTGAAAACATGTGATAAGCTGCAAACCCGAAGATTAGCTTTGGTAGGTAACAGGAAAGAGGCGATTTTAAAGCCATAAAAAATATTCCACTTGCCAGCAGGAGTTGTATTTTGTCGATATGCCCAAATGGGCAGCAATTATCTGGTAAAATTATACAATTTGGGGAAAATACAACCTCATAATATATGCCATTATGCCAGCAAGTTTGTTTTCAAAAGGTAGGGTAATTTAATGTCGGTTTTAAATGTCTATGACTTACAAATAATTATCTAAACAATGTACAGATTCAAATCTGTTTCCTTATTTATGAAAACTAACGAGCTATAATAAAAAATATCCCTCAATATACCCTACCACTACAGGGTATTTCAACGATAAAAGTATCTTCTTCAAACTGGTTGCATCGAACATGTTTGAATTGCAGCCTGAAGTTTCAAACACACAAGATTGAGTTTTGTGTTTGAGTTTGACTTTTCATTCTGGTTTCCGAGTTTACCCACAATAATTTGCTTTTGATCTTTTGTTCAGGTTGTTGTTTTATTGGAGTTGTAGTTCTTGTGGAGATTGCTGTGGGTCAGCTGCTTGGTTTCCACCGATAAATAGCCGGTGAAAATCCCACACACTCATTTACACACTGTCACTGAAAAGAAAACTCCAGTGTTTTTGTTTGGGTACATTTCCACTGCTCTTATATTTGTTTGATCCCAAAACACTCTTATCGATGCGATGGTTATCTCGACGGATGATGTTTTTATTGAAGTCTTGGCAACAGTTTTATATTTGTTCACTTTCGGTCGTACCTTGAAATTCACGCTGGGCAATCGGCTTATAGCCCCAAACGCCCTTTTTGCTGTGATAGCATCGCGATGGTAGTGGGCGTGGCAGTTTCGCGATTTTCACCTCCGAGTACGCAAAATAACGCAGCATGCTGATGGATTAAAAACTAGGCGTATGTGCCGGATCACTTGATAAATGATAATACGGACTCGGCGGTCTCTTTTCGTCGCCGTTCGACCCAGAACTAAAGTATAATTTAATTTTGTTTGAGTGTCAATGGGATTTTGAATGGTGATAAGCAGGGAAAGAGAACCAAAGAGAGTTCAGTCAACTATTTATTTATAAAGAGTTATCTCTCTTTAGTTCAGCTGAAGTAGTTTATTGTGGAATACTTTTGGGTTGATCATATTATATGTTCACTGTTAACTAACTAAAAATATATATATATATATTTGTTATACACATGTCTCAAATGATAATGACACCAAAACATGGCACTAGAATTTCGAAATTGCTTCTTATCAGTCCATTAGAGCTGATAATGCAAGCACTAATTGATGATTTTAGCGTTAATAAATGATTATTTTATCCTTAAAATGAGTCAGACATCGAAGAATTTCTGAAAATTTACATTTTTTAAAGCAAATAGCCGCTTTTATTCCAGTTTCATTTTTAATCTTTTTGTTACTTTTCTATCCAAGGAATATTAAGTAAGTAAGTTTCTAAGTTTTTATTTCAAATTTCTATTTCCAAGTACCAAATTTAAACTATTTTAATTTTAAATTTTATTAAAATAAGAAAAGAGAATATGTGAAAACTAGGTTTTACTTTAGCTTTCTTAATTCCCGAGTTCCTCCATTCAGTTCTTTATTAATGACGACCATGACACTTTCCTGGCCTTATGAAATCAATCCGTAGGCTTTTTAACTTCGTCTGCCAAAAATGAGGCGGAAATGGTAATGGGTCATTGTCTCTCATACAAACGGAAAAGTATATGTATGTAAAGACGAGGAGCTTTACAGGCCCATTCAATGTTCACAAAATGGCCGCGTCATAGGTGTGATTAACTGTAATGGAAATGAATCACAAACCGGCGAGAGTTCGCAGTCAACAGAAAAGAATATATATATATCCCAAATGTGGGAGTAAACAAATAAGTTGGTCAATTTAGAGCACTGAAAAGAGAGTAGAGTTACCAAAAAAAAAAGAGAAGGAATGCGCTATCTGTGCGTAGTGTTCCAATGATAAGATATGGCCAACTTTATCTGGACGATAAGGCAATGTTTCACAATCGAGCAGACGGCGACAGGTGAACAGAGTTTTGGCAACGCCCCGATCGGATCGTTAGAGTTAACTTTACTTCAGTCTTAGCTGAGCGGCTCGCTGCAACGAACGTGTTTTTCTGCCTGGTAATTGAAATTAAATTGAAAATTGGTGACAAGTGATAAGCAAACTGATAAGCTTTTACCCTAACTGATGATGTCATCAAGAGAAAATTGTTAAAAAACAAGGAAAAATCGTGCAAAAGCAGGGAAAAACTTAAAAGAAAATATTGTGATGTATAAACCATAACGTTTAATTGATGCCTTCGTGTTTTTCTTTTAGCAGTGAAACAAAAACGAATTACTAATTAAGTGATCAATCGAAATCGAGTGAAAATGCGTTTCAAACTGTTTGTGGTTTGTGCGCTGGCCTGTGGCTTTATGGCCTATGTCCTGGCCAACGAGAATATCTCCACGGAGGAGCTGGAGGATGAGATTATTGCGGTTCCAGAACCTGTGAAACAGACCAAACCCAAGGCCCATGCGGAATTTGTGGAGGTGGTTCCGAAGGCCACACCCGTTGTGAAAAAAGTGGAAGAGGAAAAACCGAAAACCAAACCCCTGGCTCTTCAGAAACCCACTTTGATTCCCGTGGTCCATGTCACCAGTCGGGGAACCGATGATATTTTAACCGTGGCCGGGTTGAAGCCCCAGAAAATGTCTGGAGCCCTCGTAATGCCAAGTGATTATATGGGGGAGCTGGGATACGACGTGGACAATAGTGGCTACAATTGGGGTAAGTCGATTTCTCATTGTCCCTGGGCTGATTCAGTTCCATCCCATTACTCATACGCCGCATTGACTATCTTATCAGAACAGCTCAGTGGGTTTCAGTTTGGTTTAGTTACCAGTATTTGCTCGATAACCTGTGTTCGGGCGTTCAGGTGTTGTAAGCTCTCTTCTCCCCTCTTTTTTTCCCTCTCTCTGTTTTTCCCCGATAAGATAATGCCCGACGCTTGAGGCATTAAAAAGCTAACGATTTTCTTGTTTTCCGCTTCAGCAAACAAAACAAGTGCGTGGTGGGTAGGTAGTGAATACTATGTGCAAACGTGTGGACACAAGGGGAGTATATAGAGTACATAGTCTTGCGTGATTCAGTTTACAACCTCTGGTAGTGTGTGGATTTTGCAATTGCACAGGAAACTCTGTTTTATCAGTCGTTCAGGACTGATATATTGGCTATTCGGAATTCGATTTTTTTTTGTATTAGTCAGAGCTTTTGTTCGACTGTGATTATGTGATAAAAAGGGATTGGTTGTGGACAGAGTTATTTCATGTTAGGTAGAAAAAGAATCTTGGTATATACGGTGATGAATCACCTTTTTAATAGATAAAGGAATATTTAGGAATGTAAGATGACTCGCTGCCTGGGGTAAATATGATTCAAAGATTGCAGACATTTTGTTTTAGATTGTGGCAATAATATATTGAATAGGGATCCCATCCATATGATCCAATGTTTTTTGCGGTCAAATATTTAAATTTTTTCCGGATCAATTAATTAGGTATTAAATTCCCAAAATGATTTTAATAAAAATCGTATACATGCCAATGTATTCATTTTTATTGCCAGTTATTTATGGGCATTTTCTTTTCAATTTCCCTTTTTCAATAATAAACAACATATTTCTTGCTTCAGATATTGTATATTTGAATTGTCTATAAAAATTGTCTTTTAAAGCTTAGGCTAACTTATGGTTAAAGTAGAGGCTATCCTTGGGAACTTACAATTACGTTAATTAGGGTGTTTAAGTTATTGTATTTGGGATCCTTGAACTCAGGCGCTCATCGAGATTCGCTGCTCGTACTCGGCGATGCGCAATCGAACGGGAACCACCAGACTGAGGTCCTCCATGATGGCGTGGTTCTGGGTTCTCACCGAGGCACTGGAATTCTGCCTCGAAATGGTGGCCCTGGACTTGTCCATTGAGGGTTTGCGACGCAGGGAGCATTTCCGCTGGCTGCCCCCCTTTCCCACGCCCATTCCAGGGGAAAGGGGCGTGGCAAACTGGGCAGTGGTGGCCGCTAGTCTTTTGGGCTTGGGTGGTGGCACTTGACCGGTCACCGCACCACTGAGACTAGGATTGCTGCCCAGGAAACTGTTGGAAGTGCTGCTATTGGTGGTGGTGGCAATATTTTGTGGACGGGTGGAGCGCAACATGGCTATAAAGCGATTGCTGCTGGTGCCACTTGGTGGCAGCAGTTTGTTAAAGCCCGACTCAAAGGTGTTGGTCAGCTTGTTGAAGAAGTTGATTTTGTCGGTGACAGTGGGTTCTTGTTCATGTTGCACATGTTGCAGTTGCTCCTGTTGCAGTTGCTCATGTTGCACATGTTGCAGTTGCTCATGTTGCTCCTGTTGCAGTTGCTCCTGCTTTCCTGTGGTCTGCTGTTTCTCCTGGCCATTATTTCGCTTGGACATTTCCAGCACTTTCTCCCTCAACTCCATGGACCAGCGCTTTTGGGCCGTGTGCAATTTGGGTCGCAGCGGGGAAATGCCATTACCGGGCTCCGTTTTGGCCAATTCCACGGCCAGTTGGCTGGTAAAACGCGGCTTGGGCGTGGACGTGATTGTTGGCCTGGTTACCGCCGACATGTCCTCGTCAATGTCCATTTCCAGTTCGCTGATAAATGAGGAGGAGGAACGGGAGGCCGAACTGCCAAAGCCCGGCGACGAAGGACTCAGCTTGTAGTTGTAGAACTGGAAGTTGAATGTGCTGATGCTCATGATGAAGGTTCAGATGCGACTGTGATGTTGCAGCCAGCAATCCAAGTCTTATATAGTTCAGATCCTACGAGCTACCTGACCCTGAATTAGCCCTTGACAGCTGGTCCAGAAACTCAGGTAGCCAGGGTCTACAAAGCCGGGCTCAACTTGGCTTGATTCCGGGAACTACCTACGTAAAAGTAAAAAAGGAAAATGGCAAAAGCGAAAGATTTCCCGGGAACCGCAACCCGAACACGCGAGTTTTGCGTATTTTCCGCGCACCAATTTTATCCAAATCTTTTTGCTAATCCGCGCACTTTTATTAGGTCCTCCCAAAAAGGATTAGCGAGGGTACTAATTCATAAATAGCTTAAAAATGCGACAGATGTTCAGGTTTACAGTGAAGAATTCTCCTTGTTTTATGATCCACTCTTTGCTGTTGACATTTCATTAGCTGGCTCATTACAATCAAAATCAATGCTGTTAATGGCCAATAATTTCCTATACACTCGGCAATTGACAGCTGAAAAAATGTACGCAGAAAATGAGAGAGGGAAATGAAAAACGAAATTATAAACTGAGCATACATTTGCAATTTCCATTTATTCAAAGTGAAATACGCAATTAAACATTGATAGAATGAGAAAATTACCATGCAAAAAGATGAAAAGAGGTGTCAGGATCTTAATAGGGTTTATAATTAATTGATGGAATTAATAATTAAGGTTACTGGGCAAGATTTTTGTTTAAAATTGCCACACATTTAAATGACGTTTAGGAAAAGGGTAGTACAAATTGCATTATATTTAAAAGTAACATAAACTTAAGAAATGGTTGCTTCTGTATGTTCAACAAGCTATGCAATATTAGTCCTAATAAATTTATGAAAGTACAAACTTTAAGCAATAAAAAAACAAGTTTCTTGAATAAATAACAACAAAGTGATGCATCAGTTAGTTAAAGTTCTAATTGATTTATGGAAGTACTGGATTATAGTCAAACTTTAAGAGTATTAGAAAATTCTTGAAAATTGCTATGAATGTCCTTCACCTCTTTGGTGCAACTGCATCTCCCCAGCGATGCCAGAAATATTTTGAAATCTTTGCCAGGACTTTGCCACGAAAACTTCGCCAGCAATTCAAGTTTCTGGCCAGCGTGAGAAGCAATATCCTTAAGCGGATCCCGGGTCCTTCTACGGGCTCCTGTTTCAGTGTCCATTGGGAACGTCAGCTTTGCACTTAATCAGCTTAAATTGCTTTAAAAGGCCAGCGGTAAAGGGAAATTAGGAGAAAGAGAAGGAAAAAGGAGAAGACAGGACAGAAATGAATATTAACTGTGACCTTTAATGGCCAAGTACCCGGAACGGGAGCTGCAAGGCTGTGGGTGGCAAGTTGCAGCCGGAAAATGCAAAAAAGCCTGGCAAAGTTTTCTTTTCACTTTATGCCTGGCGACGCAGCAAGTGCAAAGGATAATATTGTGGAATTGAAAAAGTAATCTACCTGGATTAGGTGTGAAATTATAATGATAGGCCAGAGCACTCCTCTCTAAGCTATTTGTCTTTTCTGCGTCTTCCCCCCTGCAGATCCCAATAACAATGTGGCCCCTCCATCCTCTGCTTCGGTGGCAGCTGGAGGTTATACTATAACCGCCGCCCGCTTGGCGGAACTCAGACAAACCTTCATGTACTGGTACTTCGACAAGGACATGTACGGAGGACGCGGCGACTACCAGTTCGACATCCACGCCTCCATGACACAGCTCCACAAGAATCTGAACTTCCAACTGCCCTTCTACGGATTCCGATTCAACTACACGAGGGTAAGTTTTTATTAAAACTAACGAGGTCCCTTAAAGGAACTCTAACTTTTTTTATACATTGTGGTATAAGTAACTTGGACTAAAAAATATGAATACCTTAATGCTTTCCAAATATAACAATGTTTTCTATTTCATAGAAATATACCTTATTTCTAATTAATATCCCTCCTTAAACAGCTCTCCCTCAACGGTTACTTGGAGTTCTCGGATCCGCCAGAGTACCTTACTTATCCTCTGGTTTTCCCGATTAAGGATTGGCCTGCCAAGAGGGATCCCTCTTTCATGGGCATCTTCTTCAGCAAGTGCAGAGTTGGTCGAATTTATCCGTCGGATATTGACCAGCGAACGCCTGGCGTTTACTTCCGGTAAGTGAATGCATCTCGCATCTCAATCTATTTCCGCATCCTGCTCGCATTTCCTGTTCGTTTGTATTTATTTGCTAACCATATTTATTTTCCTTTGTTTCTCGTGGCATTTGCATATTCAAAATCAGCGCACAGCACGCGCCAAACAAAAGTATTTATACGTATACATTCGTTCTACGTGCGCCTGTCGCCATTTACAGAAAACTAACACAAAATAACATGAGTGTGTGCGTGTGTCCCACTCTTCACTTCCGGTGGCCCCATTTGAATGTGTGTGTATGTGTGTTTTGGCCAGCATTTATGCATACGGCTTTCCAAAAGGTATGATTTGTTTGACACAGAATTTGTTTTCTATTAATACAGGGGCTTATAACATGAGACACACGGGGTATTACAATTTTTATTGGGCCCTGTCAAACAATTTAATTTTTAAATTGTTTTTAAATATTCAGTCTTGTCTTTTATTTTGAAGCTGTTATTTGGTTTAGCACTAAACTTTTTAAAATAAATTGTGTCATATCAGATGTCACACATATTTGGTTCATATTAATATGGTTTTTCATGAAAAATATAGTGTAAATTCAAAGGGACATATCCTTTTCGACCTAAAGAAGCATAAATCTGCAGTAATATTTGTTTTTGCTAGTGTATGGCTGCAGCATTTCTGTACTATTCCCATGTTGGCTACCTGTTCAGTTATGCTCCATAGTATGCTCCATTATGTTTCTGTTGAATTCGACATGCATTTGTGCGTGAATTCATTTTGGAATGTCCATGATTTTCGTTGCATTGTGACGAATGTTACAGAAAAGTGCACAAAACTGAATGAGACAATGGCACTTCGAGTGACAAAATTGTGAGTTCAGTCATGAATATCTATGAGACCAATTCGACTTTAATTATATTCAGTTGCCCTGCACTTTTGCCATGAATTTCCCGAGGACAATGTTTAAATGTATACAAACATGAATTTCCATTTTTTTCATCCTCTGGCTAATTATGCAAATGAATGCCAGTGGGGGTGGAAAGTTATTTGTGGTGTATTTATATGGCTTTCCCAGCACCAGTAGCATTAAAAGCCCTGACAAATTCTGGAGTACTGCACACAAAAAAGCATCCACTCAAAACTGCATTAATTAGTTAAAGCAAGTTACTTCTTAAATTGCTCTTTGGTTAACCCGTAGTTTTGAGCTATTTTGAGAATAAATTATGGCTCCTCTACATTGTTTCAACAGCTTTACATTTCATGGCTTTTGCGGAACAAGGCTAAAAAAAAGACGGAAAGGAAGAGCATAAATTACTTCAGAGTGACACAGAATGACAAGTCAGTTGAGGGATGTGTGCATGTTGAAAAATGCATGGGAATTCTACCGAAAAAATAGGCAAAAAATTACAAGAGTGGTTTAATCAATCTGACAGCATTATGAATGGTTTAAAGGGTTGTAAGATAGTTGTTTTGCCATTCAACTCTTTCCTAGGACATTCCCTCAATTCCCGTTTACTGGAATTGTTGTCAACACTTGGTGACGCCGGCTGACAAATTGCCACAGCAGAGCAATTAACATCCTGCGAGGAGCGCTTGGATTCAGCGTGTACAATCCAATGCATTTTTATAGTTTTTACACAGTCCGACAATATGTCAAACTTGGTCCGCATAACTCGTTCAATGGTAGAGACCCTGACATTTAATTGTCTTCGCCTCGTGTAAAGCACCACCAAGGGGAATACTCAGCCAAACTTTGATGGGTGCACTGTGAATAAAAAAATTTGTAATTTAATACAATATATTATATTTGACAGGATTCAAAACATATCCGAAGATAATCTCAGATACATTTTCAAAAGAGACACATAGCAAATAGGCTTACAGTAATTTATGTAGGGATAACCAAAAATAAAGAATCTCATTCCTGATTTTAATAATCCCTTTTTCGCCCAGTGGACTTGTGAGTGGGAGACCAGACGCATTAGAGAAGGGGGAGTGACTGAAGCCGTGACTGGAATTTAATTTAAATAACTTTGCATGGCGCTGAAGATAAAGAAGCCAAGCAGAGCGAAAAACGAAATACGAAATGTGATGTAAAATTGCTGGCCACCCACACAAGAGCATCAACCCTTTCCCCTATCGAAAACCCCTTCACATGCTAAGCCATACTTATTTCACATCATTTTAATTACACACTCGCACTTAGCGCTCAGCATTGGATTAGCTGAAAGTACAGGGCATTGCGCATACGCCACGTGGGTAGACGTCCACTTTGACCATTAAATTCATTATGGGCGCACGTTTAATTACACACACAAACGCTTAGCCGCGTCGGATGGCGAATAAAAACTTAATGTCGTTTGTTCAGGATTTTTTTATTGTGTTGAACGCTTCAAACTTTGTCAGCGTGTGAATTTCGATGTGTGTGAGATTTTTTTGGTAAGTGCGGGAAATTCCGCAGGACCTGTGAGCATTTAATTGTTGTTTGGCGAGGGCAGCAGCAAACGGAATGCTAATTGCCGACCTGCGTTGGCGCAATTAAAACATTTTCGGTTGCTTTGCAGCAAGTCAAAGTGGCGTTTGCAAGAAAAGGGAATTGAGACATTAAAATGCATTGCACAAAGCAATTCTGTTTGCTTTTGATGATTTTAATATTCGTATACAAATAATTTTGTAAAGAATAGATTTCCCCATCTTAGAAATTCATTTTAAAAGCTTCTTTTCTTTTTTATAAATTTTACTAAAGAAAAAATTTAATTGTCATTTTAAGTTGATACTTAAAAAGGAAAATTTAAGAAATTACCTTCTTGCTTCATAGAATTTGCATTCACTTTTCTTTAAAGTTACAGAATGATGGCATAGCACTTCCAGTCCATCATCTAAGTTGCCTAAAAGTGTTTTCGCCAAAAGTTTTTCTTTGTAACCGGGTCTTCCTAATAATGCCGCTTCATTATTCCCTTTTGCCAATCATAACAAGAACTTCCCCAATCCCCTTTGTCCCCCCAAAAAACCCATCCTTCGTCCTTGCTGGGCCATTTGCAAGTCTCTGTTTGCATTTACTGGTGAGAGCGCTTTCTGCGCGCTGTTTTCTGCAGCTTACATGCAATTTTCGCCATTTTCTTTAAGTACGGCCATTGTTTCACTTTCATTTACACCCCGAGATGGAATTGGGCCAAACGGCAAGGCGAAGAATGAGACATGGCTGGAAGGGTGGTTGAACGGGGCCAAAAAGGATGAGGGAGCGGGGCTCAAATATTTCCATGCAAAGCGGTAAAAAGGCATTTTAACCTACAAATGCAGACAAAACTGTGGCAGCGCCCGAATGTATGCAATAAAGTACATAATGGCGCAGTTCAAGAACTGGCCTGCGATGGGAAAATGGGGAAAAAGGTGGGAAAGGGGCGGGACATTTGGCGGAAATGTGGGTGGAAAAGGGGGACGGAGCCCGACTTATGAAGGAGCTTCTGAGTTTCTATTACTTTTTTGCGACTCTCTTTATTTCGGCACTGCGAGAAATACTTTCGCCTCTAATAGGGCAATGTAAATAAATGGATGAAATGTACAAGAAAAATGTATACTCTTAATATTTTGAATATTCAGTTCACCATTTTATAATATTGAACTATATCAAAAAATGAAGTATTTTGATAGAAAAAGAGGAGTTCAAATTACAAGTTTTAATTGTTAAATATATAAATAAATAAATTTAAAAAGCAAAACGATATTGTCTGAAAAAAACTTTTTGAGTGCATGTATAAATGTGTGTGGCTTCTTGGCTTACTTACACGTAAAAGTCGTCGAGTCTGCGGCTGTTTTTGGCTGCTGCGCGCGCATTTCTAGGCTGAGTGACAATTCGCATTTTTTTTTAAGCCCAAATGTCAATTGCAGACTTTTAAAGTTTTTTGCTCAGGGCAAATACAAATGATAAACTATGCCAGTCTGTGTGTGCGGTTATCTCTGGGCGCCTCCTTCTTCTTTTGGCCATGGCATGCGGTTTTTTGCACATTGCCAGCAAACGTTTTCTATTTTTTATGCTTGTCAAGGAAGGAAGTGTAATTTTGTAATTTATTTCCATTGCCATCTGCTGCCAGTTATAATTTATGTGCCCTCAAAAATTGAAAAGCACATAAGCACTGGCGGCAATTTAATGCATGTTGTATGATAATGGCTGCATTATGAGTTTTTACTACAGATCGTCGAAGTGTTAATAAATAAGCTGAACAGAGGGGTAGATACCATTGTAGCACTCATGTTTGTTTGCAATTCCAGCGCTCCCTGTGTGTGTTTCATTTATCACCAACAAACGTCGGGCCAAAATCAATAAAATGTTACCGGCAAAATGCAAATAGAAAATGGCCCACATTCATCTTTGTTTGCCACACACAGAAATGCTGGAGCATAACGAGTTTTTCGATTTCAATTGTTATATATGTAGCCTGGCAGTGCCCTAAATGAATGTCCTTGTCAAAGCGACTGGGAATTAGTTCACATTTGTGTATACTCTAGAGTTAAACCCTTTATTACATTTTATTAAATGCCAGAAAGGTTTTGTAGAAAGTTAAATTTGGTATCTAATTAGATTTTTTGGGTGAGTTGGATTGTAGGATTTTGGTGCTTTTGAAAATAATTTAATACTTTGTTCTTAAGGAATCTTTTTTTAAGGTAAAGTATTAAATTATTATCAAAGGGAGCAAGCCATAAATCAATTCTATTTTCGATTGCAGCTAAATGGAAACAATATATTTTCCATTTCTATTCAAAATTTAATTTGAACATTTTAAATTATTTATTTCCATTTACCATTTGGCCAATGTGGACAGTGAATTTTTAGTTCGATTTGCGGCCAGCATCCGGACATGTTTCTACTGAGCCGAACGCTTCATTTGATAAGCCTCTTATTCCAACCAAGAGCTTTGAAAATCCTCAATTGTTCACCTCAATTCCAGTGCAATTGTCCAGCATTGAAAACTCGCTTAAGTTGTACCTGTGGACCGACTCAAAGAAGGGCTGAGTGTAATAAAAATCCGCCCGGTAAATCGGCTTAAGATTTATTTGTCTGGTTTTTAAAATGGAATGGAATGACTTTTTTCTTAGTGTTTTGCATGAAGCGCCGGTTGCAATTTAGCCAAACTGGCTTAAAGCAATTTATGAGGCAGCAAACACGAGGAACAAACAGTTTGAAGTGAAGTCTGAGTGTGGCGCTCGCGGCGTATGCGTAATGAATAATTAAAGCATATAAATCATACGCCACGTAGTCACGCTGGCGTCGCCAATGTGTCGGCCGTCGATACGACTACCACTCCCTCACGCAAAAAAAAACACACTTGAAAGTGCTCACGAGAGCGTAAAATAAATAAAATGTTTATGAAAATATGCCCAACAGGGAAAGTAATGAGGAAGCGCTGAAATCAGAAATCTCTCCGCCTGTGTCCTGATTTATATGCCGAACATCGAATCCATTTATCATCAGGCAGACGCCAAACCGAAATTTGCTTTGCATCCGATTTGTTTTCTCATTTACGCATCATCCACATGAGGTTCAGCCCCAAACTGACGGCCAAACCATTCTTTTTGCAGGGTGGAACGTGATCTGATGGGCCGCACGGACCGGTTTGGAGTGGAGGTTCGGGAACGCACCATGTGGGACATTCGACAGGGAGTCGTGGGCGCCGATACCTTCATTCCCAAGCACGTGGTGATCTCCACCTGGAAAAACGTATCCTTTGCCGGCGGCATTGATAACTCCCTCTATACGGTGAGTGCTAATTGTGATTTTATAAACAAAAGATATACTCTTTAATAGGAAGTAAATCTACATAATTAAGATATCTCTCAGAACTGAAGAAACCAGATAGATTTCCACAGTTTCAATACCAAATAATCATTTTTGAATTCCACAGACGAACACCTTCCAAATGATCCTGGCCACCGATGAGGTCTACACCTATATCATCTTCAACTACGCCGTATTGAACTGGCTTTCGCACACTGAGGCCGGAGGTGATACGACAAAAGGCGAGGGCGGTACTCCTGCATATGTAAGTGGTCAAACGCTCCCTTTTTTTCCACTTCTTTCACTTTTTGTCGGTTGGCACTCAATTAAACAGTTGACTCCCAGGGAAAACTTGCTGACTGATTGTGACTGAAGAGGTTTGTTTTCCTCTTTAGTTTCCCAGGATGTTTGCTTTGCTGATTTGTTCTGCAATCAAAAGGGAAAAAGTAGAGAGGACCTGAAGTTGGTCTTTTTTAAAGCCTTAATAGATGCAACGTACTTAACATCTGAGGGAATATTCAGAACTCTAATTTTCTTCAGAATCACTCATCATAATTAAAATTTTCATAAGCTGAATTGTTTGGCGTTTGAAACTGGAGTCCTCTTCAGCATGCAGCCACTTGCAGTAATTAAACGCACAATTTGAACTTTGCCTAAGCCCTAAACATAATTGCAAACTTTGTGAACAGTTAATTAAATGTGTGAGGAGATTCGAATGCATGTATTTAATTGCACTGTTGCCCCCGAAACCCCTGAAACCCCCGTACCCACTGATGTATGAACTATGTTTCCCCTTTTCAGGTCGGATTCAATGCGGGCAACGGCACTCAGGCCTATGAGTACAAGCCCTACAGCCAGAACATGGTGATTCGAGACCTGGCCAACAGAGGTTGGGCCAATGGGTTCCCGGGTCGTCACATCTTCCGCGTAGATGAACAGATTCTAATTGGGTCCTGCAACAAGGATATAGGTACGTTTTATTGGATAGTCTGGATTTTAATGGAGTAGTTATAAGCTAAAATGTTTAAAGAAAGATTTTTTATTAGACTAATGTAGACAGCAGATTTTAGATTCTCTACTATTTTCTCTCTTCTATTTTAAAAACATCAATCATTTCAATTTTAATTATTTAATTATTAGTTTTTAATTAGCTGTTTATGACATATGCATTTTATTTAAAAAAGAAGTAAAACCATTAGTAATACTGTGTATATTATTTTACTCCATTAGATGCCGCCCTGCTACCTTTGACCTTTGCCCCCGAATCTGGCAACATGCTGGGTGGTCAGGTGGTGAACATCACTGGTCCTTGCTTCGATCCTTCGATTCGCGTGACCTGCCACTTCGACACGGAATCCGTGCTGGGCACCTATGTGGACCGGAACCGAGTGATCTGCGTGCAACCTTACCTGAAGGCCGAGGGCTACATTCGCTTCCAGATCTCGGTGGGAACCCAGCGATTCAAGTGGCGTGGAAAGTACTTCGTGGAGACCCCGGCTGCGGCCACCGAGAAGATCTTCTTCGCCACCGACGATGTGCACAAGAAGAATCCCAGCGAGATCCGCATCACCTGGAACCAATACAATTTGACCTCGAATGCCAATGCCAATGTGATGATCTCGCTGTGGGGCTACCGCGAAACCAAGATCGAGCCACAGCTGGAATATATTGATGTGATCGAGGCCTCCTACTCGAATTCGGGCAGCTACGTGATCACGCCCTCGAATTACCTCAACCGGAACAACATTAACCGCGACATGCAGTTCGGATTCCTCCAGATCAATCTCACGCAGCCCGACCAATACTCCGGATTGGCCATCAGTCCGTAAGTACATAAAATCCTAGCTAGTTAATCCATTTATTAGTTAAATTATTAAAAATATTAAAGACAAAAGTAGTTGCTTAGGTACCACATTGAAATACCCCATCTATTTAAGCATCTGTTTCGTATAGCCTTCTATAATTAAACAAATTTATTCAGTAAGTTGGTAGAACTCGCAGCATCCCTCAAATCCCCTTCCAGATTCCATTGTTATTATGCTTTAATTGATTCTCGCTTGTCTCAATGTGTCATCCCAGAGACAAGTGCCTGCCGCTCTGATGGTATATCCATGTTTTTATTCAATTTGCCAGGGCAATTTCAATGACAATGAGAACGGGCTAAATGCACTTCTACTCTGCCATGATAGCCAAGTCCCAGGATCTGCCATCCCCATTCCCTTCGGCCTCAATCAATTTGCCCTGGCCTGGCCGAAGATAGCTTATTATGACAGCCTGTAATTGCGAGACATTCTCGGAGATAATCAATAATGGAAATGTGTTTTAAATGGCCTCGGTCAATGGTAATCGCTGTCATGTTTGTGCACCAGCTTTTCTGTATTTAAGCCTTTTTCTTCACGTTCTGCAATTATTTTGCAATTAAACGTGAATCATCTTCGGAAGCATAAAATGTTATACCCAAAATTAGGAGTTGTATTGTGTAAGATGGCCAGTGTGATGACTATAAATTTTCTTAGGTTCATTTGGAAACTCAGTAATACACGGGGAAAAAATTTTGCTTTTATTGAAATTGGAATATTAATATTCAGTACTAAGTAAAATACACAAAATATTTTTAGAGCTTTTAATAATAAATAATAGTTCGAAAAACTTCACTTAAATGGGACATGGCTCTTCGAATTAATATCTTTTTAAACGTGCAATAAATTTGAAAGTGCCTATCCCTTTTTTTATTTCTGTGCCTTTTCCCTTAAGACACAGAATAAAACCATTTCTTTATTTTTTGGTTTACGGCACCTTTGGGTGTCGTTAGCCGGGCCCAAAGTGGCGGGTGGGCACGAATAAATTGTTAGCATTGTTTCAACATTTAATTTCCATTTGATGGCCGAGTAATTGTGAAAACTTAATGAAAAATATTTCCATGGCAGCGTGAGGCGCGAATTGCCATTAAGAGCTAACTAGGCAACGGCTAATGGTGATATCGTGTTGCTCGTCAAAAGGAGAAGGTTAAATCGTGTGGGTTGTTTATTAGCCGGCATTTCGCAACATGCACGAATATCAAAGGTGGCCATTGGGATCTTTGAATTGCTCTTACTAAAATTAATCTTCGACATTCATTTTAACATTGAATTTTTCGTTTCAGGATCCTGTGGTCCCGCCCCATTCCATTGGCCTGGTATATGGCGCCCCAATGGGAGCGACAGCACGGAAAACGCTGGGCCAGAGCTCTCTGCGATAATTGGATTCGAGCGGACCGATTCCTCAGGTAAGGCTCAACAAATGTGCATTTGCGTTGGCCCGCTAATTAAAAGCGACCAGTTTGCCAATGGGGATTGGCGAAATGCCTGCTAATTACCCTAGATTGCAACTAAAATTCATAATTCGCTTTCAACAGGAACTTCGCCGCTGATTTGCCACTTTGTCCCTGCACTTTGGACCAGGCTGTCCTGGACAAAGGACGCTTCCGGCCAGATCGGGAGTGCGACAAGGACTCGAACCCTAGTTGCCTGAGGCATCGTGGTGCCATCCATTGTGTGGTTAGCGGAACGCCAGTGTAAGTACTCAAATTAAAATTGTTATTGTTTTCTTTATACTTCCTATTAAGCCATTCTTAAATTGTTTACAATATAGTTAAGTGATTAAATATTTAGTCATCTTATCTGAAAATGAAATTCTGAATTCCAAAATTCTTGTGGAACAGTTCTAAGAGGCATACTTCTTAGTATTATTTTATAAACCCTCCAATAATCTGCTGCTCATGCAGATATTTATGTTCCCCCTTTGCAAATGATGAAAACTTGTAAAAATTTTTAAATGACCAATGTTTCCCCTTTTAATTTCCAGTGCCCAAGGAGCTGAGCAGCAGTGCTGCTATGATCGCTATGGCTTCCTGATGCTGACCTACGACCAGATGTGGGGCTCCCGTCCCCGTCGCGTGCACAATCTGGGCAAGATGCCCTGGAACGAGGCCAGCAAGGTGCCCTCGTTGTCCATGTGGTTCCACGACATGCGCCCCTTCTACTCCTGCTGCTTCTGGCAGGAGGAGCAGGCGGTGGGCTGCGAAACCTATCGCTTCGAGCGTCGTCCTTCCCAGGATTGTGTGGCCTATCAGGCGCCGGGTATCGCCGGAGTATTCGGTGATCCCCACTTTGTGACCTTCGATGGACAGGCCTACACCTTCAACGGACTGGGAGAGTTCGTCCTGGCCCGCAGTGTGGATGAGAGTAATAAGTTTGAGGTCCAAGGACGATTCGAGCAACTGCCAACGAACTATTACGGCGAGGTGAAGGCCACCCAGTTGACTGCGGTCGCCATGAGGGGCAATACCACCACCACGATTGAGGTGCGCCTTCGTCCTTTGCATGCCCGCTGGCGCTATCGCCTGGATGTCCTGGCCGATGGTCGCAGGGTGTACTTCGATCGGGAGAGCCTGAAGTTCCAGCACTTCGACGGTGTTTCTGTTTATACCCCGACCTACCTGCTCAATCAGTCGCAAGTGGTGGTCCAGTTTGACGCTGGCATCGGAGTGGAGGTGGTTGAGAACGAGGGCTTCATGACGGGCCGCGTGTTTCTGCCCTGGAAGTTTATAGTGAGTGCAAATGGAAATGTAAAATATTTCAGATTTCAAAAACGTTCTTTTTTTTAATTACAGAATAAAACAGCAGGACTTTTTGGCAACTGGAGTTTTAATAAGCTGGACGACTTCATGCTACCCAACGGCCAAGTGGCCCAGCTCAATCTGAATGATTTGCGCAGCATCCACACCAACTTTGGAATCAAGTGGATGCTCACGGATCGCGAAGTTCCTGGAGTGGGAGCTGCTCTCTTCACCCGAGAATTCGGAAGGATGTCAAGCTACTACGCAAATGCCACCTTCCAGCCCAATTATGTCCTAGATCCGGCCGACTTCCTGCCCACGAATCGTACTTACGATCTGGAGCGAGCTGAGGAGTTGTGTGGTGAATGTATGCAGTGCCAATACGATTACGCAATGACCCTCAATCGAGATTTGGCGCACTTTACAAAGAACTACTACGACACCATAGTCAATATGCAGGCTGAAAACGCGGTGTAAGTTTTATACTTAGCAAATAATTTTAATTCCATATTCAAACAAGCTTCTAGATTTTCATAATTAAAATCAAGACGACACCAATTTGTATTTCAAAGCTAATTGTTTAATTTAAAATATTCCTTACAGGCGCGTCGTATCCTGTGGTGTGTTGCAGACTCCTCGTTTCGGTCGAAAGTTGAGCTTCGACTTTATGCCAGGTGCCAAGGTGTCCTTTGAGTGTAATGAGGGCTTTATCCTGGTTGGAGATCAACGTCGTGAGTGCTTGTCCAACGGTCTGTGGAACGTTCCTGAGTATGGATACACCGAGTGTCTACGTAAGTACCTAGACATTATTGCCTTGAATAAGAATTCCCTTCTTCTAAAATTATTTCAATACATTTTGCTGACTGACTGAATTAGATGGTTAAGTTTTATAATGTTGTATTAGGATTTTAGAGGCTTCAATTAAACGGCTTAATATTAATTATTTCTTTTCCTATTTGATATAATTCTTAATTTGATATGAGAATCATCAGTCCCCTTACGATTAATCTACCCAAAATTAGTAACTAATCCAGTCAGTTAGTGAATATACTATGATGCCCCAGATAGAACCAATCCTTACCAACCTTTGACCCCGTGCAGGTGAGGTGTACTACACGCGTCGCGTCGCTTTCATAGCAATTGGCATTATCTTCCTGGTGATCTGCCCACTGATGCTGTGCATCGTGTGCGGAGTGTACCGCTATCGCCAGAAACAGCTGAAGGAGGATCCGCAGTGGCAGATGCCCATGCTGCCCCGTTCGAGGGCCAGTTCCGCCCGAAATTTAAGGACCCTGAACTACGACGATGACAGCGATACGGATGCCAGCACATTGAAGAAAAGTAGGTCCTACGACAAAGTATATCGCACGAACGAACCATTACCGGGCAAACCGCAAATTGATTTTCCAGCTAAGAAATGGGATCTGGATGAGAACGACGAGGATGTGACCTCATCGGAAGGTAGTCAAAATAGAAACAGCTCAAAGTTAGCCAGGGACATTTCCTACATTAATCCGAACGTAACCACAGGTGAGAAGCCGAAGCAGTTGGGTCGCCGATCTCTGCACGCCTCGGGCGCGGATTTGGATCACCATGCCGGGGACGGATCTCCGGTGGATCCGGACCATCACCCCGACGAGGATGATGACTTCGACGAGGCGGATGTTCACACGGGCACCGTCCATCCCGCCGGTTATCACCAGCCTTTGTCGCCGGAGGAGGCGGACCAGCTGCACCGCCAGCAGTACAGTCCCACTTTCAGTGGACTGGACAGTCGCACAAGTGGGGCCAGTTCCATAAACTACACTCCCCAGGCGACGACGCAAAATCGCTTCGGAGGAGTGCCGGTGCTGCCCAGCAATACCCAGTACTACAGTAGGCCCCCCTCGAGTGTGAACGCCGTGCCACTGCGCACAGCGCCCACGCCTCTGACGCAGGACAGTGGCCTGCCCTCCCCCCCTTGGCCACCTCGCCTACTCCCTCGGTACAAAAGTCCACGGAGGTCTAGGGATCAGGACTCATCGGGATCCAGTAGCTGCAAAGTTCAAATAGGAGCCACCCAAATAAAAACTAATGTTAAGTTCATTGCCGATAACTTTAACACCCACCTGTCCATGATGTTTTCTCTATCTGTATTTTATTGTTGTACTGTTGTTTTTTGCCCAAGGCCATGACCACATCAAACATATAACATAACATGTATTTAATAGTCCAAGCCCCGAGCCAAAACCAAAAACCAAATACTTGTACATTAAGCATAATTCAAACGGCAAATTCATCTGTATTTACTTCGGCCCAGGTAAACAATCATCATTTTATATTGAATAAAGCCTTAAAACATTTGTTTATAATAGTTTATTTGTAAATATTGATTAATGTTCTTAGTTCTCCTTCCAGCCTAATTCGATAATGCCAATTGTTACATGAAAGTTGACACTTCGCAGGGTTCGCTTTGTTTGCTATTTAACTGCTTGTCAATTTTCTGTAATAATTTGCATGAGCAGGAGCGTTGCATTGTCAACTACACTGGAAAAGAAAGTGGGCAATGAAAATGAGATAGTGTACAGTAAAAGAATGTTATATATATTTAAACATTTTAAAGTATGGAATTGATAAAAAATCAAAAATATTGCCTGCATGGTTTTTTGTAAGCAAATGAATTTTTAATTATAACAAAATAAGATTAAATTATTAATGGCTTGATTTTGGTTGATTAGTTTCTAAAATGTATTGTCAAATTTTCTTGTCAAGTGTAGTTCTCCCAACAGAACGAAAGGGCGAACAAAAATTACATAAAATTTACAACGGAGCAATACGACCAAAGCCAAAGACATTAATCTTTAAATGTCACTATGTTTTTTTGAGCATTGTCTTATTGTTGTTGCTTACACTGCCACGCCCTGGTACTCCACCCACGCCCCCTTCCGTTGGGACAGAATGTATTGTGTGCATTACGCCAATGTCAATCAATCTTGAGCAAATTGATGGACAAGTTGCCGTTACTTATGTCTGTTTGTCTGCCGGCGAATCCTCCGTCCATCGTCCTCTTCATCAAAGAGAGGGTATATCCTGGTCTAGCTGGGAAATAGACACAACACAATGGCAGGACGAGAGCGGGCTCTAAACCAGGCGCTAGTTTGCAGCCTTGAGTGGTTGGATGGATGGCAGGGAAAAGCCAGATGGATAGCCTAGATGGTTGTTTAATTTATGAGCAGTGATGGAAAGGTAACATTTTTGCAAGGGATTGGGTATAAGCTATGTGCGAATCGAAGTTTTAGTTCTAAATATTTAATCACTGCACATTATTGAATTAATGTTTTCAATAGTGTGGGTTTTATATTTAAGTTTTAGGAATATTCTTGTCCCATGAAATTCAATCATTTTTTATAGTTTAGAAGCAGTGAATGGTATATTTCAATTGGTTATACCTAGGTTACATCACCTGAACACTACCATCACTGTTGATAGATTCCATTGCTCAAGTTCCCTTTCCTCCAGAATCCATTGCATAGTTTCCATTGCACACTTTTGCAGGACATGAGGAGAAGTCGGCGCGGGTGGCGAGCATCTCACTTGGATTGGTCTTGCTCATCCTGATTCCCTGCCTTTTACTGCTTGTTTGCGGGGCGAATTATTGGATTCGCGAACGAATTGCCAGGGAGGAGGAGGAAGCCCTACTGCCCAAATCCAAGTGGCAGAAGTCGACACAACATGTAATTTGATTAGCACATTGATGAGCTGCCGAGGACATGCGATCGTGGGCTGAATTCGGAATTAAGAAACAAGGACTTACAAGCCTTAGATGTTACAGAATTTAGTTTTGAAATAACCTGTATAAAACCTTATTTATTACCCATCAAAAAAATTAAATTAACAAACCAAAATGAATTTTATTTCTAAACAAGGCTCATTCCTAAGTAAGTAAGATGTTACAGAATTTAATTTTGAAATAACCTGTATGAATCCTTATTTATTACCCATCAAAAAAATTAAATAAAACATTAACAAACCAAAACGAATTTTCTTTCTGAACAAGGTTCATTCCTAACTAACTAATATTTTATACAAGCACAAATTATCCATTAAATTCGAAAATGTATTTTAGGCATTACATTAAAGGAATGAATATGATTTATTTTAAATATAATTAAAAGTCTTGTTTTAGGGTTCAATGAAATATTTTTATTTGCTTCTTAGTATGTTTATCTTGCGATTTACTTTTGGGTTACAGTTACATATTGTTTTTACTTTAACATATTTAACATTTACTCCATTCTGTGTACAGATGAAAACAGTTGAGGGGTGAAGAGCGGGGGTGAGGGCTTAGTTAGTTTAGTACTTAACACTTCTTAGCCTTTTTATAGTACAAGTAAGTATCTTAGATTTACACTCAACACCTCTTTTGGATCAACAAAAAACAAATCGAGTCGCTTTTGGACCTGATCTTAAGCTACGCTTTGCCTTAGAAGAACATTCAGCTGAACAGTTGGATATATTTTAGAGTATTTGCATCTGTGCACATTAATATTGCTATGAATATATCTATATATAGGTATGTATTAACTATAGTCCATGATTTCAGAGAGAGAGACTTCCGGCGTGATGGCTTAAGAACTATAAAGCTATTTTTCAGTTATAGTAAAGTAGAGATTTGTCCTTCGTAACAATGCCGATAGATCAATGGAAACTTAAACGAACTGTGGGTTAAGGACATACTAACCTAAATTCCTATTTTCTTGATACTGCGTTTTGGACTTCAGAACATTTATCCATGAAAATACTTGCTTGTGGTACGGTTGTACATTTGTATAGACTTTACTTTTTGGTGCAGTTGAGATTGCTAACAGTTTTGTATGTTTACTGGTCGGTAGCCCTGTATAGAAGTATACGAACCCAATTAGATCTATATATAGTATTTATATATGAATTTGTTATTTTGTTTGCTTTTTCTTTGGTGCCTTGTGGTTATGCTAATTTACGTTACGGCTTAATTAAGTTGTCCCAAAAGTTGAGTGGTTTAGTTAGAATATTTGCCTTACATTGTTTCGCTCGTCGGTTTTTACAGTTCGAGTAATGTTGCGTTTAGATTTTATAGTTACATGAAAAAGTTCAGCCTAAGAAACCATCACAAAGTAGAATCATAATAAATACATATTAACAAATTACACTTTCTTTACACAATAATACACATCTACAAGGGTTCACGCAAACACACACTTAGATGATCTTAAACGTTTTTACAGGATAATCCACAGGCTGAAACGAGAAAACAATTTAGAGCGATTTTAGTCAAAGTTCAAGTTTCGAGAACTGCAAACACAAATGGGAAATGGGAAATATGGGTTATGAATTGCCCCCGCATCGAATAGGCCATTTTCTGCACAGAAAAAAATGAAAATGCCCTAATTTTAAAGTTTCAAGTTAATCAATACAAAAAATCATGAAATGTATTATCTTTTTGTTGGATTTTAAACCTTTGCTTCGAATATTTTCCTTTGTTTCAATGCTTTGTATAAAGGGACTGTACAAATCAGAGCTGTGTTTGTTTGCCTAACCGTTTGGCTCCCGTGAGCACGCAATTCAATTTAACCCTTCACGCCCAATTACGCCGTAAAGCCGGAGCCAGAATCGCAGGACTCGCAGGACACACGAGGTGGAAACGGTGTCAATGTCAAAAGTTGGACTTTTTCCATGTGGAATCGTTACGGAACAAGAAACTTGGCTTGTTTTTCCACCGTACTCTTGTTTGTTATGCCAACTGCGTGCGGGTGAAGCGGTGTTTCGGCCACAAAACAGTCCAACTACAAAGGCGCAAACAACTTTTGATTGCCAAAAACTGACCAACCTATGTCGGGTGCCTTTGTTGGGGAGTTTTCAAAATTTCAATCACGTAAGCAATTCCCTTTCCTTTTTCCGACTCCAAAAAAAAAAAGTTTAAAGGTCTGCCAGAAAACGATTATTTATAGCACTAGTGGAGTCAGTTTTATTGCTCCCTCCAGTTTTGTTTACAGCCAGGTCTATCCATTTGCGGTTTGGCAAGTTCGTATTTCAATTTAGGAAGAGTGAAAAAAACTTTTAAATATATATTTTATTTCTACATATTCATGATCAAAGTCTAACTGTGTTAATAAATTTTGTTAATATATTTTTCAATATAATTTACATGATTTTAATATAATTTTAAATAAACTTTTACTTCACTTTAAAAATCCTTTTAAGAGTGAATTAACGTAGCCACAACTAAGTCAACATCAATTTTAGAATCTGAAGCTAATATCATTATAATCTTAACTTTATAGTTTATATAGTTGTAAAGAAAATATAAAGTCTATTTTTTAAGAAAAAATATTTTCTGGATAAAAAAAAAAATTGATTCCCGCTCCTTTGGGCCATTTTATCAGCGGTATGCAACTGGAAAGAGAATAAATAAATCCACGGTGTCGACCGCAGGGCAGGGCAGTTGATAGTAATTGCACATGCATGTTAACCCCGAGCCACTGACAGCATCCCTGCCCTCCCTTTCCCTCCTTTTGAGATCCTGCTGACACGCTAAGCAATTTAACAATTTTACAGACAATTAAACAACAACATCCTCGAGTCCTCGGCTGTCCTTCGGCAGAGCTGTCATTGAATCGACTACGACGACAAAATGGCTAAAATGTACTTGCATCTAATGCTCGGTCCCCCGGTCTCCTCCTCACATATAGAATATCGATTAGTTTAATGTGCAAAAATAGCAGCAAGTGTATCTTTGGGGGTCATCCTGCCACGCCCCTTTTGCCCCCCGTCAACCGCATATATATGTAACATTGGAATTTTCAACAAATTGAATTAAAATTGTAAATATCGCATTCGAGTCTTTTGCCTCGAACTTTATGGCCCCACAAATCAAATGCACGAAGGTGGGTCGAATGTTGTCCATACGCCCCGTGGACACTCTTAGCAAAAAAAATGGGGATGGTGGTGGGAAAAATGCCAACTTTGCACCCCCTTTGCTGTCTGAAAAGTTTACGCCTTTTGTTAAGCGGAATTAAAAAAGAGCAAAGCGGCAGAAAGAAAATGCTTTTGGCAAAAAATACAAAAATGCATCGGAAAATGGTCCATGAAAAGTTACCGACATTGATGTTGCGGGCGTATTCAAGATAGCTTTGTTTTCCTTTTTCCTCGCTTACTATTCTCCCAGCAAATTGCATTCGATTGGATAAAAACACATAAAGTATGGGTTTCCACACTCAATTTGCCTTCCCAATAAAGGATAATAATTGTTCAGATAGGCATTGCTTTTAGAAAATGCTTTAGTCAAAAAAAGAACATAAAAATTGTGGATTTCACCAGGTTCCAAGCCGGTACAATGGCAAACATCTAGAAATTGGAAAATATATGAAAAATACTTCGTATGAACAACAAAAGACGTCTGACTGAAATCAGGCAATTCATGACATCATTTTCATTTATTTTTCGCTTTCGATTTTATTTGTTTTGTCCTGCTTGTCACCTTTGGCATTTGAAAACCTACTAGCAGATGCAAAATAGTACAAATGCATTCAACTTAAAGTCCCCGGCTGTCATAACAACTGCTCCTTACGCACTGCGATGCCAACTGTATAAACAACGATCCAGTTCAATTTGGTATGGTAAACCCCGACTCAAATTGATTTGTTGTCGGCAGCATTTAGAGGCAAGTAGACTTGATTTGCCGGGCGACTGTGAGCGTGGCCAAGTTGCAACAGTATGCAAATGAGTGCCATCGAAGTCGTCCTGTTTGCCCAGGTCCCATTTGCGGTGAAAGGAGGGTGAAAGTCAGTTAATGTTGCTATCCGTCTGCATTCGAATGTTTGCCTGTTTGCAATCATTCCATCTTTAATTGAAATTAGTGCCGAGTTTTCGATTAAGCCACGCCTCCACTGTTTACTCCTGCCAATGTTGATCTGTCTGTGACAACGTCCAAGGTCCTGGCTGCAGTTAAATTACCCGAGGGCCCATACATGCCAAATGAGTACCTGCCGGAATGTCCTGCATCCTAGTATCATTTATTAATAAACCCCTCGAGTTAGGGCAATAAAACTGTTTTGTGCCTTTTGCCTTGGCCAAACTGTCGGTCGACAGTCATCTAAATGGGAAAACTTTTATGTTGGCTACCCGAAAAACTAAGCACGCTGGAAAAACTTTTGCCAAACACAATTTTCCACCCTTCGCACACTGTGAGGTGAGCAAAGAGATGAGATAATTCAATGAGGAGCGGGATTCCTTTGACTGGTGGAAGTGTGCCAACATGTGAGTAATTTATTTGGAATATGCAGGTCAACCCTTTTCGGAGCCACGTGGCGTATGCGTAACTCATCTGTAAGACTCCCATTATCGTCTCATCAGCCATATTACTATTTAAGCGTTATTATCTCACACAATTTTCTTTCCTTTCTTATTTTCCCCCTTTTTTTGTATTCGTCTCAGGAAAGTCGCCATGGGAGCGGTGAGTTGAACAGAAGCCTTTGCCTCTGACATTTTGTCGTCGGCCCATCGCAATCATAATATCCATCTTTATGAATTTTAAATGAGACAGAGACCGGGTCTTCGCTCTTTTCTCCCTGCAGCTGACAAACTTTGCACGCCTGTCACTGGGAATTTCAACTAAATTTTTAATAAGATGCCCGGCCTTGAATGCCACGCCCAATTGTCGCATAAGAGCTTATGCCGTATTTAGTCGGGTAAATATTTATTTGATTGGTATTTTTTGCGATATCCGGATTTGAATGTTAGTCCGCCCAGGAAACGGAAATTGTGCGAGGTCGATGGCAGCAGCGTTATTTCCATATTTCCCAATGATGCGGAAATGTAAAGAAAAATCGCTCTTTTGTTGCGGACCGAATGAATTTGCTCCAGTTTATGTACATATATCTGTCTGGCGAATGATAAATGATTCTGAAGAGGAGCTGTTGAGGCGAAATGGAGGCTCATTAAAGCTGATGGATACTTCAGTATAACATGGCTGTATTAAACATAATATGGCATATTTTAAATAGAATATAAATAGTATTAAAGCTTCACCATAATATTGTTTATGTATCTTTTTTATTTTTCAATTTTTGGGTAATTTTTATTAACATACTTATTTACTTTTTAGGAATGCTTTATCATTTTGAACACAGCTGTAAAGGCAAGTGGCACTGCAATCGAAGGCGCCGCTCATTAAAAATAATTACAACTCTGAAGTGGTTTTGTATGGCCAATGCATCCCCTTACAGAAGGCCTTTAAAGTGGGCCAACTTAAATGAGGGAAAACCCAGGAAACGTAGACACCGCATCCCCTAAACAACTTCCCTTACAAACAGGCCGGATGTGAAGAATAAATAAGACTAAATAGGAAAAATGAGGAGAATTATGAACACACGAAAAGGAAAGGAGCGGAAACAAGCCGGGCGGATTACTTGGGTGCCTCCAAATCAGGCAACTTTTGTGGGTATTTTGTACTTTTTATTTCTGGCTCCAATGAATTTCAATGAGCGACAAGGGAGCCACTGAAATGCTCGGATTTATTAAAAATGCTGGACCACATTTCGAGGCATTTAATTAGGGAAATTTCAGCATTGGTTTTCCCATCGTGCAGGCGTAAGTTACTAATCAATGTTAATCCATTTCTAACGAGGCATCGTTAGGGACCCAGAATTACATACGCCCACTCTTCTGCCAGTTGAATGGCATCATCAAAATGCTTGCCAACTTCCAAGTCATCAAATTGCATGCCAACTTGTTGTTGCCGCTGGCATTTAACGATTATATGCGCCATATCGAGGCCATAAGCAGTTATATATAACTGAAGGATAGACAGATACACACAGTCAATGGCGATATATGTGTGCACTTAAAATGCCAGCCGGAAAATTGGGGCAACCGAATTTTCCCGCAAGCCTTTAGCATTTTTCGCTGTGGCATGCTACTTAACTTATATTCGATTGAGTTTGCGTTGGGGTGTTTAATGCGGTTTCATTATCCTTTGAGACATTATAAACTCAGCAATGATTTGAATAAAAATAGATAAGAGGGTTGCTAAAAACATTCGGGTAAAGGAAAAACAGAAAAGGGTTGCTAAAAACATTCGGGTAAAGGAAAAACAGAAAATTATTTCTAAATTTTCAAAAAACTTTATTTAAAATGGTGTTTTAACTTAAAAATATTAGCTACACAGGTTCTGTATTTCTCACCATTTTATATTATCTTAACAACATATTTCATATTGAAAATACAAAATGTAATGATCAAAGTTAAACAATACTGAAAGATTAAATGAGGTAAATACTGGTCTAGGTTTGACTTTAGTTTTTAAAGGAAATGGTATCGAATTGTTTATTTTAAATTCCAATAAGAAGTCTCCCTCGATTTTGAAACTGCTCTCGCAATGCCACTTCCTTCGGATCCCAGTGCCTTGAGCTTGTTCGCCCGTTTGCTCATGTCAAATATTTGTTTTCAAAATATGTGCTAAATTCTATGCACATCCCAGTTCCCCGATTAACCCGAATCTGCTCTTTCTGCGGTATTTTCGGCTGAAATGGAACTCTTTGCTTGCAGCTTGGTTGGCCAAAACTTTGTAAACAAAAACACGCACAGAATAAATGCCATCAGTTCGGGGACAAAATGTGGGCGGGGCTATGTGGGCGAAAGGCTTTGCGCTTTCGCTGGCTGTGTTGACAAAATCCTTTCGGGTTCGGGAGAGAGATATATTTAACTGTTTGGCATATTATGGCTTTTATATTGAGTTGTTTTGGACTTATCTAGTTTACTGCCGAACGGATTGGGCCATCGGGTTGAAACTTGTTCTGACACAAAATATTCTTTACTGCTGGCATAATAATTAAGGGCTTGGTATTGGGGTATAAATTACATGCACCGAAAATAATAACAAATAAATAATAAAGTTTTAAAACTAGTTTACTACTAAGTGAGTTTTTTTTATTTATTTGTATTTATTAACTAAGCAGAATTTAACATAGAACTTAATTGGCTGGCATCCTGACAAGTAAAAGCAAATGCTTCTATTAATTTTATATCTAAAGTAAAATAAATAATAAATAAAAAGATTATTTCAAGACCCGAATGATTGTTTCCCCAGTGTAGACACAGGTTACGTAAATCATTTGTAAAGTGACTGGGCTAAGTGGTTGGTCTGGATGGGTTGGCTTGAATGGTTGCAGATAGGAGAGCATTAACATAAATTACCTTGCACAACGATCCGACGCTCCTTGCGCTCCAGCCGCAATGTGCCAGCAGCAACAATCACACAATGTCAAGAACACACACTTGGGTTGCAGGTCGCAGGATGCAGGACGACAAACACAAAGGCATAGAAATGAAGTGGTTAAGTGGTCCAAGGACCTGCAGATTTGGCCGCAGACATTCGGACAGATGGAGTCACGCACGCAATGGCAACTTTACAGGATGTTTCAGCAGCAGCATGACGAGTCCTTGCACATTTCCTATGTGCCCCCCCCTCCGCCGGCGGACGAAGTACGTGACACACTGGCATGTCCTGCCGTCCGCTGGGCGGCTGTGCCAAAGGGCGTGGCACCGCCAGTCGTCGGTGTTGTTGGCTGCAGGAGCGGCGAGTCCAGGCTCCCGTTTCCACCGCCCCCGCCCCCGCTCGTCGAGGAGGCGCCACCCAAAATGCTGCTGGTGGCACGCGTCAGGAACCAACAGTCCATGGGCGTCGGCTTGCCCTTCATGATAACCGGTCCGCGGTACTCCAAGTGGAACGAATCATCTTGGTTGATCGCCAGACAGAGAAGTCTGCAAAAGAAAAGGATACAAGAAATGAGAGGTTGTGCTAATTAACACAAATTCACAGTAAATACATTTTTCAAGATTTAAAATATGTGTAGATTCAGACCCGCAGACTCCTATTCCTTCTTTTTTCAATCTTAGAATTTTACAATATTTTTTTCAAGTGTTGTTCATGAGAAGTTTAAGTTCGCACATAAATTTGAGCTACTGAGTTGCTATAATGCACTCTGAATGATGTATATCTCGGGAGTCATATTATATACTCAATCTCCACACCAATAAATTTTCGCAGTAATTTCTCCCCTTGCGACAGTGTTATTCAACTTTTAGATTGCATCGCCAGAAATTATGTAAATTCGCTTATTGCGCTTTATTTGCCCGCACATTTGACTGCCGCACAAAACGGCAGTGGGAATAAAAATTTCGCCTGGCTTTTGTGCATTTCCGTTTCCGCTTGGCCCCACCACAGCCCACACATTGTTGCATTTATTCGGGCTCATATATTTACAGCCATAGTACCGCTGATTGCATACGCATTTAATTCAATTTATTCGCAACCTTTGCGGCATCGGATGGCCAGCATATGGCCACAATTGCATTGCCCTTTTAATTAGCGACCAGGTGAGCTCTGATCAGGTGAAAATACTGCCGTGTTGCCCTGGGTAACCAGCACAAATATCGCCCGTTTAATGGACTTGAGTTAATTACACGGCATCCGGATGCCCTTCATATTTATTTGCATATGAGATTAAGGCGGAGGACTCGAAAAGTCTCTGCCAGACATGATTATCCCGACCATCATCTCCGGATCGCTCTGTGTGCGTTCTTAATTAATGTTTATGGCAGTCCTTAAATATTTACCCAACGCTTAATTGTCAGAACAAATATTAACCGTGTAAATATGGCGAATAATGGAATGAGTGCGTGAATAATTTATGCGTAAATTGATATGTGCTGCATAAGCAAAAATAAATTGCGAAAAGGGCATAGAAAAACATGTAAACAATAAGCTCGGTTATTCATTAAAATTTTGTAATAAATTCGTGGCAGCAGAAGAATTTACATTTTAATTGGAGTGCAATTTTAAATGGCAATTTCTTGGTTTTATGTAGCTTTGAAAGATAATCAAATTATTGCCATCATTTAAGATTTAATGAAATAATTTCAGTAGATATTTTTTGATTATTTGTACATCAAAAAACAATTTTTTATATTTGCATTAAATTGAATAAAAGAGGTAATTTACATTTCTATTGAATTATTTATGTTTTTTTAGTTCTCACCACTCTTTTTCTATAAAGTAAGCAAACAATTTAAATATACATACATATAAATATATATATATTTTACACATATCATTTAAAATAAGCATATGATTGTCGAAACCAATTTGCATATACATTTAAAACAAAATAATATTAAACAAAATAGACAGCAACAATGTTAAAGCAAACAAAATCTTTTTCATGACAAACCAATTTTTATATTAATTGAAATAGCCATAGAACAGCTTACCATTTACAAATATTGTTTGAATTGAAAGTCAAAAAAGGTTTTAAATGTTATCGCACAACGAAATCTCCATTTATGACCCACAAAATGTTAATGAAATAGGCTCATTATTTTTCTACTGCATTTTAATTTGACTTTATGCTTATGAAACGCTTATTAAATACCGTCACAGCTCTCTGTATAAAGAGAGAGTAGAGGAGAGAAAACAAAAAACGAGAGAGCAGGTAAACAGCTGAGCGTTTTTAGAATTTAGACTTCATTTGTTTAGTTTTTCCGCGGCGGCTGATGAGCGGGGTGGAAAATTGTATGTGCTTGCGGGCGGTGAATTAGTGGTTCGGAAAAATGAGATAAAACTGTTCAATGCAATCAACGTTTTAGCTAAAGCCAATCGAATCAATTTCAAAGGAGCACTTAAGTTCTATTCGGTTTTTGAAGAGCCCATAGAAATCTAGTAATCAAACACCTGTTAGCTGATTGCAGAGTATATGAAGAGAATTCTATATAAACAAAGAGCTCTAAAAAGTTATATGAAATGTGTTTAAATCGCATATTTAAATGGCAGACAATTTTTTTGCCTTTTTTGCCTTGCAAAAGGATAGTCACTTTTAAAAAATATAAAATCTTTTGTTTTCTGCTTATTTGTTTATGTTTATCAAAGGTTCTCCCAGCACGTCATTGCCAGCTGGAAAAAAATCAATAACAAAAGAGAATCCATTCGCACCCTTAATTGTTTGAAGCGCTCTCTTTTTTGTGCATTGTGGCTCTTTGGCTTCATCTGTTCGGGAGTTTTTTTCTGCTTAACGCAATTTAAATTTCTTTGGGGGGAAATTATTTCTGAACGGAAATATTTGCATACTTTTGTGAATAAAACTCATCCACTTGCAATATGTTTTCGCAGTTGCTAGAGGCTTTCCAGCGACTCGTAAGTCAATTAAAAGGTCAATTTGTGTGGGTTCGCTGCTGGTTGCCATTACCACGGCATTTCTACGGTTTCCGGCGGGAAACTGAGTCGCGGGAAAGGTTGCGTTTGCGGGTGAGGGAACGATTGCGTCGGAATCCGGAGGAACGGGCCATTTATCAGTGCAACCGGCGGACCTTGCGCCGCCATCTGGTCATGGACTACATCTTCGAGTGCTTCTTCGATGACACCTTCGAGCAGATCACACGGAACGGACTGCAGGACCGCCAGTCCCGGCGAGATGTCCTCGACCACCTCAGTTCCATAATCAAGGGCTGCAGCGAAGGTCAGAACTCTCAGACGGAGGAGGTGGCCGCCATCGCAGTGACCGCCGCCATGAGGTTCCACCGACTGGCCAAGGAGCAGAACGGAAAGGTGAGCTCATCAGAAAATTGATTTTATGTTTTCTGGAGGTTAATATACTTTTGATGACTTAATAACTATTTAGATGACATGTTCGATAAATACTTTTCATGTATCTATATATATTCTTAATATTATTTTTCCGTTTTCCTTTTAACAAATGTAATTGCCGTGAAACGAGTGTGAGAAATGTGAGATGTAGGGTGTCTACTTCAGAGCCAATTAATCACAATATTATGAAAGTTAAATCTTACTTGAATAATTAATTTATTGTATTAATCTATTCATTCAAAGTCAAATAATTCTGAAAGAAAATCGCTTATCGAGTCCTTCAATTACCCTGGATGTAAAATAATTTCTTTAACTATTGTTATATTGCACATTTCTATTATTTAAATTGTAGTATTTTGGGCCTTTCGTTTTATATGCGTTTATATTCTACAGAAAGGCATATTTGTGTATTTTTAATCAACTTGAAGTACATGCTGCCCTACTGCATTTTTTGCAATTCCAAGAGCAGTATTTCATGGGGGCTTAACCTCTTTCCCACACTTTTTTCAATGTCCTCCAGGTGTGCCTCATGGGCAAGTATCACAACATTCTGTACATCGGACTGCGCACCTGCTGGGATTGGGGAGTTCGGGACTCGGAGGTGGTCGTTCAGCTGCTGAGTAAGTAAGCTCAGCCCAACTAAATAATTTAATTTATATGCATATGTATGTGGTGGGACATTCCTGTGCTGTATGTGTGTGTGTGTTTGGGGCGTGGCTGTTTGCTTTGCATATTTTAATGAATTTTATCCCTACGCATCAGATTATTACGCCCATAAGCAGCCTGACAGGCAGTTTTAACTTTAATCACGTGTTTCTGCTAATTGCGTTAAGAAAGTGTTGCTAATGTTGTTTTGCTGCTCTGTTGTTGCTGCATCGTAAAACTTGTAAAGTGCCTTAAAGTGTTGCAAGTTATTTGGGACGTATATATACTGGCTGTCTCTAATTAAAAGCCTGCGTAAACTTTTGCGAGCGGGGGAAAGTGCCAGAAATTAATGGCATGCCTCTGTCATGGGATCTGGACTCGTGTGCAATAAAACTTGCTCCTTGTTTGTTCCGTCCTCACTTGCTTTGTTGCTGAGCCCTGGTTTTTGGACCCGCTTCCCCTTTTTGGTTGCAAACATTTTGGCCGGTTTCCTTTTTCCGCTGACTTCATTTCTGGGCTCTGCCAAAAACCCAAGGAAACCGAAAACCAAAAAAGCCAAAGGAGTCGGCCAAGCAGCAACAAGTGCAGCCACATAATTAGCTTTTTTATGGCTGCTGCCGCTGCGATTTGATGACATTATTTAACAGCTCTTCCTGCATCCCCCAATACAAAGTGCACTGAGAGGAAATATGGGCAAAGCACAGACAAGCCAGTTCTTAGCCAGCATTAAATTTTGATTTAACATCGTTTCCATACGTACATATTCGTAAAAGGATATTAATATACAGTACAATTATATGATACAAAAAAAATAATTGTAAATATATAATTTAAGTTTGAATTAATATCCTTTTTAAAAATTCCACTAATGTAAGTTTTTTTAAGTTTTAGTTTTCCAATATTGGCCCAGTTAATTGCTGGGCTTTTACAAGCTTGAAAATCTCATTACATCTTACAAAACCTTATAGGCCAAATGAAAATTGTAGTGTATAATATTTTAAAACCTCTCGTATGCCATAAAAAAATATATTTAAGAATATTTTCTTTTATTCCGTGTTTTATTTTTTGTTATCGCAATACAGAGGCCATTTATGAGTGCGAAAAGACATACGAGAGGATTTTTCTGGGCGCCCTGTTTGGACCACATGCTCCGCACTTCATCGCCGGCTGGCGGAGTGACTTCCAGGATCAGGTGAGATCTGACAGCCCCCTTGGATGTCCTTTTGCCCTCTTTGCGATAGGCACCCATGTAACTCCCTTTTTGCAGCACGAGAATGTCCGGGCGATGGTTTACTTTCTGAAGCACGCCACACGCGAACAGCTCACGTTGCCCGTCTGGATTCCTCGCTTCGAACAGGAGCGACAGCTCAGGTGAGTCCTCATCCCTTCCAGCTTTGACTTTCGCCGCGTTCACCCCTTCACTACTTTCTTCGCTTTCTCCGCCTGGCTTTCATGTGTCACGCTCTTTTGCTGCCCT